CAGGAACTGTGTGAAAGATGTCATTAAGCTAACTAGCTGAGGTAAATCTGCCAGGAGCTGAGATAAAGATGTCATTAAGCTATACTAACTGAGGTAAATCTGCCAGGAGCTGACATAAAGATGTCATTAAGCTAACTAACTGAGGTAAATCTGCCAGGAGCTGAAATGAAGATGTCATTAAGCTAACTAACTGAAGTAAATCTGCCAGGAGCTGAGAGAAAGATGTCAGTAAGCTAACTAACTGAGGTAAATCTGCCAGGAGCTGAGAGAAAGATGTCATTAAGCTAACTAACTGAGGTAAATCTGCCAGGAACTGAAATAAAGATGTCATTAAGCTAACTAACTGAAGTAAATCTGCCAGTAGCTTAGAGAAAGATGTCAGTAAGCTAACTAACTGAGGTAAATCTGCCAGGAGCTGAGAGAAAGATGTCATTAAGCTAAGTAACTGAGGTAAATCTGCCAGGTGCTGAGATAAAGATGTCATTAAGCTAACTAACTGAGGTAAATCTGCCAGGAGCTGAGATAAAGATGTCATTAAGCTAACTAACTGAGGTAAATCTGCCAGGAGCTGAGATAAAGATGTCATTAAGCTAACTAACTGAGGTAAATCTGCCAGGAGCTGAGATAAAGATGTCATTAAGCTAACTAACTGAGGTAAATCTGCCAGGAGCTGAGATAAAGATGTCATTAAGCTAACTAACTGAGGTAAATCTGCCAGGAGCTGAGATAAAGATGTCAGTAAGCTAACTAACTGAGGTAAATCTGCCAGGAGCTGAGATAAAGATGTCATTAAGCTAACTAACTGAGGTAAATCTACCAGTAGCTGAGATAAAGATGTCATTGAGCTAACTAACTGAGGTAAATCTGCCAGGAGCTGAGATAAAGATGTCATTAAGCTAACTAACTGAGGTAAATCTGCCAGGGGCTGAGATAAAGATGTCAGTAAACTAACTAACTGAGGTAAATCTGCCAGGAACTGACTGAAAGATGTCATTAAGCTAACTAACTGAGATAAATCTGCCAGGAGCTGAGATAAAGATGTCATTAAGCTAACTAACCGAGGTAAATCTGCCAGGAGCTATGTAAATCTGCCAGTAGCTGAGATTTAGATGTCATTAAGCTAACTAACTGAGGTAAATCTGCCTGTAGCTGAGATAAAGATGTCAGTAAACTAACTAACTGAGGTAAATCTGCCAGGAACTGAGTGAAAGATGTCATTAAGCTAACTAGCTGAGGTAAATCTGCCAGTAGCTGAGATAAAGATGTCAGTAAGCTAACTAACCAAAGTAAATCTGCCAGTAGCTGAGATTTAGATGTCATTAAGCTAACTAACTGAGGTAAATCTGCCAGTAGCTGAGATTTAGATGTCATTAAGCTAACTAACTGAGGTAAATCTGCCAGGAACTGAGATAAAGATGTCAGTGAGCTAACTAACTGAGGTAAATCTGCCAGGAGCTGAGATAAAGATGTCATTAAGCTAACTAACTGAGGTAAATCTGCCAGGAACTGAGTGAAAGATGTCATTGAGCTAACTAACTGAGGCAAATCTGCCAGGAGCTGAGATAAAGATGTCAGTAAACTAACTGAGGTAAATCTGCCAGGAACTGAGTGAAAGATGTCATTAATCTAACTAGCTGAGGTAAATCTGTCAGTAGCTGAGATAAAGATGTCAGTAAACTAACTAACTGAGGTAAATCTGCCAGGAACTGACTGAAAGATGTCATTAAGCTAACTAACTGAGGTAAATCTACCAGGAGCTGAGATAAAGATGTCATTAAGCTAACTAACTGAGGTAAATCTGCCAGGAACTGAGATTAAGATGTCATTAAGCTAACTAACTGAGGTAAATCTGCCAGGAGCTGAGTTAAAGATATCAGTAAGCTAACTGATTTAAATATGCCAGTAGCTGAGTGAAATCTGCCCGTAGCTAAATGAAAAATTTAAATAGGCTAACTGAGCAAAATCTACTAGTTGCTGAGAAAAACTTGTCAGTAACATAGTTCAATCTTCCAGTGACTGAGTTAAAGATATCATAGTATAAGATATCAAAGTATAAGCTAACTAACTGAGTGAAATACGGCCTTAACTGAGGAAACTCTGCATGTGGCAATTGGCAGCACATAGCCACTGCAGTAGTGTTTACAGCCTCGTCACATCCTAAATACTGATACTTTCTACATAAACAAATTCATTTCAACAGTATGCATGAATACAGAGAAGCTGTACATGCGAAAGCAAATAAAATGCTGCTTTCTTTGCGGTACTAATGCTCACTGTTTGTTTTCAGCTCCTGTTGACGTTTTCAGAGGGATGTCGGCCACATTAACATCATTGAGTGCAGGAGAGTCTGGAGTGGACACATGCAGGAGGAGGTCAGTAGGTCTGGGCACTGATCTGTCCATGGCAGAGATTGAACATCTGCAGACAGAAATCACTCAATTGAGAAAGGAGGTGGCCAAACTGAAGATGGAATTAAGACGATGGAGGGAAGGAGAGTGTAAAAGAGAGGTATGGTATTCTACTGTTGATTAAAAATGAGACTGTTGATACAGAAGATTCGTATCTGGCCAATGAAGCTGATGGCGAATATCAATATCAGCACCACTCAACCCAGTCTTTATTTATACAGCACCTTTCATGTGAGCAGGTTTAATTAAAAATCCTTTACAAACGGACACACAGTTGCTAAGAGAACCCAGGAAAAAGGAATAAGAGAACATTAAACAGAGGAGGGGATAGATCTGTTTGTTCATTAAAGTTCAAACATATCAGCCATATATTTGGGAGCTACTCCATCAACGTCCATTAATGGTGAACATATCAGCCATATATTTGTGGGGTTACTCCATCAATGTCCATTAATGGTGAACTTTCATCTACATCACTTCTTCTGCTTCTGTTGTTTGAGAACTAATTTTAATAAACACAGTACAGCGGATGAGCCACCGATTGGTCTGAAAGTGGTCAGTCCCTGACAGTACTTGTTTGATAAAGACATTGTTTATTATTCTGTCACAAAAGTAAGACCATGTTCAGTGTTCTTGGTTAAGAGGAGGACGACATTTGAATTAGCTTTTTCTACTTCTTTCTTCCTGACAGTGACATTCCCACAGACTGTAGTCTCTTCCGATTCCGGCTCCAAGAAGAATAATTGTATTTCCTTCATGAACACTTGTGGGAATTTGCTGAAACTTAGTATTTCTCCCAGCTTTTGCTGTCAGCTTTAAGAGTTTGGGTGTACAGCTAGTAATTTATTGATTTATTGATTAAATAAAAATTAAATTGGTGGACTTGTTGAATTGACAAATTTATTCTTAAAAGCGCTATCAATTCCATGAAGCCACCATTCTTCCTCCAGTTTTCCTTTCCAAAACAATGTGCAGCTGCCCTCGTTTGTCTTGAAATGTCCTTGCTTTTCGCACAATTTAGATCTAGCTTTTGTCACAAAGGTCAGTATCAAAGGTGTGAGTTTTGTATTGATCTAATTGTTTGGTCCTGATGTTCCAGATGTCAAATGCCAGTGGACCTATTAGTAATTATGAGTCTGTAGAGTTTCCTGAATTTTTGCATTAAGTATATTTTTCTGTCTTGGTTGTTGCAGGAACTGAAGAACACCATTTCACCATCTCTTGGCTGTAAAAGCAAATCAACCCCGATACTATTAGAGATCTGTAAAAACATAAGTAGAGACCAGCACATGCTGCCCAAGCTGGAAGACGAACACAGCAAAACTGAACCAAACAATGTACAAGCACACCATAAAGACCAGCTCAATCTGCTAATGTTGGAGGATCTACCCACATTTCATCTGCCCAACCTGGAAGATGAACCCACTGTTGCTGTGGAGTGCAAACCTGAACTAAACCATGCACAAGCACACCATGAAGACCATCACAATCTGCTGATGTTGGAGGATCTACCCACATTTTGTGAAGAAGAACCGAGCCCACCTGAAGAAAGTCACTCTGTGCATGATGGTGGACTCCAGCACATGGTTCAGACTGCATTAAAGATGCGTTCAGTGAGGTTGACGGACTGCAGGAACGTGATGGGATTGAAAAGAAACATCACAGCAGAGGGAGAGCTGGATGATGGAAGTGACGATAATGAAGGAGATGACGATGAAGACGTTGTTCCTTCAGGTAACTTCATTAGTAGTAGTCTTCTAGAAAGAGAAGATGTGATTGATGAAAGGGGATTTACAAAATGTACCCACTACTACTGCAAATAAATATATAAACATATACCTTCCTTGGTAGAATAATAATAAAAATACTTTTTAATTGTCAGTGTGAATAATTTCTGGGGTTTAGGGAGAAGTCCTACCTTTACGAACATTGGATAGTAAACAACAGAAGTTAGTGATACTGTATTTACAACTTTTATTTAATTTTCATCTCATGAATTTCCAGATGAGCTCCAAATGGATGTCCTCAGATATCAGGAGCTTGTCCTCGGAGTCTAGAGAAGAACAGGACACCAAAAGACACAGAACCACATTGAGGAGTAAGTCTCATGAGAGTCTTGTTGATGGAGAGAAGAAGCTGCATCGCTGCTTGACCTGCGAGAAGAGCTTCACTATGAAATCAGATTTTCTCAGACATATGAAGCTACATGCCAGAGAGAAGTCCTATTACTGCACACATTGTGGGAAACGTTTCACAACAAGGGTCAAACTAAAATGTCACTTAAGAGAACATAGCGGAAAAAAATGTGGAAAGCAGTTCTCCAATGCACATCATCTGAAGATTCACCAGAGAATACATACTGGAGAAAAGCCTTATGTTTGTCTCACCTGTGGGAAACGTTTCTCTGATCCATCTACCTATCATGTGCACCAAAAGCTACATATTGGAGAAAAGCCTTACGGTTGCACTATGTGTGGAAAGCAATTCTCTGAACAATCAAGTCTAAAGATCCACAGGAGAATACATACTGGAGAGAGGCCTTACACTTGCACTGAGTGTGGAAAGCAGTTCTCAAGAGCATTAAGCTTTAAGTTCCACCAGAAAATACATACTGGAGAAAAGCCTTACACTTGCACCGAGTGTGGAAAGCAGTTCTCAAGAGCATCAAGCCTTCAGTTCCACCAGAGAATACATACTGGAGAAAAGCCTTACACTTGCACTGAGTGTGGAAAGCAGTTTTCACAAGCAAAACGTCTGAAGATTCACCAGAGAATACATACTGGAGAAAAGCCTTATGTTTGTCTTGTCTGTGGGAAAAATTTCTCTGATCCATCTAACTATCGTGTGCACCAAAAGATACATACTGGAGAAAAGCCTTACAGTTGCACTGAGTGTGGAAAGCAGTTCTCAAGAGCATCAAGCCTTAAGTTCCACCAGAGAATACATACTGGAGAAAAGCCTTACAGTTGCACTGAGTGTGGAAAGCAGTTCTTCAATGCACATGATCTGAAGATCCACCAGAGAATACATACTGGAGAAAAGCCTTACACTTGCACTGCATGTGGAAAGCAGTTTTCACAAGCACAACATCTGAAGATTCACCAGAGAATACATACTGGAGAAAAGCCTTACAGTTGCACTGTGTGTGGAAAGCAGTTTTCACAAACAGAACATCTGAGGATCCACCAAAGAATACATACTGGAGAAAAGCCTTATGTTTGTCTCGTCTGTGGGAAAAGTTTCTGTGATCCATCTAGCTATCATGTGCACCAAAAAATACATACTGGAGAAAAGCCTTATAGTTGCACTGAGTGTGGAAAGCAGTTCTCTAAACAATCAACTCTAAAGATCCACGGGAGAATACACACTGGAGAACAGCCTTACACTTGCACTGTGTGTGGAAATCAGTTTTCACAAGCACAACATCTGAAGATTCACCAGAGAATACATACTGGAGAAAAGCCTTACAGTTGCACTGTGTGTGGAAAGCAGTTTTCACGAGCACAACATCTGAAGATTCACCAGAGAATACATACTGGAGAAAAGCCTTACACTTGCACTGTGTGTGGAAAGCAGTTTTCACGAGCACAACATCTGAAGATTCACCAGAGAATACATACTGGAGAAAAGCCTTACAGTTGCACTGTGTGTGGAAAGCAGTTTTCACGAGCACAACATCTGAAGATTCACCAGAGAATACATACTGGAGAAAAGCCTTACACTTGCACTGTGTGTGAAAAGCAGTTTTCACAAACAGAACATCTGAGGATCCACCAAAGAATACATACTGGAAAAAAGTCTTATGTTTGTCTCGTCTGTGGGAAAAGTTTCTGTGATCCATCTACCTATCGTGTGCACCAAAAACTACATACTGGAGAAAAGCCTCATAGTTGCACTGAGTGTGGAAAGCAGTTCTCTAAACAATCAACTCTAAACATCCACCGGAGAATACATACTGGAGAAAAGACTTACACTTGCACTGTGTGTGGAAAGCAGTTTTCACGAACAGACCGTCTGAAGATTCACCAGAGAATACATACTGGAGAAAAGCCTTATGTTTGTCTCGTCTGTGGAAAAAGTTTCTCTGATCCATCTAACTATCGTGTGCACCAAAAGATACATACTGGAGAAAAGCCTTACACTTGCCCTGAGTGTGGAAAGCAGTTCTCCAAAGCACATGATCTGAAGATCCACCAGAGAATACATACTGGAGAAAAGCCTTAAAGTCAGCCAGTCAACTCACCTTCTAAAGCACCATGTATTACATGAGCAGAAGCTCTGCCACTGTTCTGTCTGTGGACTCTAGTTTATGAGGTGCTTATAGGAGTTTGGGGGGAAATTTGGGGGAAAACCAATTTAAACCGTGATCCTCTTTATCCCACATGTTAATTATTGATCAGAATAGACATGATTAGTGTCTGAAGTTTGTTTTTTAGGTTTTCACTGGAGCTGTGAGGCTAAGGTAGCCAACGTGTGTAGAAAAGAAATTGCAGTTTGAATTTCAAATCACTGTGATTTTAATGTTAGCTTAGTTTTTTTTTTACCTGATAATTTAGAGCTGGTGAACCTCCATACAACAACTAAACCTAACACCTTCATTATGCTTAAATCACAATATGGCTGCCTGGCACCATGGATTCATCGTTTAAGACTGAAGCATGAAAGAATGCTGACCATAAAAACAACCTGGGCCTTCTTTTAATTACAGTTCTACATTTTCCCCAAATCACTCAGCCAAACCAATGAGTAACGTTAACCATATTTATTTGTTGGCTACATTAACCTTGTAGCTCCAGTGCAAAACTAAAGAAGCAAACTCCAAACACCAAACATTTCAGCTGATCGACTACATTTAGGGTCAGCGGAAGAGTCAGTAATTTTGATCTTTTTTTCACTCAAAACAATTGTTTTAAGCCTTTAAATCTGGCAAAACAGTCAGAAAAGATGTTAACCAGAAAAGACGTTTCTTATCAACACCACACATCAGGAGTTTTCACTTTTACTTCTGAAACAGTTCTAATAAATATTGCAGCAATTGTTCTGTTCTGAAGCTGTACCAGATGTTGTGTGTCTGTTCCTTTAAATTTTTCTGGTTTATTCCTATTCCTGTGACTGTTACTGTGTAATCACCTGACCGTTTATTTTACACAGTTGTTAGATTTCACAGACACGTTACAAAAAACAGAATGTGATTAGCATGTTTTCATTTACTGACTTGAGGAAAAATACGTTTAAATAAAGAAAAGCACAAAATGTTTGACAAACCTTTACTTGAACTCTTCTCCATATCATTGATGTTACCATAAACATATCATGGCCGATTTCATATGCTGTACTGAGTTGTCACACTTATTAATAAAACCTTTAGAGGGCGGCGCTGAGCGACGTTTGTTAATTTGATGTTTGTTAATGACACCTTTAGAGGGCGGCGGTGAGCGACATTTGTTTATTTGGTGTTTGTTAATGTCGCCTTTAGAGGGCGGGGCTGAGCGACGTTTGTTTATTTGAAGTTTGTTAATGACGCCTTTAGAGGGCGGCGGTGAGTGATGTTTATTTATTTGAAGTTTGTTAATGACGCCTTTAGAGGGCGGCGCTGAGCGACGTTTGTTTATTTGAAGTTTGTTAATGACGCCTTTAGAGGGCGGCGGTGAGTGATGTTTATTTATTTGAAGTTTGTTAATGACGCCTTTAGAGGGCGGCGCTGAGCGACGTTTGTTTATTTGAAGTTTGTTAATGACGCATTTAGAGGGCGGCGCTGAGCGACGTTTGTTTATTTGAAGTTTGTTAATGACGCCTTTAGAGGGCGGCGGTGAGTGATGTTTATTTATTTGAAGTTTGTTAATGACGCCTTTAGAGGGCGGCGCTGAGCGACGTTTGTTTATTTGAAGTTTGTTAATGATGCCTTTAGAGGGCGGCGCTGAGTGATGTTTGTTTGTTTGAAGTTTGTTAATGACGCCTTTAGAGGGCGGCGCTGAGCGACGTTTGTTTGATGTTTGTTAATGACGCCTTTAGAGGGCGGAGGTGAGTGATGTTTGTTTATTTGATGTTTGTTAATGACACCTTTAGAGGGCGGCAGTGAGCGACGTTTGTTTATTTGATGTTTGTTAATGACGCCTTTAGAGGGCGGCGCTGAGCGACGTTTGTATATTTGAAGTTCGTTAATGATGCCTTTAGAGGGCGGCGCTGAGCGACGTTTGTTTATTTGATGTTTGTTAATGACTCCTTTAGAGGGCGGCGCTGAGCAACGTTTGTTTATTTGATGTTAATGACGCCTTTAGAGGGCGGCGCTGAGTGATATTTGTTTATTTGATGTTTGTTCATGACACATTTAGAGGGCGGCAGTGAGCGACGTTTGTTTATTTGGTGTTAATGACTCCTTTAGAGGGCGGCGCTGAGCGACGTTTGTTAATTTTATGTTTGTTAATGACACCTTTAGAGGGCGGCGCTGAGCGACGTTTGTTTATTTGATGTTTGTTAATGACGCCTTTAGAGGGCGGCGCTGAGCGACGTTTGTTTATTTGATGTTTGTTAATGACGCCTTTAGAGGGCGGCGCTGAGCGACGTTTGTTTATTTGATGTTTGTTAATGACGCCTTTAGAGGGCGGCGCTGAACGACGTTTGTTTATTTTATGTTTGTTAATGACACCTTTAGAGGGCGGTGCTGAGCGACGTTTGTTTATTTGATGTTTGTTAATGACGTCTTTAGAGGGCGGCGCTGAGCGACGTTTGTTTATTTGGTGTTAATGACTCCTTTAGAGGGCGGCGCTGAGCAACGTTTGTTCATTTGATGTTTGTTAATGACACCTTTAGAGGGCGGTGCTGAGCGACATTTGTTTATTTTATGTCAATGACTCCTTTAGAGGGCGGCGCTGAGTGATGTTTGTTAATTTTATGTTTGTTAATGACACCTTTAGAGGGCGGCAGTGAGCGACGTTTGTTTATTTGATGTTTGTTAATGACACCTTTAGAGGGCGGCGCTGAGCGACGTTTGTTTATTTGATGGTTGTTAATGACGCCTTTAGAGGGCGGCAGTGAGTGATGTTTGTTTATTTGATGTTAATGACTCCTTTAGAGGGCGGCGCTGAGTGATGTTTGTTTATTTGATGTTTGTTAATGACACATTTAGAGGGCGGCGCTGAGCGACGTTTGTTTATTTGATGTTTGTTAATGACGCCTTTAGAGGGCGGTGCTGAGCGACGTTCGTTTATTTGATGTTTGTTAATGACGTCTTTAGAGGGCGGCGCTGAGCGACATTTGTTTATTTGATGTTTGTTAATGACGCCTTTAGAGGGCGGCGCTGAGCGACGTTTGTACATTTGATGTTTGTTAATGACGTCTTTAGAGGGCAGCGCTGAGCGACATTTGTTTATTCGATGTTTGTTAATGACGCCTTTAGAGGGCGGCGCCGAGCGACGTTTGTTTGATGGTTGTTAATGACATCTTTAGAGGGCGGCGCCGAGCGACGTTTGTTTGATGGTTGTTAATGACTCCTTTAGAGGGCGGCAGCGAGCGACGTTTGTTTATTTGGTGTTAATGACTCCTTTAGAGGGCGGCGCTGAGTGATGTTTGTTTATTTGATGTTTGTTAATGACACCTTTAGAGGGCGGTGCTGAGCGACGTTTGTTTATTTGGTGTTAATGACTCCTTTAGAGGGCGGCGCTGAGCGACGTTTGTTTATTTGATGTTTGTTAATGACACCTTTAGAGGGCGGCGCTGAGCGTCGTTTGTATATTTGAAGTTTGTTAATGACGCCTTTAGAGGGCGGCGCTGAGCGACGTCTGTTTATGTGAAGTTTGTTAATAACACCTTTAGAGGGCGGCGCTGAGCGACATTTGTTTATTTGACGTTTGTTAATAACACCTTTAGAGGGCGGCGCTGAGCGACGTTTGTACATTTGAAGTTTGTTAATGACGCCTTTAGAGGGCAGCGCTGAGTGACGTTTGTTTATTAGATGGTTGTTGATGACGCCTTTAGAGGGCGGCGCTGAGCGACGTTTGTTTATTTGATGGTTGTTAATGACGCCTTTAGAGGGCGGTGCTGAGCGACGTTTGTTTATTTGATGTTTGTTAATGACACATTTAGAGGGCGGCGCTGAGTGATGTTTGTTTATTTGATGTTTGTTAATGACACATTTAGAGGGCGGCGCTGAGCGACGTTTGTTTATTTGATGTTTGTTAATGACGCCTTTAGAGGGCGGCGCTGAGTGACGTTGGTTTATTTGATGTTTGTTAGTGACGCCTTTAGAGGGTCATTTAGCTGAGTGACGTTTGTTTATTTGATGTTAATGATGGAAAATGGATGGATAATCTGAAATAATCAGTTTTCTTTGGGGACTATTTTGCCTCACAGCGCCCTGCATGTATCCCTCCACTATGAATGGAGTTCAAGTTCTCTAAACTATCATAAAACAGTGTCTCAGTCATCAGGCAGTGAATTCATAACCATTTCATGTAGGAACTTTCTGTGAGGGAGCTTTTAGTGGTGGACGTCTGGTTCCCATCACCACCACTGTGAACAGTTCTGACTGGGTAAGTTGCTCTAGAACCACATCAAACCACTCTGAATGACTTTGTTTACATCTCAACCAGCAGAATTCCCCTTTCAGTGGGGATCAGCATTCCTTTCCAGTAGCTGCTAGGTGTAGGAATGAGTGAGAGGAGGTAGAAAATGACCTGAATTGGGAAAAATAACACTTTCAGATATTGATTATTCCCTTACCTGATATAACATTAACAAATTATACTTTTATTTAGTGCAGTGCAGGTACAGGTATCACGTCTGCTCTACACAGGGTTCTTCACCCCTGTGAACAGTTCTGACTCGGTGAGGTTCTCTAGAATGCATTCAACTTCTTTGAATTACTTTGAATTACATATTGATCGTTTTCAAAGATTTTGAAAAATGGTTGAATTTGCTTTTAAAGCAACACCACTGTAACAATAATAACTTTTGTATTGCAAAACCTCTTTAGGGGGGTCTGTTTGACTGAATGTTGCCTGTAGGCAACAATGTAGAATCTCATAACAGTCCATAAGTTTAAACATATTCCAGAGATGTTTAGTTGAATGTAGAAGTGAAACCTTTTAGATACTGTAGTTCATCTTTGTATGTACAGTTTGTGTTAGTCATCCTTTAACCCTTCATCGGTGGGCAGTTTCTGACCACAGAGCTGCTCTTGGCTGGAAATTTTAGGGTCAGTCTGCTCTCAACCTAGCAGTTGCACTGAACTCTGAATGCACATCTATAGAGTGGAGCTATGAGGTGAGTGTTTCTAATAAAGTGGCCAGTGAGTAAAAGCACAAGTTGGGTGTTTCTAATAAAGTGGCCGGTGAGTGGAAGCACAAGGTAGGTGTTTCTAATAAAGTGGCCAGTGAGTGGAAGTGGAGTGTAGGTGTTTCTGATAAAGTGGCCAGTGAGTAAAAAGCAGAAGTTGGCAGTTTCTAATAAAGTGGCCAGTGACTGGAAGTGGAGTATAGGTGTTTCTGATAAAGTGGCCAGTGAGTGGAAGTGCAATGTAGGTGTTTCTGATAAAGTGGCCAGTGAGTAAAAAGCTGTTGGCAGTTTCTAATAAATTTAAAGAGATACAATGGGCGCCGGGGACTTTTATTTTGACACACTGTGAATTCCCCCAGAGCTTGGGGGGCGGGGGCTTTTATTTTGATACAGTGTGAATTCCCCTCCGTGTAGCCGGATGAGGCTTGTGGAGGTTTGGCTCGACTTTCTTCAGTTTAAGGTTAAATTAGTCTCGGAACCGAATCGAAGTCTCCGATTAAAGAAGTCGGAAACACAGCGGGTGAGTTGAGCTCCGCGTTTTGGGTCGGAACCATCTCATAGGCGGAATAAAAGTCGAGTGTTTCTGTCCTAACGAGCTTCAGGAGGGGCGAAGTTGGCTTCTCTTTCGAATTTCCCGTTCCACCTTAAACGGTGCAGTAGTTACAGCGGTAGCCCCAGGCGCCTAAGTGTGACTGCCGCACTGTTTAAGGTGGAACGGGAAATTCGAAAAAGCAGCTGGAAGAGCTTCTTTCTCTCCGCTGTTTAAGGTACCGTATGGGGTCCATATTATGCCCGACTGTAAGATGTATACAGTCTGTTCAATCGATCAGCATTAATTCGGGCGTTTATTGATTATTCGTGTTGATTAATAGTCTTGCGCGGCCAGGATTTCTTCCGTTTCCTGTCTTCACCGCAGGCCCCGCTGTAGAGTCTGCACGGTTATATCGGTGTAGTATCGGCATCGACGATATTTCCTCCAGAACTGTAACTTTTCAGAAGATAAAAGGTTCTTAACCTATAATGTAAGTTAATATAAAAATGTTTCCCCAAGTGATTTTGGGCGATTAATATGAGCCCATTCATCATGAAACTCCCAAACAGTGTACAGGGCAGCTGGTGTTACATCAACAAATCATGTTGTGATGGAAACAGACATATGCTTGAGCCTGCCAAAGGTTTGATGACTTTTATTTTGTCGTATTGAAGATGAAACTTACATTTCTGTACTGCAGAGAGAAGGAAAAATATGTGTTCTTATTATGTTTATAAATAACCTTTACTTTTTTCATACATCATGGTAATAATTTTAATATTAACTTTGAGTTAATATAGTTTAGCTTAAAAAACACTTACTAGAACACTTTTGTTCCTTATACTCTACAGGACAGCTGGGTATTTTGGCATTTATTTAACAAAGTACGTATAAAAAACAAAACAAAATAAGTTTTGTTCAAACAGGGACGATAAATTTTAATTTCACTATGTTGTCTTTGAAGTCAAGGGTCAAACCAACAAGGCTCTGGCTTAGGAATCAGATAGTAAGCTTCTCATTCTCATTCTGTGGCGAGATTTTGGTTTTCAGACTGTATTTGTTGGTGTTTACGACGACTAGCCAGGCCACCACAGATCCGGCTACAGAGTCTGCGCGATTATATCGGTACAGTATCGGAATCAACAATATTTTACTGAAATCTTACTTGAGTCCACAACATCTAATGCAAAGTACAGGGAACATAAATCTTTACATTATCGTGTGTATGAAAAACTAGGATCGTGCATTTCCTGAAGAAAACACAGGCTGACTGGCGGTTGCTATGATGTTGCTATGACATAAGATTTGGTTGCTAAAATGTTGCTAGAAAGTTTCCGTGGTGTACGGGGTGTGTACTGAGTGGTTGTTTGGGGGTGGCCAAGTGGTTGCCAAGTATTGTTAAAAATGAATGAGACCCTATGGAAGGAATGAGGAATGAAAAATGATGCATAGAGGAGTGCAGGTCAGTATAAATATAGATTAGATTAGATTAGAACCTGAGTGAGTGCATGAAGTTTGGTGGCTGTCTGGCAAAGAAATAATAAGGTTTTGTAGGGACAAAAATGAATGGGACTCTATGGGAGAAACAAGGGATGAAAAAAGACAAACAGATAAGTGCGGGTCAGATCAACATTGAACTCTTGCTTGGGGGCCTAACCCGAGATAGTATATATGAAATGGTGTCTGTTGGGCGGGCAGAAGTACAGTAGATGGACGTGCCATTTTTGCATCCATTCATTTCTATGGTAAAAAAATCCGTAATTTAACGGAGATTGTACGAAAACTGTACGCCGGATCAAAAAGCCATGTATACCATACCATTTTTGACGTTTAGTGCACTGTTGTTATCCGATTTATATTCTTCTACTTCTTTTTTTGTTTATTTTGCTGCTGGATTTTTTTCCACTAACTCGTCTCGCAGTTTTCGAGATATCGACACCGTTCCAACTCTGGAATGTTTGATCACATTGATTTATCAGTCTACTCAGGCTTTAGCAGAGCTCAGTAACACTAAGATTAATAACCGATCACATTGATTTATCAGTCTACTCAGGCTTTAGCAGAGCACAGTAACGCTGAGATTAATAACCGATCACATTGATTTATCAGTCTACTCAGGCTTTAGCAGAGCTCAGTAACGCTGAGATTAATAACCGATCACATTGATTTATCAGTCCACTCAGGCTTTAGCAGAGCTCAGTGACACTGAGATTAATAACTGATTAACAGATCATATTGATTTATCAGTCTACTCAGGCTTTAGCAGAGCTCAGTAACGCTGAGATTAATAACCGATCACATTGATTTATCAGTCTACTCAGGCTTTAGCAGAGCTCAGTAACCCTGAGATTAATAACCGATCGCATTGATTTATCAGTCTACTCAGGCTTTAGCAGAGCTCAGTAACCCTGAGATTAATAACCGATCGCATTGATTTATCAGTCTACTCAGGCTTTAGCAGAGCTCAGTAACACTGAGATTAATAACCGATCGCGTTGATTTATCAGTCTACTCAGGCTTTAGCAGAGCTCAGTAACACTGAGATTAATAACCGATCGCATTGATTTATCAGTCTACTCAGGCTTTAGCAGAGCTCAGTAACACTGAGATTAATAACCGATCGCATTGATTTATCAGTCTACTCAGGCTTTAGCAGAGCTCAGTAACGCTGAGATTAATAACCGATCACATTGATTTATCAGTCTACTCAGGCTTTAGCAGAGCTCAGTAACGCTGAGATTAATAACCGATCACATTGATTTATCAGTCTACTCAGGCTTTAGCAGGATCTTCAGTGTTTGCTATGAAGCAGTTTATTAAGGTCTTCTTTAGTTAGTCTTTACATGCTGTGTGCTGATTTTAAAAGGTGTATGTTATATAAAATATGTATTATATGTGGTATAAGTTCAAAGGTAAGTATTCTAAAAGTATTATTCTAAAATGTAAAAGTAACTGTACCGTTCTGAATACTGTCTTTACAAAATGTAACTTGGACTGAATACAGATACTTTTAATAATTTTCGTGTTCTGAATATGGATTCCCAGTGTTTGTATTCCATTACATCTCAACGCTGTGTAGATCAGATGTGATACATGTGCCCGCACCGCAGCTTTTATTCAATAAACAATAGTATAATTTGTTATTTTTAATGTTATAGCAGTAGATATATCAGCTTAGAGAATAATCACTGAAAAAATCTGAAAACTGTTATTTTTCCCCAATTCATTTTCTACCTCCTCTAGCTCATTCCTTCACCTAGCAGCTACTGGAAAGGAATGCTGATCCCCATTAACAAGGGAATTCCGCTGGTTTCTACATAATTAAATGGTTGAGATGTAAACAAAGTCATTCAGAGTGGTTTGATGTGGTTCTAGAGCAACTTACTGAGTCAGAATTGTTCACAGTGGTGGTGATAGGAACCAGACGTCCACCTCTAAAAGCTCCCTCAGAGAACGTTATTACATTGAATGGTTATGAATTCACTGCCTGATGACTGAGACACTGTTTTATGATAGTTTAGAGAACTTAAACTCCATTCATGGTGGAGGGATACATGCAGGGCGCTGTGAGGCAAAATAGTCCCCAAAGAAAACTTATTATTTCAGATTTTCCACTATTTTCATCATCAACATTCCATATAAACCCAGAAGACTCGTGTAGGTTCACTGGTGGTTTTGGTTAGTAAATAAAATGTCTATATTTGTGTTGTAGTCATGGTGACCCCTGGTTCCTGTCACCACCACTGTGAAGACATCTGAACCATTTCACACTAAACCACTCTGAATCTCTCTGATTACATCTCACACACTGAATTATGCAGACATTTAGAATGCAGACGTGTCCTACTTGTTTTAATTATAATTCTTATATAATTTCTTGCTGGCTTTTTGTCTTACAAATAGAAAAACCTCAATGATTCAGTGAATGTTAAATGTCCTACTGCTTTTTGTCCATCCTGAATGAACAGAGCAAGACGAGACTGGTGTAATTATTTGGACAAAATGGCAGAAGGTGCATTGATGCCTGAGAAGCCTGAGGATGAAGAACAAGAGATGTACTCTACAACGTCGCTAACGTCCCACGATCCTCAGACATTCTCTGCAACGTTGTCAACGTCCCGTGACCATGAGACGTTCTCTGCGACGTTGCCAATGTCCTGCAACCCTGAGACGTTCTCTACATCACCAGCATCCCGCAACCCTGAGACATTTTCTGCAACGTTGCCAACGTCCCACAACCCTGAGACATTCTCTGCAACGTTGCCAACGTCCCACAACCCTGAGACATTCTCTGCAACGTTGCCAACGTCCCACAACCCTGAGACATTCTCTGCAACGTTGCCAATGTCCCGTGACCCTGAGACGTTCTCTACAACATCAGCAATGTCTAGCAACCCTGAGACATTCTCTGCAACGTTGCCAACGTCCCACAACCCTGAGACATTCTCTGCAACGTTGCCAATGTCCCGTGACCCTGAGACGTTCTCTACAACATCAGCAATGTCTAGCAACCCTGAGACATTCTCTGCGACGTTGCCAATGTCCCGTGACCCCGAGACATTCTCTGCGACACTGTCGACGTCGCACAACCCTGAGATGTTCTCTACAACATCAATGTCTCGAAACCCTGAGACATTCTCTGCGGCGTTGCCAACATCCCGTGACCCTGAGAGGTTCTCTCCTGCGTTGCCAACATCTCGTGGCCCTGAGACGTTATCTACATCACCAACATCCCGCAAGCCTGAGACGTTCTCTGCACCATTACCAACGTCTCACGACCCTCAAACGTTCTCTGTCACGTTGCCAACGTCCCGCAACCCTGAGGTGTTCTCTGCGCCATTGCCAACATCTCGCGACCCTGAGACATTCTCTACAGCACCAACATTCGGCAAGCCTGAGACATTCTCTGCACCGTTGCCAACGTCTTGCGACCCTGAGACGTTCTCTGCGACATTGGCAACATCTCGCGACCCTGAGACGTTCTCTGCAACGTTGCCTATGTCTCGCGACCCTCAGACGTTCTCTGCAACGTTGCCTACGTCTCACGACCCTCAGACGTTCTCTGCAACGTTGCCTACGTCTCGCGACCCTCAGACCTTCTCTGCAACGTTGCCAACGTCGCGCGACCCTCAGACGTTCTCTACAACGTCGTCAACATCTGGTGATCCTGACAATTTCTCTACAACGTCGCCAACGTCCCATGACCCTGAGATGTTTTCTAAAACATTACCAACATCTTGCAACTCTGAGACGTTCTCTACAACATCACCAGCGTCCTGCGAACCTGAGACGTCCTCTACAAAGTCGCCAACGTCTTGCAATCCTGAGATGTTCTCTACAACGTCACCAAAGTCCCACAAGCCCAAGACATTGTCATTGACAACTGTGCTGACATCGCGCTCCAAAAAACCCTTTGTGAAGTCAGTGGAGACGGATCTATCCATGGCTGACATTGAGGCAATCCAAGAAGAAAATCACCACCTGAGGAAGAGGGTGGCGTCTGTGGTGAAGAAAATAAAGCAGCGTGAGTTCTACAACCTAAGAAAGGTATGAAACCAAAAGTGTTTCTGGGGCTGGGCCTGTTATCAATGATTCAGTCTGCTTTCAGTAAGACTGAGCTAACAATAAATAGTTAACATGAAATAAACTCACTAAAGTGATTACAGGTGCAGTGAAGTGGGCATGAATTCATTTTTGGATAAGTCCCTCAAAAAGTGGGTAGGGCTACAATGCAGTCATAATTATATCTATTCCAAAGCTTCTGCCCTGTGCTGATACAAACCAATAGCAATCATCCGGAATACTGGATTCACATAAAGTACTGTAGAGCATGTGTCCATCAAAAGCATCAGCTTTTGCTCAGTGAAGATGACGAGTTAAAGTCAGACCGCTGAGATGAACAAAGTTGAGGAAAAACAAAAACAGCAAACGTAAACCTGATCATCCAAGGCTAAAGCATACTTCCGCAGCAGGTCCATTTATGTCTCACGTTTGATGACTTGATAGATTCAAGCAACCGCGTTTGTTTTGACACAGTCTAATTTAGTGTTTTAAGTGGAAGAGCACTGTAAATATGAAATTTGCCAAAAAACTAATTTTTTTGAAAACAGTGTTTGTTACATTTGATTTCGCATTTGAACATTTGACATTTTTGGAAATGGCTAGAAAACGACTCTAAACTGGGCTAAAATCTCCCATTTACACGTCCTTTAAGAAGGTGGAGCTTTAAATTCAACACAGCCTAATAAATATTCTTTCCCCTTTGACTGGATATTCAGTCTGGCTAGATTCAGGCTAGGGCTGGTATTGTGATAAAATTCGATATTCGATAAAGCTGTCGGATATCATGAATATACGATAGTTTACTATTACAATATAGTGTTTCTGGCTGGATGTAATGCAAATGCAGACATTCTTTTGGGATGTGTACACAGAAATTAGCTTTTTCTTATCCTTGGGACCACCAGTGGTTCCAACACGCACTTCGTCATATTCTTCATAACTTTCATATTTCATAAGCTACATTCTAAAGGTGGGTGTCATATGAGAGCTGTAACTGTCTTCTTTCCAGTTAAATAGATGGGTGATGTAATTTTAAACTCTTAATAGAAGTAATAGAATAGAAGAACCTGAACTCAATACAGATGGCGTCTCTTCAGTGATCTGCTCTGTAAAAATGATTTTTATAAAAAAAATACAAGATCGTCTAAGATTTTTGGCTTTCAGCAGTAAATTGTAAGCATATAGCAATATGTGTGATCATAAAACACATTTTCTGTTAATTTGAGGGGAGCTTGTACCAAAAAAAAATAAAAGTTTACATTTATTTCATGCCGTTACTGAATAATTTGCCTTATGATTTGGTCATGTAAATTCAGATGGAAAAAACAAAATATACCCTGGTCAGTAAGAGATCCACCGTTTACTATTCTGCAAGATAAAAAGAAGTGAAATACTAATAAGTACTTACATCAGAACTGAGAGCACATTTTTTTGGGCTGAGAAACAGTCAGTATTACCTCAACAGCTTTTTCTATAAAGGCTATAAACCAAATAAATGTATACTTATTTTTTACGTATGCACACAAGAACAAATATGTATTCTTGTTTCATTTTATTGTTTGGTTAGTTATTAAGTATTGTGACGTCAGACACGCCAGGTTGTATTTGGTTTAAAAATAACACTGTTCTTGCTTTTGGTTGAGTGTAGTTAGGCAGCGTGTTCTTAGTTGGTCCATGACTCTTATTTTGAAGGACTCGGGGTCGTAAGGTAACAAGCTTCAGTAGCTCAGCTGGCCAGCAGAAAACAGTAGAGCCTGAGTAGCCTGTGTGCTGCATGTTTTCCCCTTTACTGCAGCTTTTTTGCAGTTGAATTTCCATTAAAGATGAGTTATGGGGACGTTTTAATGTCTCAGTGTGTGTTTTGTAGTTGAATTTCCGCTAAAGCCGAGTTACGGGGACATTTTAAGCTCTCTCTGTGTGTTTTGTAGTTGAATTTCTACTTAAGCCGAGTTATGGGGACATTTTAATGTCTCAGTGTGTGTTTTGTAGTTGAATTTCCACTAAAGCCGAGTTATGGGGACATTTTAATGTCTCAGTGTGTGTTTTGTAGTTGAATTTCCACTAAAGCCGAGTTATGGGGACATTTTAATGTCTCAGTGTGTGTTTTGTAGTTGAATTTCTACTAAAGCCGAGTTATGGGGACATTTTAATGTCTCAGTGTGTTTTGTAGTTGAATTTCTACTAAAGCTGAGTTATGGGGACATTTTAATGTCTCAGTGTGTTTTGTAGTTGAATTTCCACTAAAGCCGAGTTATGGGGACATTTTAAGCTCTCACTGTGTGTTTTGTAGTTGAATTTCTACTAAAGCTGAGTTATGGGGACATTTTAATAGTTCAAACGATGATAAAAACAAGAAGCTGATTAAAAGGATAGCACCTGAAAGCGCAACTCGATGCGCTGAACACGGCAAAACAACAGACGCAGAAAAGGAAAGTCCCTGCAGCGCTGATGCCATCTGTACACTCAGTTTAATGAAAATATTCACAGACACAGAGTAAAAATTAACTATAAAATAGTAGTCTTGGATGATCAGCCACTCTATCTTGTTGAGGACGCTGGATTTCGTGGATCATTTTGTAGCTACAGGCTGTAATCATTTCTCTTTATTTAATGTAAACTGTTTTTATTGATTGTCAGGTGAGTTTTGTGCTACCAAAAGGATTTTATCAACAATACTTGTTTTATTTTATTAACTTTTATTAACATTTTATTAATTTCTGTTTTGCTTTTGGCCTGGAGTTTTTATTTCAGCGCATCGCTGCTAAATTCCATTATTTTTAGTTATATTTCACACTTTGGCTTTTTCTACCGGTTTTGGCCAAAACTTTGGTGCATCCCTAATTCACACAATAATCCACAGTGTACAGCTCAATCAGACCTTATTTACAAAGAATATTTTACGTTATTACATGTAGTAAATGTGACATTGGGAGTGTTTCCTAGGGACTCTTACTGTGGTGTTATCTTTTCTGTGTATGAGTATACAAAAACTAGGGAACTATCATCACTTGTAGTTCTAAGACAACGATGGTCGTATTTGAATGTTCATTAAATGTTAAACAGCAGGGGGCGCAGTCACAACGTTCGTAACTTTTTCAGTCAAAGTTACGAAAAAATTGAGTTTGTTGTACTTTGCAATTGTTTACACATTAGCTTTACTGTAAGTAACGTTTTTCTTTATTCTGATTTTAGCTGTGCCTGAAAGTTTGGTTGCCTGACTGATTATCAACCTTGAATTTGTGAAAATTATTCTCTAGGTCTTTTAAGATCGTAACTTAGGACTGAAGAGGGGACATTTCTGGTTTTTAATGCTAGTTACATGAAGTAAATAACATTTTTTATTACCTAAATTTCGTGTCTTTTCAAGTTCATTGGTGGAACGGGTGTCTCGTTAATGCAATTGAGCCAGTCAGGTGTGTTGTGCAGTGGAATAGGACTATTTAGACTCCCACATGTTATCTACAGTGTTTTATTGTTATAAAGTATGAAGGTGAATGGTGTAATGGACATTTGAACAGCGCTGTATTTCTAATGGTTGCCGTGGTTTCCTGTAGCGTGTGGAGGTTTCCGACCCGTCCAGGCTGCGCTCGGACTGTAACGGGAGGAGCAGACGTAAACAGCGGACCCCCTTAAAGCTGTGTTCGATGCGGATGGTGGACTACACAGGGTCCGAGGATGCTGAGGGAGCAGACAGCGAAATTCTATCGGACGAAGAAGAAGAAGGAGAAGAAGAGGACGAAGTTTACAAAATTGTTCCTCCACGTAAGAGGCCACTCTGTTGTAGTGATAATAATAATAATAATAATAATAATATACTGTCATTTGCAAAACAACCAAATTCTGTGTTGTTTTTTTAAGTGAGAAAAGGTTAACACACACTCTACAGAGAACACACTTCATTTTGGACCTTTTTTCTGCTAAATTTAGTGCACAATTTCTATTTATCTGCTGAATTTAACACTGAAAAAAATAAAATATAAAATGTGCCATAACTTTTGCCCAGGCCTTATGTTGTGTTTTTTCTTTTTTGTCAATGTGTTAAATTCAGTAAATAAACAGGAATTGTGTATTAAAATGTGCAGTAGTGAGTCTCTGTAGATAATGTGTAACTTATTCACACTCAGAAAATCAACAACATGATGGAATTTGATTTATTATTATTATTATTCCTATAACACTTTGTTCAGTTCAAGTTATCTAAATATGTATATAACGTGTGTATGTACAAATATATATATATATATGTGTGTGTGTATGTGTTTGTAATGTATAAAATTTAAATAATATAATGTTTACATTAATCATATGTTTTAGGATGTAAATCCAGGTCATTTTTTACTGTCAAAAATGGGATTTGGTTCTGACAGCGATGATAAAGCATTTTAATAATTCACTGTCTCGTCAATGTGCTCTCAGGGTCCAAAAGAAAGAAAAGGGAAGACTTGCCGTCGCGACCGGTTCCCAAGAAGGAGAAGCGCTATCACTGCCTGTACTGTGAGAAGAGCTTCTACAACTCCGGCAACCTTAATGCGCACCACCGAATTCATACTGGAGAGAAGCCGTACAAATGCTCGTACTGCGAGAAAAGCTTCACGCAGTCCGGACAGCTGAAGTACCACGAGAGGAAGCACACCGGAGAGAAGCAGCCGGAGCCGCGGAAGAAGAAGAAAGAGAGCAAGAAGAATCTGGTCCCGTGCCCTTACTGCGGGAAGTGCTTTCCCAGCCAGTCGCACGTCATCATGCACCAGAGAATTCACACCGGAGAAAGGCCGTACGTCTGCTCGCACTGCGGGAAGAGCTTCCGACAGAAGGGCCGCTTGAGGGCGCACGAAAGGCTTCACACCGGAGAGCGTCCCTTCTCCTGCTCCGAATGTGGGAAAACCTTCAACGAGAAAAAAGACTTCAAGATACACCAGACGGTTCATACCAAAGAAAAGCCTTACCTGTGCTCTGTGTGTGGGAAAAGCTTCTCCAGGCCTGACGGCCTTTACTTCCATCAGAAGATCCATAGCGACGTCAGGGCCCACTTGTGCTCCCTCTGCGGCAAAAGTTTCATCCGCCTGGGGGCGTTGAAGAACCACCAGCGGACGCACAGCGACGAGAAGCCCTTCCTTTGTCCCCTGTGCGGAAAGTCCTTCAAGACGCCGCCGTACCTGCAGAAGCACATCCGGACGCACTCCGGGGAGCGTCCCTACAGCTGCTCGCTCTGCGGCGAGAGCTTCTCGCGCTCCGACAACCTCGTGAGTCACGAGAAGAGGCACACTGGAGAAAGGCTGCACGAGTGTCCGCGCTGCGACAAGGCCTTCATCCTGCCTGAGCTCCTGGTGGCCCACCAGGAGGTCCACACCGGAGAAAGACCGTACCGTTGTTCTGTGTGCGGAGAAACCTTCAGCTACTCCGGGTCTCTGCTGACGCACCAGAAGAAGCACACCGCGGAGGAACTCAGCGACAGCCCGCAGCCAGACTCCCAAGACGCCCAAGACCCCCAAGACCTTTAAAAACAAATACCAAGTTATCCTTTACCTCAAACGTAGTCGATCACACAGCGCACGTTTGGTGTCTCAACTTGGTTTCGTTAGGTTTTTGCAGTGGAGCTTGGAGGCTAACGTAGCTAACGAGTAACAGAATTAGCTTCACCAGTTAGCATGGTGCCTTCACCATCACGCTCGCCTCAAACCTTGTGGAGATGTTCAGTAATCTCTAATAGACTTGATTATGTGGTTTGTAGGTGTGTCTTCTTTTCGGTATGCATTCCACATGCGTATTAAAACCAAGAAGCGAGGCTTTTTTCCAGTATGTGTTCTTGTTATGTACTAAAGCCAAGAGGTACTGTTTATCTTCGGGGTGTATTCCAAGAGATAAGGCTTTTCTCCAGTATGAATTGACGGTACGTATTGAAGCTGAGAGGTAAGTCGTCTCTCCAGTATGCATGCATGTATGTTTGTGTATGAAAGCTCAGCAGTAAGGCTGTCTCCAGTATGAGTTCTCTGTATGTTTCAAACATCCTAGGTCAGGCTTCTCTCCAGTATGTATTCTTTGTGCATTCTGAGAGGCAGGGCCTCTCTCCACTGTGTATTTCTTACACGTATTGAAGCTCAGCAGTGAGACTTTTGTATGTGTTGATGCCCAGAGGTACGACACAGCTTTGGTATGTATTAAAGCCAAGAGGTAGTGTGGTATCCAGTATGTATTCTTTGCACATATTTAAATATATTCCTGTATGTATTTGTTTATGCGTTTTTTATATATATATATATATATATATATATATATATATATATATATATATATGTGTATGTGTGTGTGTGTGTGTGTGTGTGTGTGTGTATATATATATATATATATATATATATATATATATATATATAAAATCCTAAAATCAAAAGGTACTGCTTTTTTTCAGTATGTATTCTTTGTAAGTCTTAAAGCCCATTGGCGTGGCTTTTCTCCAGTATGTCTTTTTGTATTAATTTAAACCCAGAGATAAGTCTTTTTTTCCTCCAGTATGTATTCTTTTTGTGTCTGAAAGCCAGTAGGTACTGTTTTCCTCCTGTATGCATTTGTTGTATTAATTTTAGCCCAGAGGAAAGTTTTATTTATTTTTCCCCCCTCCAGTATGTATTCATTTGCTTTAAAGCCAATAGGCATGTCTTTTCTCCAGTATGTATTTTGTGTTTAAGCCCAGAGATAAGGCTTTTTCTCCAGTATGTATTTTGTCGTATTACCAATCAGCATAGTAGGTACGTTTTTTTCCCCCCAGTATGTATTTTTTGTATTAAGCTCACAAAAGTCTTTTTTTACAGTATATATTCTTTGTCTGTCTTATAACTAATAGGCATAGCTCTTCTCCTGTATGTATTCTTTGTGTAAAAAGCAGTAGGCATGGCTTTTCTCTAGTATGTATTCTTTGTAAGTCTTAAAGCAAATGGGTAAGCCTTTTTTTCCAGTATATATTTTTTGTATTAATTATGCGTCTTTTCTCCAGTGTGTGTTGTTTGTAAGTCTTAAAGCCAATAAGTGAGGCTTCTCTCCAGTATGTATTTCTTTTTTGTGTATATTTAAGCCCAGAGATGTCTTTTTTCTCGAGTTTGTATTCTTTGTAAGTCTTAAAGCTGATAGGCGAAGGTTTTCCCCAGTATGTATTATTTTTGTCTTAAAGCCGACAGGCATGTCTTTTCTCCAGTATGTATCCTTTGTAAGTCTTAGATCCAATAGACACAGCTTTTTTCCAGTATGTATTCCTTTTAAGTCTTAAAGCTAAGAGGCATGTCTGTTCTCCAGTATGTATTCTTTGAAAGTCTTGAAGCTGATAGTTGAGGCTTTTCTCCAGTATGCATTGTTTGGTAAAGTATAAAATTACATTTTAATTTCAAGTTCTTCAAATGATACGACGGAAATCCTATGTGGCTGAGCCACCGGTGGAACCTTCAGTTATAGCCCCATCAGATCTACACACAGTGGCCACTTTATTAGAAACCCCCTCCTTTGTAGCTACGCTAGTGTACAGTGAGACAGAGTCTCCCATCAAAATCAGGTCTATTAGAGAATATTTAACAACTCGACACGGTTTGAGGCAATTATGATTTATTCAGGTTAGCATGATGCTAACTGGTGGGGTATAAGCTTCCATTACTCGTTAGCTGCATTAGCCTTGTAGCTCCAGAGCTAAAACTACAGAATCAAACTTCAGACACCAAACGTGCTCCAGGTGATCGACTGCATTTGAGGTAAAGTGTGTACATTTGATTTGTTTGCCAAACGTTTCGCTTTATTCAACTTGTGTTGAAACACTGAGGTGAACGAGCACAAAAAGGACCAGGTGATGAAACAGACTCAGTTCGGACTGGCTGATCATTCAGGAGTTGTTGTTTTATATTATTATTATTGTTTTGTATTGCAAATTCAGGAAACGTTGACTGCCTAAGTAACATTCATGCCTAAATCACATCTGCTTGCTTTTTAACGTTCTGCTCATTCCTCTACTGACAAACTGTAACTGTTCATGTTGATTTTTCACTGTTCAGCAGATTCAATACTGTATATTGAACATTCAGTTTCGATTTAACCTTGTACCTTAATGCAGTTCGACAAGAAGTATTTCAAGGCTTTTAATTTCATTGAGGACTTTTATATTAAAAGATGACGACTGATTATAACTCATAAATTGGTTGTAAGTGTTACGTAATGGTTTGTTCCTGCTGAAAGGTTGCACAGTCAGATTAGTACACGGCGATTCAGACTTTACATGCTAACAAGTTGGACTGTGTCATCAATATGAGTGAGAGTTTCTGTATAGTGTCCACTAAAGAGCATTTCTACCAGAATACAGGAATATGTCATACATGTTGGACTGTAATTTTTATTTTATTAAAAAATTAACTCATTTTTCTTTGTGGCTGTTTGAAATCCATTATTCTTACACAATAAATGTCTGTTTTTCTAAGAAATCTGTGCCGTTTATTTTAATAAAAACTAAAAGAACTTTGTGTCGGCTATGGGAAACTTATGCACAGGACAGGGAGAAGGGGAGAACTCTACACATTGTCAAGAAGAAGAAAAACAGCCAAAGAGGAGAACATCTGAAGAACAAGATCAGAGCATTTCAGTGGTGAAGAGACCTCAGAGTGTAGATTAAGTCGGCCTTAGGTTTCCAGTTCTGCCTTAAATGGTGCCGCAGTTCCATTAATGTAATTGCTGCACCATTTAAGGTGGAACGGGAAAATTCAAACAAGTAGCTGAGGTGCCGGAATGTAACTGTTGCACTATTTAAGGTGGAACGGCAAAATTCGACCGAGAAGCTGAGGTGCCAGGGTCATGAAGAGTTGAAAGGCATGAAAAGGGATGAGGAGGCTGCTCTGTTTCTGCTGGACAGGAGAGGAACATTTACTTATTTTGCTGTTTCACAGAAACAACAGGTCAGTATTGTTTTGTTCTATTGTTGTTCACCTTGACAATGTGTGTCCATGAATTTGAGGGAGCTTCTAAAGGAGTGCTGAAGGGAGGGGTGTGTATGTTTTTCTGTAGAGTTCAAATATAAACCATCATTCTCCAAATTTGCTTACTGCACCTCTAATTAGTTTATCACTTTCACACATTTCTGTGAAATCTACCAGCCATTCCCTGCATTTATAATAACATTAAAGCAAAAATCTTTAAATTTCCTATTTTAAGAACTTACAGGGCTTTTGACAATTTTAGATGTAACATCTGTGGATTTTTTTAAAAAAGACAATTGTTAATGGAAAAAAAAATATATAGAAGTTTATATGTTGCTCAGTATTAAAATTCTATGAATCGGTGCTATTTATTTTTTACATTCATTAAAATGAAAGGAAACAGACAGTAATATGGGCGTTGTAACAGTAATTTTTGCTATTCAGACTACACCAGTGGTTTTCTACCTGTGGGCTGCTAGGCGCCCAGTGGCAGTCATTTATGTTTATTTTTTTAAATATAAAACAAAACATCAAAAATGCCTAAATATTTAGGTTGAGCTCAGTGATCTGACAGAATGCATCACCAGCATAGTTGACATCCATTATGGATAAATGGCTACAAAGAGAACATTTCAGGATTTTTTTGGGTTTATTAAGTTATGTGAAGTGAAATTTGATGGGCAACATTGATTATTGTGTTATAGTTGCATTTGAAATGATCGGGCTGATTACATCCCATACAGAAAAAATATATTCCAAATGTGTTTATCAAATATGTTTTTGCAGTGTATGAAAATGGCCAAGAAATGTATTTGTTAAATAATCAATTTTAAAATATATTTCAATTTATATATTTAACATATACATTTTTGGCCATTTTTATATGTTGCAAGAATATATTTGATCAATTCATTTGGAATATTTGTGTTTTTTCCCATATGGGAGTTTTCAGATTTGGGTTTATCCAGAGCCACAAGAGTAAATGAGGCTGGAAGAATGTGAAATTACTGTTTTGTAAGTTGGATGGAAAAGTTCTTTTCCAGTTCTTCTCCGAAGCTTTGGGGTCCGAACTCCAAAATGACTGAGGAGAACCTTAACCCACCTTCACTGCAGCTCACACACAACAATGAGGACCAGTCATGTTTATTGTGGTCTGACTGTGGAGGAAGGTTTGTAGCAGGAATGGGAATATTGATATGGGAATTCTGGCTGATGCAGATATCTGATATTTCTACAGTGACAAAATGAATTTCACAGAAATGGAACAATTATATATTACAATATATATTACAAACAAACCAACGTTGCAGGTATTTTGGCTCAGATTCTTACAATAAATACAGAACAACTGTCATGGTGGTCTGAATTATCAAATTCGAACATCACTCAGATGCTGATCAATTATTTTGATAAATATTTACATGAGTTACATGAGTTAAAAATAATCACATCAAGCTAGAAATCAAAATAAATAATCTTATATAAAGAACATTTTTTTAAATTAATTTTTCATTTTGAAAAAATGCCAACTGCCAAAAACTGCCCAAAATTTCAATTTTCAAAATTTCAGCAGATCCAGAACTAAAACAACAAAAAAACAACAAAAAAGAGGTGTAAAAATACCTATTTCAGTGACATCATAGTAGAACCACTTCTGGTTCCATAAAGAACCATGTTTGAAAAAGAGATTTCCAAGTGTGAGGAACCTTTTAAAGGTGTAAAGAACCTTCACATGATGTAAAGGTTCTATTTCAATTTAAGGGTTCTTCCTAGAACCGTTAAATCATGTGGCTTTTAAACTTTTCCACCAAATTTATTACATTAAAAGTAAAGTAATTCACAGTGATGAGTGACCACTTTCACACAGGTGGGTTAGTTTAATAACACACTGTTACAACTAAGACCCCCAAAGTAGTCAGTTAGAGAACCCCGTATCCCCCCCCATATACATTCAACACGGGTCATTTTTAAACTTTCAATTCACGGATTAAACAAAAGTTTACTGGACATCTCAAAATATATTCATTTTATTGTGCTGAGATTTGCTGTTGTACGTGTTAAAAAACGATGTTTCTTCAAGGGTTCTATTTAGAACCATCAGTTCTCTATACAGAACTATTTGCATGCTTAAATGGTTCTTTGCATGGTGAAACGGTTCTTCAGATTGATGGAAAATGTGTTATAGCACCAGAAAGGGTACTGCTATTGTTTACAAGGTCAAGCCTCTATACAATATAAGAACCATATTTAAAAAGGTTCTACATAGAACCATCTACAGCTCATTTCTCATCAATCTGAAGATCCATTTCACAATGTAAAGAACTTCCAGTCTTCCAGTCCAGCCTCGGTCATTTCGCAGCAGCTACACTCACGTTTGGTAGAACGGTTCCTGTACGAAGAACGGTTCCGTCAGGGATCAGTCTTTGGCGTGCGTTCTCTGATGAGCTCTCAGATTGTCAGATCTGGCGAAGCTCTTCCCGCACTGAGGGCAGTCGTAGGGCCGCGTGTGCGTCCCTCTGTGGGCGGTGAGGCTGGACTTCAGCGTGAAGCTCTTTCCGCAGGTGAGGCAGCGGTGCGGTCGTTCCCCGCTGTGTGTTTTCTGGTGGGCTGACAGGGTTTTCCTACTGGACAGCTGTTTTCCACAGGTAGCGCACAGGTAGGGCTTCTCTCCGCTGTGTCTCCTCTGGTGGATCAAACACTCAGACTTGCGTTTGAAGCTCTTCCCACAGGCGGAGCAGCGGTGAGGCCGTTCTCCGCTGTGAGTTACCTGGTGGACTGAGAAGGAGCAAAGGCTGGAGAACTGCTTTCCGCAGGAGGCGCACAGGTAGGGCTTCTCTCCGGTGTGAATCCTCTGGTGGTGGACGAGATTGCGCTTGCTTTTCAGAATCTTCCCACAGTGAGGACAGAGATGAGGCGTGTCCTCCGCTCGCCTTTCAGACGGGGGTTTGACGCTGTTGCCTAAAAGAATAAGAAAATATTGAAATGACAGTTTTAATCTGACAGTAACGCGTCAGTTTGGGGGACTTTACAAACTGCTGGGTTATTTTTTTCCACCCAGCCGCTGAGTTATTTCCACAGTGCTGGGCAGCTTTTAGGTACAGTGCTGTGAGAAAGTATTTGCCCCTCACCTGATTTCTTCCATTTTTGCTAATTTGTCGCATTTAAATGTTTCAGATCATCCAACTAATTTTAATAAGAGGAAGACAACATGAGTAAACACAAAATGCAGCTTTTAAACGATCATTCCATTTATTGAAGGTAAAGATTTACTCAAAACCTATGTCACGCATGTGAAAAAGTAATCCCCCCCCCCATTCATGGTTCCATCAATTATTAAGAGTCATCCAGGTCCTGCAGAATCAAAGCAGCCACAGACCATCATACTACCAGCACCATGTTTCACTGTTGGTATGATGTTCTTATGGTGGAATGCGGTGCTATTGTGAGGCTTTACCAGCAGCAAAAACAGACATTTAAATTTTAGCGAAGAAAAAAAATGAACTAAAGAAACTAATAAATGTGCTAATAGTGATTAAAACTATATTACTATAACACGATTTGGAAACCTGGGCCGAGACAAGACAAGAACAGTATAAACGCAAGTGAGTATCAGCGACATCACATACTTTGACGAAGCTACTTCTGTGATTGGTCAGATTTTAGAGCTGAAGCAGATGAGTCACCTCATGGTTTTGTATTTTGTTAGACACCACAACACACTATATCGTTGTTGTCGGAAGAAAACCTTGTATCTCCAAAATGGTAACTTTACAGGAGAAGGAAAAAACATACTTTACTTTTAATGCAAGTCATTTTGGGCCGTTTCTTTTAGTCCATTCATCATGAAATTTACATACAACGTAAAGGGCAACAGGCATTTTCAAATTATGTCAAAAACTGAAATATGAGGTTTTCTCCCGACAACAGCGATATGTATGTCCGGTTCCTGTGTTTCGTCCTCCTTTAATGCCAATAATAATGATAATAACAATAAAATAAACCGAAAAACACCAAATAAACAATATGGTTTGTGCTTTAAACACAGCTTTGCTTTTGGGTTGTTCTCCTGTGAAGAGCATCATTACCATAGCAACTGTGTCCCAGCTACAGTAACCATGCTTCTCACTGCACTTGTGTTCTCTTTTACAGTGTTTTTATCTGCTGAGGAACATTACTGACAGACGATATAAGCTTAACTACAGATATAAGGGTCTCTTCAGGGTTCTGTGACGTTACCTCGACAGGAGCCGATGTGGCTCTGCGCGTCGTCCTTCCTGATGACCGTGCTGCCGCAGATGGGGCAGTGGAAGTGACCTCTCGGCCTGCAGCCCAAATGACACATGCAGATAATGTAGCCTAAAGAAAGAGAAAGAGGAACATGGAAACAGGAGCAGAACCTTCTGATAGAACATTACAGAAGGATAATCAGATTATTCAGGGTTATTATAGAGAGAATTAAGTCTGAGTGACGTGACGAACCTCTCTGGCGCACTGCGTGCTTCAGGTGGCACTGCAAGTGTTTGTTGACGCTGTAGGCGTCATGACGGGGTTTGTAAACAGCGGGGGGGCAGAAAGGACAGTGGAACTTAACGCAGCACCTGGAACATCGCTGAGGAACCGGAGGATCCTCGCTCTTCAGAACCGTGCAGTGCTGAGAGATTCAGGAGGAGAGAAAAACCTTGCAGCCTCTACACTTCTGGGAAGACTTTACACTACACTCTTAAAAAAATGGTTCTTCAAGGGTTCTTTAGCAAAGACAATGATTCTGTATAGAACCATGAACACTTAAAGAACCCTTTGCATGATTAAGTGGTTCTCTGCATCATGAAACGGTTCTTCAGATTGATGCAGAATGTGATGTAGCTGGTTCAGTATAGAACCTTCTTGAAAAGGGTTCTGCTACTGTTACGATGTCAAGCCTGACACAATAGAATAACCCTTTTTTGGTGCTTTTCAAGAAGGTTCTATATAGAACCATCTACAACACTGCATGGTGAAATGGTTCTTGAGATTGATGCAGAATGTAATGTAGCTGGTTCTATATAGAACCTTCTTGAAAAGGGTTCTGCTACTGTTATGATGCCAAGCCTGACACAACAGAAGAACCCTTTTTGGTGCTTTTCAAGAAGGTTCTATATAGAACCATCTACAACACTGCATGGTGAAATGGTTCTTTAGATTGATGGAAAATGTGCTGCAGATGGTTCTACATAGAACCTTTTTGAAAAGGGTTCTGCTACTGTTACGATGTCAAGCTTGACATGATAAAAGAAACCTTTTTGGTGCTTTTCAAGAAGGTTCCATATAGAACCATCTACAACACTGCATGGTGAAATGGTTCTTCAGATTAATGGAGAATGTGCTGTAGCTGGTTCAGTATAGAACCTTCTTGAAAACGGTTCTGCTACTGTTACGATGTCAAGCCTGACACAACAGAAGAACCCTTTTTTGGTGCTTTTCAAGAAGGTTCTATATAGAACCATCTACAACACTGCATGGTGAAATGGTTCTTTAGATTGATGGCGAATGTGCTGTAGCTGGTTCTAAATAGCACCTCAAAACGTTCTTCTATCGATACAAGCTTGACATCGTAACAGTAGCAGAACCCTTTTGGTGCTGTATGGAACCCTTCAAAAAGGGAGATTCGTGTACACTATTTATATTCTACTACACTCTTAAAATGTTCTTCAAGGGTTCCTTAGTAAAGAAAACAGTTATATACAGAACCATGAACACTGAAAGAACTCTTGGCATAATTAAATGGTTCTTTGCATGGTGAAATCGTTTTTTAAGACTGATGGAGAACGTGCTGCAGACGGTTCCATATGGAACCTTTTTAAAATAAGGTTCTATATTGCACCAAAAAGGGTTCTTTAGTTGTGACAATGTCAAGCCTGTAAGAATTAAAGAACTTTGGGTGGTCTATAGAACCATTTTCTGCACTACAGAACCCTTACAGAACCATCTTTTAAAGTGTGTATATGTAACATATCACTTAGTAGTTAAATAATAAGTCTAATGTGAAGTAAAATACAGCAATAAAGTGACAAACCCAGCTATTAAAGCGATAAATAAACCTGGAGATACGCTCAGTGTTGGTAACGCTGGACCTCCTGACCTCCACGTAACCCCACAGTGAGAACTGTAGGCCTGTACTGTATGATGAGGCTGGTTAAAGTTTCGTTGCTGTACTCACTCTGTTCTCTCCGGCGCGTGTCTCCTGAACCGAGGCGTGCGGTTTCTCTCCGGTGTGTGTTCTCAGATGGTAACTGAGGAGATATTTGGTTTTGAACGTCTCTCCACAGTCAGAACAGGGATGGAGCCTCTCTTCACTGGGAGCTTCGGACGCTTCGGACACAGAGAGGTGATGAATTTGTTAATGTCAGTACTGGAGCTGGGCGATACCGCAAAAACATATCGTGATACATTTTCACAATACACGTAAAGACACGATATTTATTTGTTCACACGTCTGATCAGCTGGAACAGAGAAAAAGGAATCTACAATTATAAAAAATAATCAAAAACTGTGAAAACAGAGTTTTATTCAGTATTTGGCATTAAATCCAGTTAAACTGGACGAATTTTACTCTCTTTATAATAAATCATGCAGTTGGTCAGTATCTGCAAGTACTGACGAAACACACAATATGGTCAGAACAGCAGACTGTATTGTATTGAGACATGATTTATCATGATAATAATCTATATTGTCATAATGCCCAGCCCTATAAAACTTAAAAAGATGGTTCTTCTAGGGTTCTTTAGTAAAGTAAATGGCTATATAGAACCATGAACACTCAAAGAACCATTTGCATGATTTAACAGTTCTCTGCACAAGGAAATGGTTCTTCAGATTAATGGAGGATGTGTTGTAAAGGGTTCTATGCAGAACCTTTTAGAAATTGGTTCTATATAGCACCATAAAGGGTTCTGCTATTGTTACGATGCCAAGCTTGTAATAACAGAAGAAACCATTTTGGGTGCTAGATAGAACCATCTACAGTACATTCTCCATCAAGGCTCTACATAGAACCACATACAGCGGTGGTCCTCGCTCTCTCTGGGTGGGTAGGGTGGCCCCCCGTCTGCCCCATCACTCAGCGCGATGGTAGTGGGCGCAGGCGTCTGTTAGCTGAAGTATCAGATCTGTGGTTAGTGTTCTCCTCCGAGTGTGTTCAGCTGTACAGTGACGCTGCGTTAGTGTCAGTTTGAAAAGATGCAGTGGAGTTTCTCAGGACTCAGAGGAAGCCTGTGTTTACCTTCACCCCCCCTAGAGCTGGTGGTATCTTGTGACTGGGGGGAGTCCTGACTAGTGGGGTGGAACTGAATACGACCACGTTTGGCAAGAAACAGGAACACCCCCCCTCAAAAAAAAAAGACCAAAGATCAAGAAGCTTAAAGGCCTCAGCGTACTTCCTGCGGAGACGACGTCAGCCCCCTGCGATAATACAGTACTGGAACAGCCCTTAAGGTGGCGCTGTGGATTCCCCTGAGGGAAATGACGAGTTTTCTTCCCCTGCTGGATCCCTTTAGCGTTACCTCGACAGGAGCCGATGTGGCTCTGCGCGTCGTCCTTCCTGATGACCGTGCTGCCGCAGATGGGGCAGTGGAAGTGACCTCTCGGCCTGCAGCCCAAATGACACATGCAGATAATGTAGCCTAAAGAAAGAGAAAGAGGAACATGGAAACAGGAGCAGAACCTTCTGATAGAACATTACAGAAGGATAATCAGATTATTCAGGGTTATTATAGGGAGAATAAAGTCTGAGTGACGTGACGAACCTCTCTGGCGCACTGCGTGCTTCAGGTGGCACTGCAGGTGTTTGTTGACGCTGTAGGCGTCGTGACGGGGTTTGTAAACAGCGGGGGGGCAGAAAGGACAGTGGAACTTAACGCAGCACCTGGAACATCGCTGAGGAACCGGAGGATCCTCGCTCTTCAGAACCGTGCAGTGCTGAGAGATTCAGGAGGAGAGTCAGTATGAAATAAAGTTCAGCTCTGTACTTCCTAAATAGTGTTCTAGCTATGAAAATTTAGAACGTCTAGCCAAACAGTGCATCATGTATCGAGTGTGGACTCTTTCTTAGCTGTGTTAAACACTGTTGGGCTGCAGGATCCAGTATTTAGACTCCTACGTAGTGCACTATGTAGGGAGCAGGGAGCCGTTTGAGATTCAGCCACTTGTGGTGGAAGTTTTGGAGATATTCAAGTCAAAGAAAATGGTTCTATACAGAACCATCAACACTCAAAGAACCTTTTACATGATTAAAGAGTTCTTTGCATCATTAAATGGTTCTTCAGATTGATGGTGGATGTGCTGTAGATGGTTCTATGTATAAACCTTTCTGAAAAGGGTTCTATATAGCACAAAAAAGGGTTCTTCTACTGTCTCAAGCTTGACATCGGAACAATAGGAGAACACTTTTTGGTGTTATATAGAATCTTTTTCAAAAAGTGTTTAAATACACACACGCTCCAAAAATACGGTTCTACAAGGCTTCTTGGAGAAAACAGTTCTATACACAATCATGAACACTCAAAGTACCCTTTTCATGAGTAAACAAATGGTTCTTCAGTTTGATGGAGAATGTGTTGTAGATGGTTCTATATAGAACTTTTTTTGAAAAGCTCCAAAAAGGGTTCTTCCATTTAGTCAGGCTTGCCAGGTGAAAAGCTCCTACCAGTAGCAGAACACTTTTTGATGTTATATAGAACCCTTTTTCAAAAAGGTTCTCTATACAACCACCTATAGCACATTCTCCATTAGTCTGAAGAACCATTTCACCATGCAAAAACCAATTAATCCTGCAAAGGGTTCTTTGAGTGCTCATGGTTTGATACAGAACCACTGTCTTTACTAAAGAACCCTTGAAGAACCAGCTTTTAGACTGTACTTGTGTTCCCACACCGGACAGATAAACCACACAGGTTTAGGTTCTCAGGCGCTTTAAGAAGGCCGAACCCCCTGTTGATAAACAGATGTAGAACCGAGGGAACCCAGAAACTAGTTCTGGTTAAATGACTCTGCTGCTCCCACTCACCGTGTTCTCCCCGCGGTGCGTTCCCTGATCCGAAGCTGCAGTGTGTGTTCTCTGGTGATGACTGAGGAGATCTCTGCTTCTGAAGGTCTCTCCACAGTCAGAACAGGGACGGAGCGGTTCTTCGGTGTGTTCTTCAGACGGAACCCTGTCACCGCTGCCTGGAGAAATACAGTCTTAATGCATCTGTACCTGTGAACAGCGTCTCGTCTGAACCGACAACAAACATTACTCTGCTGTGGATATGACTGAAAAGGGAAACTCCACTGATTTTTCAAAATTTCTGTATAACTGAGTCTGTGAGATGTAAACAGAGATTCAGAGTGGTTTGGTGTGAAATGGTTCAGATGTCTTCACAGTGGTGGTGATAGGAACCAGGGGTCGCCATGACTACAACACAAATATAGACATTTTATTTACTGTCCAGAACCACCAGTGAACCTACACGAGTCTTCTGAGTTTATATGGAATGTTGATGATGGAAAATAGTGGAAAATCTGGAATAATAAGTTTTCTTTGGGGACTATTTTGCCTCACAGCGCCCTGCATGTATCCCTCCACCATGAATGGAGTTTAAGTTCTCTAAACTATCATAAAACAGTGTCTCAGTCATCAGGCAGTGAATTCATAACCATTTCATGTAGGAACTTTCTGTGAGGGAGCTTTTAGAGGTGGATTAGTGCTGCATGGTAAATCGTATTTTTATCGTTATCGCAATATGAATTTCTGCGATAAACACATGCTTAAAGTGGCGATGACAGATCTAATGACCTCATACACACAGCGCCATGACATTACCAGCACAAACTGTCACAGGCCTGCTTCTCTGAGCTGGGTGGACCTGCTCTCCCACATGGGAGACGTGGAACTTAACCATTCAGCCAAAGAGGGGTTTAAAGAGAGGCTAGTTAGATTTCTGTTTACACGTCCCAAAGAAAATGTCAGAGAAAACAGCAGCAGCAGCTCATGTTTGTTTATTTGCGTTTCCTAGTAACAGGAGAACGTGAGAGTTTTCGAGAGTTCGTGTGAGTTCAGTGAGCTCCGTTCGGTTCAGCAGCAGCTTAAAAGTTGAGTACTGTGTGACACCTAAACATTTAATGTGATTCCCAATATTTTAGTCGCCCAAAAACCAGTCTGATAGTGTGAGACACCCAGTCTTCATAATCTGTTCAGACTTTTAAAGTCGTGTAGTGAACCCAAGGCTTTACCGGGAGGAGTTAAATCGCCCTCTTCAGCCGCCACGTCCACTTCTCCATATTTTCTGTGGTTTAAATCCACCGTCAGTGCTGCCCTGCAGTCCTCCAGCCTCACTGAACACGTCTTTAAGGGCGTCTGAGCTGCAGCGGTACAGCTGGAGTCCACACTCTCTGTAGGGTTTGGGTCAGTGTAGCACTGCAGAGAGAGGCTGCCTCTGTCCTGCTCCACCTCCTGCACATGACCACACGCAAATAAAGGTGACATTTAGTTCTCTAAGTTGGAATGGATCAAAAAAAGGAGCTAAAAGTTTTCATTTTTTTCTATTTTTAGCATTACAGTGTGTTAAAATGTCCAAAAATGTGTTCTAGAGGACTTTTATTTAAGAAGAACCCGCTCTTCACAGACACAGAGAACTCACCATGTTTTCTGGTTCAGTTTCACCCTCAGGCTGAACTCCAGCTGCGTCCTGCTCCATGTCTTGGACTCTGTGCTGGTCCGGTGTGTCCTCAGGATCTGGGTCACTGTAGCAGTGCAGAGTCAGACTGGGCTCGTCCTCCATCTCTGACGGTGTGTTATGGTCAGAAGCTCAGAGAGCTTCAGCCCAGCTTTACAACCCTGCACATCCTCCTAAGAGACAGAGCACGAATGATACAGGGACCAGTCAGTGGAAGCACAGGGTAGGTGTTTCTAATAAAGTGGCCAGTCAGTGGAAGCACAGGGTGGGTGTTTCTAATAAAGTGGCCAGTCAGTGGAAGCACAGGGTGGGTGTTTCTAATAAAGTGGCCAGTCAGTGGAAGCACAGGGTAGGTGTTTCTAATAAAGTGTCCAGTCAGTGGAAACACAGGGTGGGTGTTTCCAATAAAGTGGCCAGTTAGTGGAAGCACAAGGTGGGTGTTTCTAATATAGTGGCCGGTTAGTGGAAGCACAGAGAGGGTGTTTCCAATAAAGTGGCCGGTTAGTGGAAGCACAGAGTGGGTGTTTCCAATAAAGTGGCCAGTGAGTGGAAGCCCAAGGTGGGTGTTTCTAATAAAGTGGCCAGTTATCGAGGGAAAGAGAGAGAGCACTCAGAGGTGGAGAGAGAGTTAGACACACAGTTCTAAGTGAAGCTTTAGACATGCAGACACGAAGAGTCCCACACATACGTTTATAGAGGAACGGTTCTAGATAAACGGTTCTAGATAAATGGTTCTAGGCGCATTTCAGCCAGACACTACGTTTAACTGATGACTCCTCTAATGTGAGGTTCTGTTCCGTTCGCTTGGCAGACTCACCTCCGGCGAAGAAGAGCTTTATCTGTGTTTTATTTCTCTGTTCTCTGTGTATAAACACTACATCCACTTCCTCGTCCTCAAGCCTGGAAGAGGCAGGGCCGCTCTGTCGCCACCTGCCGGTTCGGCCTGTAATTTACAAATACCGACCCGAAGAAAACCGGAGCAAAACCCCCAAAAACGGCACAGCTGCGGAGCTGCGGAGTAGTTTGGAGCCTTTTCTAAAACAACAGCTTCGCAAAGTCAAGCTGGAAATAGGTAGACCGGTTTACGAGCAGTCAAAGCTGTCGGCCTTTTCGAATTTTCCGTTCCACCTTAAATAGTGCAGCAGTCACATTCTGGCGCCTCAGGTATGTATGTAACTGCTGTACCATTTAAGGTGGAACGGAAAATTCGAACGGTAAGCTGGCGAATAGCAAGCTAACGGCCAGTTTTGCTGCTTTAAAGGGTAAAATATGATGCATTTCGTTTGAGTTTGATGGTTTAGTTGGATTATAACAGCAACTTCGACTGGTTTATCAGCCAAATCCAGTCGGTCAACCATCTCAGACGAGCTAAAAGGAGCTAGCTCCCAACATCAGCAGGTAACCTAGCTAGCTAGAGCTCTGGAAAAGCACCAAAGAACCCCTTTTATTACTGTCAGATGATCTAAACTGGTGTTAGATGGTGATTTGCTTGCTTCTTGATGGTCTAAGGTGGAAATCCAGCTGTGAAAACTGAAAATTCCCTATGCTGGTCAACCGGTTAAAGGAGAATTCCACCAAATTTTCTGAATTTCTCCTTGAGATGTAAACAGAGTGATTTCAGATTGGAAATAGTTGGTTGTAGAGACTCAAATGTCTTTACAGTGGTGGTGATAGGAACCAGGGGTCGCCATGACTACAACACAAACGTAACATTGCTGTGAGGATTTGATTGAGCATTAGTGAGGTCAGGTAGTGATGTTGGATGGTCAGTTCTGGATCACTCCAACTCATCCAAAAGGTACTGTTGGAGCTCCATCACTCCAGTTCCACTGCTCCTCAGCCCAATGCAGGATCCCCTAGCCCATGCTTGGCATTGGCCTAGTCCAGAGCATCCCATTCTATTGGTCAGTGCTTTTCTATGGAGATTATACAAGCTGTGACATTATAGTAGCAGAACTCACTAATTAGAAGGGGCGTCTGGATACTTTTGGACACATAGCAGACCTTTCTACCACAAATACACTTGGAAAAAAATCTCTTATAGACCAACATTTTTCTCAAAACTGTCATAAAACAGTGTCTCAGTCATCAGGCAGTGAATTCATAACCATTTCATGTAGTAACTTTCTGTGAGGGAGCTTTTAGAGGTGGACGTCTGGTTCCTATCACCACCACTGTGAACAATTCTGACTCGGCCACTGTGAATGATTTAACCATTTAGTTATGCAGATATTTTGATATTATGGTGGCATTCCCCTTTGGTAGGAGCTTAGACCATCTGAAACCAGCTTCCACCAGAAGCTGGTCTTGAATAGATGTCGTTGTCTGTTTCTTGTCCTTACAGTATCTGCTCCTCACCGCTGAAGATACTCAGCGCGGTGCAGGATGGAGAGCAGATCTACGAAGGAGGGAGAGGTTTTCCTGCAGCTCCACCTGCTGTACGACTCTGAAACGTCCTGCACCAAGTCAGTAGGAACTGATCTCTCCATGGACGACATCAGAAACCTGCAGGCTGAAGTGTGGAGGCTGAGAGACACTCTCTAAGGAGGTCTGAGGGTCTCTCTTGAATCAGAATCACTTTATTTAAGTGTGTGTTATAAATACGAGGAGTCAGTCTTAGTGAGTCACACATGTAACACACTGAACAGACCAGGCATTCACACAGACTGATAACAAGCATTTAACTAGGAGACAAATACAATAAAATACAATAAATATAAATAGAATAAAGAATAATAAGCAACATCTCAGCTATCCTGTTGTGAATTTGAGGCCTGTTACGTAATCTTAAATCTTATTCAGTACCTATGAATTATGCAGTAAGTCATTTATTAAACACTTTAAATAACTCTAAATAATTCAGTATTTACTATGAATTATCCAGTAACCACTATGATTCTCACAATAAGTTTCATTTCTTATTCAGCATATGCTATTTATTATTAAGTGTCTATTTATATTAAATTATTGTATGCCTTATTAAACCTATCCAGATGCTACTAGGGGTGGGCAATATCACAATATTTTATCAATATTGTGATAGATTATGTCACCGTACACTTTTCTGAGCATATTTTGGCACACATATTTAAAGCACACTGATCATCGTGTTTCATTACAAAGTAAGCATAATTAGTGATTGTGCACTATTGTTATCCAATTTATATACTTCTTTTTTCCCTATTTTTATCTTATTTTTCTGCCCGATTTTAGTCCGCTAACTCACGCCACAGTTTTCAAGATATCGACACCGTTCCATCTCTGGAATGTTCGGTCTGATTGGGAACGCTGTGCTTGTATACAGCTTTTTGATAAATTTGAATTTTTTCCCATAGGAATGAATGGGGTAAAAAAAATTGGATGTCCATCTACTGTACTGGTCTGCTTGACCACAAGACACCGTTTCACATATACTATCTCGGGGCAGGCCCCCGAGCATGAATCCAATGTCGTTTTGATCTGCACTCATCTGTTTGTCTTTTTTTTTCTCATCCCTCGTTTCTCCCATAGACTCCCATTCATTTGTGCCCCCCACACAAGCCCTATTATTTCTTTGCCCGACAGCCACCAAAATTCATGTCCTCACTCAGGGCAGGTTCTCAAGCTCTGATCCACCACACTGACCTGCACTCCTCTATGTGTTGTTTTCTCATCCCTTGTTCCTCCCTTAGACACCTCTTCATTTTCAACAACACGTAGCTACAACTTGCCAACTCCCTACCAGTGACTTAATAAACACCCCATACACCATGGCAACCGCCTAGCAACATTTTAGCAACCATCTGACCATCTATGTCCGATGCCAAATGACTACAAACACCATAGCAACCACCTGGGATGCCATAGCAGCCACTTTGAAAAAACTTAGTATCTATCTGTGAAACCAGATCAACTACATAGCAACACCTTAGCAACCACCTTGGATACCATAGCAACCGCCTAACAACACCTGAGCAACTGCCGTGGATACCATAACAACCACTTAGCAGCCCCCCAGCAACCACCTGGGATACAATAGTGACTGCCTAGCAACCACCTGCCTACAAACACCATAGCAACCACCTCAGATACCATAGCAGCCACTTTGAAAAACCTTAGCAACCATCTGTAAAACAGGGCAACTATGTAGCAGCACCTTAGCAACCACCTTGGATACTATAACAACCTCAGAAAAACTAGTCTTAGAAAAACTAAATTTTGTGATGAATATCGTGTATCATGAAAATGCCAGATGAAGTATCACGATATAATTTTTTTGCCGTATTGTCCATCCCTAGAAACTGCTATGAATTGTTCAGTAACAAGTAGCACTTATAGAGTAATGCTTCATTATAAGTGAACTAAATTTATACTCATTGTGTGAATAATCAGTAAATTTATCAATGCATTTTCCAGGAGATGGAGGACGTACCCGTCCTGTGTTCAGTCTGTAAAGCGAAACTAAACCACACTGAAGCCCAGAACTCTGAACTCACAGCTGGAGACCAGAGTATACATACCGGACTCTGTGAGTGAGAGTGAGCAGCAGGACTCGGTGCAGGACGTGGAGCAGGACAGAGGCAGCCTCTCTCTGCAGTGCTACACTGACCCAAACCCTACAGAGAGTGTGGCCTCCGGCTGTACCGCTGCAGCTCAGCCCCCCTTAAAGACGTGTTCAGTGAGGCTGGAGGACTGCAGGACCATGATGGAGCTGAGTGGACGCATCTCAGCAGAAGGAGAACGGAGCGACGGGGACGGCAGTGATCATGAAGACGATGACTTTGTTCCCCACAGTAAGTAGTGTCTGAAATGCAGCTTGTGCGTTTGAACCCGGTTTAAACTTTTAGGTTTCTGTTCTTAAACTCATTCAACCCTATATTACACTATATGGACAAAAGTATTGGGACACCCCTCGTAATTATTGATTTCAGGTGTTTCAGGCACACCCATTGCTAACAGGTGAGTAAAATCAAGCACATAGCCTTGCAGTCTCGCTAAGGATAGACAAACAGTGGCAGTAGAGGGTCGCACTGATGAGCTCAGTGACTTTAAACATGGAACTGTCATAGGATGCCACCTCTGCCACTAGTCAGTTTGTGAAGTTTCTGTCCTGCTAGATCTGCCCCAGGCAGGAAGCGTCTAGGAGCAACAACAGCTCAGCCACGAAGCGGTAGACCACACACACTCACAGAGTGGGACCACCGAGTGCTGAAGTTCACAGTGCTGATCCTCCTAAATGGTGGGGGGAGTGGTGTAAAGCACGTCGCCACAGAAAGGTATTCTGTGGAGTGATGAATCAGCTTCTCTATCTGTCCGTCTGATGGACGAGTCTGGGTTTGGCGAGTGCCAGGAGAACGTCACCTGCCTGACTGCACTGTGCCAGCTGTAGAGTTTGGTGGGGGAGGGATGATGCTATGGGGTTGTTTTTCAGGGGTTGGCCTAGAACCCTTAGTTCCAGTGAAGGGTAATCTTGCTTATTTCCGGTACCACAGTCTGTTTTCTCACATGCGCAGACTGAGAAATGCGAAAGAAATCAGAGTATGAGTTTACATGCACTGAGAAATCTGATTACTGAGCAAAAAACCAGCCTCTTTATCGGGTTTCTTAATTGGATTTCTAGACCTTACTCTGAACTAAGAAATTGGCGTTTGCCGTTTACATGACCATTTGAATAATCAGATAAATGATCAGATCAAACGGAAGTGTGGTTTCGTTCATCTGCAGTGTTAAAACACTTTTTTTGGTAGGTCGGACTTTTGGACCTGTTGCAGGAAGTTGAGACAGGACATCGTCACCAGTTAAACACCAGAAAAAGAAAAAGAACAAGGAGAGAAGTAAGTCATGGTAGGAGACCAAATATTTGTTATTTGGTCCAAAAAAAGTCAAAAGCCAACTTGGAAAAACATAAAAATGCCAAAACGTATCCTTTATTATCTGAGAGCATGAGAGAGAGGGGATATTATTTTTTCTCCATTCAAACGGAAAAGGCTGCCCGCCGAACTGACCGCACACTGACCACATCAATGTCCAGCACAGGGAGACCCAGCCCACGCAGGTGATGATGACAGGACGCAGGCGTGTCACACAGAGTTCTTTAGTGTGCTAAACTGCAACGTGGAACCAAAACTGACCGGATCAAATGTGTACACACACTGTCTAAGCCGCCTATCCTTCTGGGTTGCGGGAAGTGCCTATCCCAGCGGTCACTGGGCGGACGGCAGAAAACACCTTAGACAGGTTGCCAATCCATCACAGGGCAGACACAGACATACACTCTTTAGACTGTGGGAGGAAACCCAAGCAGACACAGGGAGAACACGCAAACTCCACACAGAAGGGACCCAGCTGGGGAACCGAACCCAGTCCCTTCTTGTTGAGAGGTGACGGTGCTATTCACTGCACCACCATAAGTAAGCATGTAGCAGGCAGGCAAATCACAGCAGCACTAACACCTCCTCCTTTCTCCACTCTTAGGTGATGATGAGAACTGGTTGCCTTCGTCTGAAGATCATGGAAGAAGGAACCAAAGTCCATTGTATGGCTTGCAGGTTCAGGAGGCGGTTCACAGTGAGGTGAAGCGGTTTCACTGTTCGCTGTGCGAGAAGAGTTTTTCCACTTCAGGAACTTGGAAAACACACATAAAACGACACAAGATGGAGATGGACTTCCACTGCGAGGAGTGCAGCAAGGGTTTCATCACATCGATAGAGCTGAAACTGCACATGACACGGCACACGGGAGTGAGCAATTTCGTGCTTTCCCTTCTTCAACTGGTCTGAAAGATCATCTCAGAGTTCATACCAGAGAAAAGCCTTACCGCTGCTCGCACTGCGACATGAGGTTCAGCCACAAGAATCACCTCCAGCGCCACGAGAGGACGCACACCGGTGAGAAGCCTTACCTATGCAACCTTTGCGGCAAAGCCTTTTCAGATCCAAGGCACTTCTCCACCCATAAAAGGGTACACTCGGGAGAGAAGCCCTACCAGTGCTCCTTCTGCGGGAGGAGCTTTTCTCGCCGGATCCACCTCAAGCAGCACGAGCGGACGCACACGAACGAAAGGCCGTACAAGTGCGTCCACTGCGACAAAGCCTTCAGAAGATCAGACGTCCTTAAGACTCACCTGAGGATGCACACGGGAGAGAAGCCTTATCGCTGCTCCGTCTGCGGGGAGAGTTTTGCTTATTTAGGGAGCTTTAGGACGCATCAGGAGAAGCACGCCAAAGAGGAAGCGAAGCTGAGCTTGTAGCAGTTTTGTTTTTCTAGCTCATTTACAAAAGACAACACAGGTTCACAGAGTTCCTGGATCCATCACAACTAAAAGGAAAAGGGCAGCAGAAGAATCCTGAGGCGCAAATGGATCATTTGATAAAGAGCAGTGGATTCATACTGGAGGAGCCACGGTTGGAATTCAGGGATTTTGCAGAAAATAGTATAAAAAGGAACATAATTGAAAGAACATGTTTAAAAAACAAATTATCATTCTTGGTTTGATGGGACTCTCTTGTTAGGGAGGTTGTAAAATGTAAATAGGCTATTGTTGTCAACAGGCTGGTCACGATTATGAAATTTAGCTGCCATGTAAATAATAAATTCATTGTTTTCATATGTTTATGTAGCAACAAACAGAATCAGAATTGCTCTCTTCTAGAAGGTCAGACTTGCGAACACTGTAAAAATGGTTTGTCAGTTCAACTTAAAAAATACATTGTGGTAACAAGTAAATTAACTAGTTTTGCAAAACCTAAATAGATACAATGCATAACAATTCTTTCAATCTAAGTGATTGAAATTCATCTAAGTTATGAATCTAGTTCAATTGCTTGTTACCACATGAAGTAAATTTTAGGTTGAGCTATTTTTTAGTATAAAGTGACCAGATTGGCTGATTACGCTTCCTAGCTGCTCACGCTCAAATAAACAAACATTACTCACCACTGCCCTCTAAAGGTGATACAGCATCAAGTCAGCAGTTAGAACTTTTGTTGTTTTATAAACTCTTGATGCGTCTCGATAAATGTGTGTTTATTTCAACCTAATAGAAGAAACTGCACCCAGTTATATTCTTTTTTGCAATGTAAACATATGATTATTATAATAATAATAATAAGTTCAACTTGTATAGCGCCTTTCTCAGACCCAAGGTCGCTTTACAGAGGCAGGGAAAGAATAAATAAAACATTAGTGAGGAGAAGAGTGAAAATGCTGAGAAAAAAGGTAAGTTTTATGCTGAGCTTTAAAGGAGGAAAGTGAGGGATAGTCACGGAGCGAGATATTAGGGCAGGGGGAGGCAGGTTAGTGATGATGTTGGTGCGGACGTAGATTTGTATATTATCAGCATAACAATGAAAATGAAAACCATCACGGCATTATCTGATCTAGCGGTAAAATGTAGATGATGAAGAGTAGAGGGCCAAGGACTGAACCCTGGGGGACACCTTGTGCAACAGCACTGATAGCAGAGTTATACTTACCAAGGCATTATGAAAGCTAACAACTAATAAAAATAACTAATCAGCTGAAATAACTGTGTTCAGTTAATTATAGTGACAGGCCTATATTTATATATATAGTTTATATATATTATATTAAATTCTAGGAAATTGATTAAAAACCATTTAAACTTTTCAGTTTTAGCCGTTTAGCTCCATTTACCCCCATTTGTCTTCCAGTCCTGTTTTTTGATATAACGGGGGAAATAGGAAGTGGCCAGGCTCTTCATAAACCAGATCTGGTTTAAACTGCTGTCCTAGTTATCAGAACCGTTAGAAACTACTTTGAGACCACTGTAGAAGCTGAGTGGTCATGTGCGCAGCAGATGTTCTGATGGCTGCATCTTTAATTTTGCCCCTTAAATCAGGCTGAGCGCTAAACTCTGTGGTCTTCCAGAGACCCCTGCGGTAAAGGTTTGGTAACTATCCCAAGTGGCCCTAGAATGGAGCAGGTTGGACCTGCCTTGTGTATTAGCATGATGAAAGCATTCAATATCACCACTTTATTTATTCATTCATTTATTCACTCGCAGTCACAAGCTTGGGATAACGCTTTGGCATGGCTGTAGAGGTGGGCGATATGGCACAAATATAATATCGCGATACATAAATTTTGTAACATAAGTTGTTTTGAATTCTTACATAATTTATCACAATAATTATATATATTGTCACATTGTCCAGCCCTGTGTGATTGTGTTTCATGGAAACAGAAGAACAGAAACCGATGACCAAGAAATCTGACCAAAAAAGTTATTAAAACAGAACCTAAACGGTACCTTACACACTAAAAAAAGGATGGTCCTTTAAGGGTCCTTTAGTAAAGAAAATGGTTCTTTATAGAACCATGAACAGTCCAAGAACCATTTGCATGCTTAAATGGTTATTTGCATTGTGAAATCGTTCTTCGGATTGATGGAGAATGTGTTGTAGATGGTTCTACATAGCAAGCTTGACATTGTAACAGTAACAGAACCCCTTTTGGTGCCATAGAGAACCATGTGCACTCTCTCTTTAGTAAACAACATGGTTCTGTATGAACACCCAAAGAACGCTTTGCATGAATAAAGGGTTTGTTGTTCTTTGAGTGTTCTTTGAAGCATCTTTTTTAAGAGTGTACATAAAAAACCTGAACAATGAGAGAGAACAGAAGCTGTTACGAGTCCAGTGGGGAGTCCACAGTGTGCTTTAGCTTGTGTTTGTTTAGAGAACTCAAAAAGGCGAACGAGTTGCCACAGATGCAGCACCGGTAAGGCTTTTCACCAGAGTGAATTCTTTGGTGGGTTCGCAGAACGCAGGGCCTGGCGAAGGCCTTCTCGCACTGAGGGCACCTGTACGGCTTTTCTCCGGTGTGTGTTTTCTCGTGCTGGCGGAGGGTGTGCTTTTTGCTGAAGCCCTTCCCGCATGCGGTGCAGCGGAAAGGCCGCTCTCCGGTATGAATTCTTCTGTGCTCCCTGAAGTGCGTTGAATCGGAGAACCTCTTCCCGCAGTCTGCGCAGAGGTAAGGTTTCTCCCCAGTGTGAGATCTCTCATGACACAGCAGGTGACTCCTCTGTCTAAAACTCTTCCCGCAGTGAGGGCACCGGAAAGGCCTCTGGTCGGTGTGCACTCTCTCGTGCGCCTTCAGACCCTCCGACCGTGCAAACGTCTTCTCGCAGTGAGAGCACTTGAACGGCTTCTCGTTGGTGTGGATGCGCTTGTGCAGTTTCAGGTGCGTCCCGTGGCTGAAGGCGCTGCTGCAGTAGGAGCACCTGTACGGCCGCTCCCCGGTATGTGTTCTCAGGTGGAGCACAAGAGTTCCTTTAGTCCTGAAGCTCTTGGCACATTCTTTACAGCCGAAAGGCTTTTCTTCAGTGTGGGTCTTTAAGTGAACGCCGAGTCGTGATGAATCAGCAAAATGCTTGCCGCAGATGTGGCACGTGAACTCGCTCGCCCCAGTGTGCCTTGTCACGTGCAGTTTCAGCTCCGTTGGTGTGACGAAACCCTTGCCGCACTCCTCGCAATGGAGGTTCTTCTTGTGCCTTTTCACATGCATCGCAAGACTTCTTGAAGTGGCAAATCTCTTCTTGCACTGCGAACAGGTGAACAGCTTCTCTCCACTGTGAACCTCCTCCGGAGTCTGTAAGCCACTTGACGGACTTTGACTCCAGTGTTCAGCTTGATTACGGTTCCTCCTTCTGTTGACTTCAGATGAAGGTGACCAGTTCTCATCATCACCTAAAAGAGGAGAAAGGAGAAAGTGTTGTCAGAGCTAGAGATGGAAAGGTCGATTGGCTATGTATCGGTATCGGCCGATTTTCAGCCCAAATGCGGCAGGTATTTCCCAGCTGATCAGAGACGTAAAACAAATGAACTTTACTTCATCTAAGGCACCAGAATGTCACTGTTGCACCATTTAAAGAGCAACTCCACCCCTGGCTCAACTTTAAAAAATGCTCAAAAATAGGCGGGGCACGCTGGGAGGGGCACTGCAGTGATCTACAGGTTTGGAGGTGGGGCTGCGAGGGAAACCGGGTGGGCTGGGGTGCTGTGTTTTCAGAGCTAGCATATGTTAGCTACCAGAAAATATGGAGAGAAACAGAATCAAATGGCACTTGTGCAACTGAGAGTCTTACGAGGTTAAAGATTTTTCTCCACCACCATCCCCATCTTCGCCGAGGGAAGGTGTTTTTGATCAGGTAGTGCATCTTGAGCCTGAACAGTATGAGCCACTGACTCAAGTCACCAAAGAGTTAACGTAGTGCTAGAAAATGATTAGCAGCGAGCGATAGAGGCGCTGAACGGTAGAACATTCCCTAAAACCGCAACAGCCAGCTTCTAATGATCTGTTCAGCAGGTCCATATTCAATATAACCCGAGTCCTGATTTCTTAGATGACCTGAATTCCGAATGAATAAAGTGGACTTCTTTGAACTCTGTCTGTCTAAGTTTCATTCAGTTTGACATCAAGGTTGCAGACTGCATCTCCGGTCAGCCAGGGCTGTAGTGGCCCTAAATCCTTATGTTCTACAAGCTGTTCATGGCACTTACTGATGTTACATCCAATTCAGTACCACTTAAATTCACATTCCCTTTATAAACCAAACCCTTGGGCACCGCACTCACTGAACAGAAATCAACAGCAAGCAGCTCTGAAAAAGGCTGTGTGGACGAAAGGCTGACACAGTCAATGACAATGGCCATTTAACGTTAACCTTTCCTGAACCGTTTCGCTTTCCATAGTTCCAGTGTTGCTTGCCGTTGATGTCTGTTCAGTGAGTCGCGCCCGAGGGTTTGAGTTGTGAAGGGAAATGTGAATCGGATGCAACACCGGCAGCTTTATGGAAACTCACAAGAATCCTCACTTAATCTGTCCACCATCTTTATTACAAACTAAGCTCAGATTAACTGGGTTATTTACAGCTGGCATATCGCAGCCTTATGAGGTGGTGCTGGGGGTGTTTATAGTGCATGAGTGTGGTTATCTCCTCGGCTCCTATGCTTTCATATTAATGAGTGCGGTGCAAGTAGGGCGTCATCAGGGGGCAGTAACGTCGTTTGACTGATTTGCATACTGTGACATGTCGTACTTCGGTGCGAAGACACGTCATAGCAGAGTTGAGTGGGCGCTGCAGAGGCGGAACTGACCAGGATAAAATGATATGATTGGAAAGATGTGATCATATTTTAAGCAAGCCTGGTATATTTTATTATTACAAAGCAGAGCATTTCAGCTGTTCATGAAAAAAAGGTCTTAGGGTGGAGTTACTCTTTAAGATGGAACAAGTAAATTTGAACACGAAGCTGGTGAATAGGAAGCTGAGTTCAGGCTCATCAATTCTGTTTATTATTACATATTTGGTTCCAATTTCACTGTAAACTCGCCGTGTGAATGTGTAGAGCATTAAGGAACAATTATGTTTTGAGGGTTCCACCCCAGACCTGGGTCAGTACCTTTTATCTGACAGTGTACCAGCGCAAACATTATACGAGACCAAAAGGCATGTAGATTATAGTAAGTTGAGCTGGTATTGCGTTCTGTTTGCAGGCACGTAATTTTGAATCTGATTACTTGTAGTGTGCATGTAAACTAAGATTTTCATCAGATTGTTGAATCAGTCTTAATTTATAATCAGCAGGAATTCATAAATGAAGTCACTGTCTGAAGTATGCAAAATAACATCCAGATCTGCCAGAGGCATTTTGGAAACAAGTGCTGTGGACTGATGAAGTAAAATAGGAACTCTTTGGCCACCAAGGTTTCTTTGGAGGAAAAAGATAAAGGAGCAGCATTTGATGAAAGGAACACCGTGCCAACTGTTAAACCTGAGGGCAGATCTGGATGCCTTGAGGTTTTTCAGACAGTGGGTCAGGAAACACTGCATGAGTAGATGGAAGATTGGAGGGTGTAATTTGGCCAGGGGTGCCCACACTTTTGCATACATACATATTCATTACACATTTTGAGCGATGAAGTGGAAAAACACACTGTTAGTGAAAGAACAAGTTCTCATGATAAATCATATTACGTTGAACTTGTTTCAGATTAATCACACGAATGAGTTTAAGAACACAAACCCAAAAATTTACATACATATCAGCTGAGAGCTGGATTCAAACACACAGGCTGCATTTCAGACTAGTTTAATCCATTAAAGTGATTAATTTACTTACTGGGGGGAACAAAGTCATCGTCTTCACGATCACTGCCATCCCCGTCGCTCCGTTCTCCTTCTGCTGAGATGAGTCCACTCAGCTCCATCATGGTCCTGCAGTCCTCCAACCTCACTGAACACGTCTTTAAGGGCGTCTGAGCTGCAGCGGTACAGCTGGAGTCCACACTCTCTGTAGGGTCTGGGTCAGTGTAGCACTGCAGAGAGAGGCTGCCTCCGTCAGAGTTCTGGGATTCAGTGTGGTTTAGTTTCGCTTTACAGACGGAACACAGGACGGGGACGTCCTCCACCTCCTGATAGGAACATCAAAGAAATGATATAGAGATATATATGGTTAAAAAATACTTCATAATTCATAATAGATACTGAATGATTCATAGCAGTTACTGAATAATTTATAGTAATTACTGAACAATTCATAGTGGATACTGAATAATTCATAGCAGATACTGAATAATTCATAGTAATTACTGATTAATCATAGCAGACACTGAATAATTCATATGGGATACTGAATAATTCATAGTAGATACCGAATAATTCATAGTGGATACTGAATAATAAGCCTTGAGATTTAAGACGCAGCATATTCTTTATTCTATTTATTGTATTTTATTGTATTTGTCTCCTAGTTAAATGCTTGTTATCAGTCTGTGTGAATGCCTGGTCTGTTCAGTGTGTTACATGTGTGACTCACTAAGACTGACTCCTCGTATTTATAACACACACTTAAATAAAGTGATTCTGATTCTGATAATCATTTTGAGCTTGCAGAAAACGGGAATCATTTCTTCAAAAACACCAAGAAAGACCCTCAGACCTCCTCAGAGAGTGTCTCTGCTCTCTGACTCAGCTTTCCTTCCAGCACAGCGACGGCGTCTCTCAGCCTCCACACTTCAGCCTGCAGGTTTCTGATGTCATCCATGGAGAGATCAGTTCCTACTGACTTGGTGCAGGACGTTTCAGAGTCGTACAGCAGGTGGAGCTGCAAGAAAATGTCGTCAGTCTGCGCTCCGTCCTCCATCCTGCACTGCGCCGAGTATCTTCAGTAACTGGAGATGCTGGTTCAGAGTCTGCTGGAACAGAAAAAAAACAAACATTATTCATACACAAGGTGCAAAATACAGGGGGTCCTGAGGGGTCCAGGACCCCCTAATTGACCTCTTAGACCTCATGAATGTCTCAATGTCAAAATTCTGCGAGGGTCTATGAAAATAAACTCATTATAAAGTTATGTTGTCATTGTTTATCTCCTTCCCCCACAATCAGCTTCTGTCTTTGGTGTTCTTAACCAACTAGAGCTGCAGCACTGCTCTGCCTCAGGGTGGCGCCGTAGCAGACTGGCTCACCCAGTTGGTCCTTCATAGTCTAGAAACTGTAACTCTGCCCGGATTCCTCTGAAAATCTTCAGCATATCTGTAAATGCATCTGTAATATATACATTAAAATTAAAAAGTGGGTCTGAATTATTTTTGACCAAACTGATTTATCATTACTGGAACATATGAGCTGCCCTGCGATGGACTGGCGACCTGTCCAGGGTGTATCCTGCCTTCCTGCCCAATGACAGCTGGGATAGGCTCCAGCACCCCAACGCGACCCAGAAGGATAAGCGGTTTAGATGATGGATGGATGGATGGAACATATGAGCGATTTATCAATATATGTGCATTAATTAGAAGACATTATTTTGCATATTTCAGCGTGTCACTAGTGAAATAGAGAGTTAAGCAAAGTAGCTACCCCAAAAAAAAAAAAATTTTTAAAAAACAAGAGGCTGAAATTAGCTTCTCAATGTAACTGTCCGTTCCACCTTAAATGGTGTAACAGTCAAACGCAGGCGCCTCAGGCACTTGAATGTAAGTGCTGCACCATTTAAGGTGGAACGGAACAATTGGAAAAAGAAGCCGTGTAAGAACTTTTTTCTTAGTTTGTACAGCTCTAATTTGTCCTGTTTGGATCCTTTTGGTCTAAAACAACATCCTAAACCTCGAAACGAGTGATTTTATTTTATTTTCCTCACTGAAAGGCTCGAGTAACGTTATAAGGGCTATGATTGAGCTAAATAACCTGCGGTCTCTGAGATTCTCATTAAAGCTCGTGCTCCTCTTCGCTCTGCCTGGGAGAAATACTGCTGTCTAGTTTTTACTTTCAGTGAAATTTTATTACATTTTTATTTTTATTCTTACTTTTCCTTCGTGCTGTAGCCCAAACAGAACAGAGCGAATCCAGCCACAACCTCCAGTCGCTGTCCCGATACATTTCAAAATAAAAGTTCAATAACTTGGCTTTAAAAAAGTTAAAATTAAAATCAATAACAGATAAATATATTACAATAACAAATAAAAAATATTGCTTCTGGAAAAAAAATGTATACAATTTTTTTTTACACCAAGTGACCGTACTGATGGTTACTGACTGTATGTGTGACTATAAATTTGTTGACCTTATAGTGGCCTCAAATTGAGTTTATTCCTCCTGATGCTAATTGAAGTTCCCGATGTCCTGCTCAGTGTAAGCACCTCCATCTCCCACAGCTCCTAATATCTGTTTCATATTGTATGCCTCCAAGTTTGTTTATGACCACTATATCAATGGACTTTTATTTTATATGATCTCAGCAAGAGTGAAAGAAACAAACACTGTTTAACACATTGTGGTAAAAATGTTTTGCTCTGTCAGAAACAATGTATGTACATATGTATTCATTCCAGAACACACTATAGACCACTTTCGAGAACGTTCTTCCTTTTAATTGATTAATTAAATCCTATTAATGCTGTGTTATGATTAATACCACCTTTATTAGAGAGTTACAAACGTGTTTTCCATTATTTATTAGCTGTTATTCTTTTATAAACACCGATAAAACTAAGTCAGAGACGATAGCTCATCTGCTACTGCACAGTTTGTGTTGGTCATCCTCCAGTCCTTCATCAGTGGTCACAGGACGCTGTTGGCTGGATATTTTTGGTTGGTGGACTATTCTCAGTCCAGCAGTGACACTGAGGTGTTTAAATACTCCAGCAGCACTGCTGTGTCTCATCCACTCAGACCAGCGCAACACACACTAACACACCACCACCACGTCAGTGTTACTGCAGTGCTGAGAATGATCCACCACCCAAATAGTACCTGCTCTGTGAGGGTCCATGGGGGTCCTGACCACTGAAGAACAGGGTAAAAGGGGGCTAACAAAGTATCAGAGAAACAGATGGACTACAGTCTGTAACTATAGAACTACAAAGTGCACCTATATAGTAAGTGGAGCTGTTAAAATGGACAATGAGCGTAGAAACAAGGAGGTGGGCATAATGTTATGCCTGATCAGTGTGTGTATATATATGTATATGTATATAATAACAAAGTGCCCAGCAACACACGACCAGCATACAGTCATGGTCAACGTGGTCAGTATCAGTGGAAAAGAACTGCTGGTTTGGTTTACAACATGAGGATGAGGCCTGGACAGCATTGTTAGTGCTCAGTAATTAGCAGCTTGCTTAGTGTGCTGCATCTTTTCAGTTTATTAAAAAATGAAAATTATATTTGTTTGATGCTCATAACCAACAAAAAAACAACAACCACAACACAAAGAATGCGTTTGAGCGTTGAGTTTATTTCAGAAAATACAGTGAAAAATCACACTGGGGCGATTAACTGTCACATAAAGCTTTAACTGCCACATGAAGCTTAGCATTTGAGAGCAGAAGCAGCGTAAAGCTCATTTGTCCTCCAGCCAGGAGACGGACGGAGCCTTGGAGATGACGATGGAGGGTTCTTCCGCATTCTGGTCGGTGCACGTCTCTATGTACGGATACAGATTCTCTGTGAAGACGTTGTCCTGGAAGGTGTAGAGAGGCATCCTGGACTGGGGGCTATAAAAGGCTAGCTCTTTCTTTTTGAAGTTCAGCAGAACCCCGATCGCAGTCGGTTTTACGGGCATCATGAGAAACGTGTAAGGATCAGTGAGGGCCAGGTACTTGCCGTCCCTCCTCCTCAGAATGCCCCAGTAACCGTTTTGGGGTCCATAACTCAGTTCGCCTTTCCTCTGAGCCGATTCTTTGGCCACGCCCACCACGAAACAGGCCCGGGTCCCCACTTGGATCTCCCAGTAGAGCTTCCCGGAGTTGTAGCCCGTTGTCGCCACAGCCGCCAGGGCGGAATCGTAGCGCTTGGGACCGTTCAGAACAAGCCGGGGGAAGTCGCCGCCCCTCACTGTCTTTCCGTCGTCGGACAGGTAGAGCCTGCGGTGCGCTGTGTCCGGATCTAACACTGGAGAGACTGGACAAAAGACAGGGTTAAAAAACGGTTAGAGGAATGTTTTCCCAGCTTCCCACATGCACACCCAAGTACAGCTGATCAGGCAAGGCAGGTCTGAAGTTTGTTTCTTTGGTTTTACAGGTAAGGAGGAGTTTAAGTATCTCGAGTCTTGGTGACGAGTATTGGTTAAAGGGAGGGAGAGATCAGCCGCAGGCTGGGACAGACAGCAACAGTAATGCGGTCACTGTACCGGACTGTACACTGTTAGAAATAAAGGTTCTGTTCAGGTACATTTTTTGTTCATCAAGGTACAAACAGTGTAAATGTTCCCTCAAAGCTCCAACAGTGGTTTTAAGGTCTGACTGTGAACCTTAAATAAGTTTTTCCAGGTGAAAAGTTCGTATTTGTACCTTTTCATAAGCGAATGTTTTAAACAGAACAGTAAAATAAAAGCCTGGAGACGAGACGGGGTGTGTGGAGTCAGTACAGCTTAGAACATATCATTTCAGTGGATTATGGTTCAGTTATGTTCCCTGACTAAAGGTACTGAGATGGAGCCTTGAGGGTTCCACCCCAGTGACAAGAGGGGAACTGACCTAGAGACAGTTTAGTACCTTTATTTCTGAGACATCCCGACCCTCTCCTGCGGTCATGAGCTTTGGGTAATGACCTAAAGAATGAGATCATGGGTACAAGCGGCAGAAATGAGCTTTCTTTGCAGGCTGGGCTACGCTCTTAAAAAAGATGGTTCTTCACAAGCTCTTTAGTAAAGAAAATGGTTCTATATAGAACCATGAACACTCAAAGAACTCTTTGCATGATTAAATGGTTCTTTGCATGTATATGGTTCTATATAGAACCTTTTTGAAAAGGTCTCTTCTGTTATGATGATGTCAAGCTTGTAACAACAGCAGAACCCTTTTTGGTGCTATACAGAATCCTTTTCAAATAGGTTCTATATAGAACCATCTGCAGCAAATGCAAAGAACCTTTTAATTATGCCAAGAGTTCTTCACTCTTAAACATGCTTTTTAAGTGTTCTTTAGTAAATAAAATGGTTCTATAAAGAACCATGAACCCTCAAAGAACTCTTTGCATAATTAAAGGGTTCTATGCATCATGAAAAGGTTCTTCAGATTGACAGAATGTGCATGAATGTGCTATAGATGATTCTATATAGAACCTTTTTGAAAATGTTTCTATGTAGCACCCAAAAGAGTTTTTCTACTGTTAAAAGCTCAACAGCATAATATTAGAAGAACAATAGAAAATGGTGCTGTGTAGAACCATCTACAGCACAGTCTCCATCAATCTGAAGAACCATTTCATGATGCAAAGAAATACTTCATGTAAAGGGGTCTTCGGGAGTTCATGGCTCTATATAGAACCATTTTCTTTACTAAAGAACCCTTGAAGAATCATGTTATTTAAGAGTGTACTTGACAGGGTGAGGAGCTCAGAGTAGAGCTGCTACTCCTCCACACTGAGAGGAACCAGTTGAGGTGGTTCGGGCGTCTGATCAGGATGCCCCTGGACGCCTCCCAGTGGGGGTTTACCAGGCCCGACCTACTGGGACAAGGGGTCGTCCTAGGACCCACTGGAGGGATTGTATCTCCAGATTGGTCTGGGAGCAGCTCAAAGTCTCCCAGAATGAGCTGGAGGAAATTTGGGGGGACAGGGTTGCCTGGGCTTCTCTGCTTTCTCTATTGCAACCGCAACCCTAGCTGGACCAAGCAGGAAAAGAAGATGAAGATAAAGTTTCACACTGGAGCTGCGAGGACGGGAACATATCGGAATTTTTTAATTTTCCTTTCCACCTTAAATGGTGCAGTAGCTACATTCTGGGTCCTGAGGCTGCAACATTTGAGATGCAGTGGGAAAATTCGAACAAGAAGGCTAATAGGAAACCAACTTAAGCCCCGTCCATCTCACAGTGTTTTGGGTTTGAATTTTTATATGCATTAAGATTTGAGGTGACTGATGGATGCTGATGTAAGTGAAACTGTTTCTAATGAAGCTTGAACTAAACTCGGTTTTAGCATCAGGTGCAGACTGAATACTTTCCTGCTGGTCCGGACGCTAATTAGCACGATCAGTTATTAAAGAAATAAAAGCTACTGGGTGCGGTCCGTGCAGCCTAGATTAATCTGTGATTCAAGAAATGATTCAGTGAATCATAAAATCTCAAACTGAGTTATGATTGATTCAATTATGAATATTTAGGAAACAATTTAATTAATCATGAAATCTCAAACTAATTTGTGATTATTTTAAATACAGTTCAATTGACCATGAAATGTTCACTTAGATTCAATTCAGTTAATATTCTTTTAGAAATGATTTGATAAATCATGAAAGGCCAAATTCAACTATGATTGCTTTGATTCATTTTTGATTCAAAATCTCAAACTTACCTGGTTTGGTTTGATTCAATTATGAGTCTTTAGGAATCAGTTCATTTATATATGAAATCTTAAATTTAACCACAACTTGTTTAAATTCAAATATGACTGTTTAAAGGAATCAGGAAATTATAGTCAAATATAGTCTGAGGATTATAACAAAACAGATGAAAAAATCGGTTGAGTGATAAGGAAGTTGTGGCCGATTTAATCCTGAGACTCATCATCTCTCAATAAACCTGTATTTGTTTACAAGCAAATCCTGACCTCTCCAACATGGCGGACGCGCAGACGTATCGCCTCAGATAGAGAAGAACAGACGATACGGCATCTATGTGTGTGAGCCAGGTGATGACCCCTCCTTGCCCAAAGAAGAGTAGTGGGTGTTTGTGGGTTGGTCAGTAGTTACCTGGGTCAATGCAAACGCAGACGCTTTGAGCTACACAGACCAAGTTTCGCGCACAGTTGAGTTCAAAAATGTGTCACAATGCATTGCATAACTCAATGCAAGCACAAGCTGCATTCTGAGTGTTCCAGCAGGGGGCGCTATAATGACAGCCAAGCCTGTCCAAGCGGTCTCTTACCGCCCAGCGTGTTCCAGCAGAGGAGCTAAAGCAGCTCACTCTCCTCTACTGTCCACGTTTAGCTGCTGAGGCTGTCGGAATAACAGTTGATCCTCTCGGGTTTGTCCTCTAGCGCCCCCTTCAGGACTGAGCGTTTTAACTGCCACAGTAACATAAGAGTGCACAGTGTGATGAAACTGTGATGTAAACTATAAACAGACTTACCCACAGTGATGGGAGGGTCTTTATCTGTTCAGGTGAAAAACAGAAGAAGAAAGCAGGATTAGTCAGTCTGAGGGGAACACAGCAGCACCGGAACATTTCTGAACCAGATCAGGGTTCTAAAGCTCAGCTGCTACTGAAATGGGTAGATCTGACGTGTTCAGTGCTAAAACTCCATTAAAGTCAAAGATTCAAACACGTTCTCACCTTGCAGCACCTTCAGTTTGTCTTCCACCTCCTTAAGCTTCTTCTTCAGCTGATCGTTCTCCTCCGACACCTCTACAGTGACGAGAACACGGAGAGACGAGAGTTAAACGCGGTCTGCAGGGCCGTAAATATCAGAATGATTCAGTTTGATTCAACTGTGATTCAAGGAATCATTAAATCTCAATTTAACCACAGTTAGATTCAGTTCAATAATGATTCTTTGTGAAGCAATTAAATGAATCAGTTATGATTCTTGGAGAAGCAATTACATTTTTGCCATGATTTGATTTGATTCAATTACAATTCTGTAAGAATTGATTCAGTAAATCATAAAATCTCAAATTTAACCACGATTTGATTCAATTCAAATGTGATTGTTTAATTGAATTGAATTCAATTATGAATCTTTAGGAAACTAACTGATTCAGTTCAAATATGACATACGTATTTATGAAACGATTCAATGGATCATGAAATTATTTTACCACAGATTGATTCAATTCAGTTACTATTCCTTTAGAAAAGACTTGATGTATCATGAAAGGCCAAATTTGATTTGTTTTGATTCAATTTTGATCAAAATCTCAAACTTAACTGCTTTGATTTGGTTCAATTATGAATATTTAGGAAGCAGTTTAATTAATCAGGAAATCTTAAGTTTAACCACAACTTGATTAAATTCAAATATGACTGTTTATTAAATGATTCAATTAATCACGATATGTCAAAATTCACTATAATTTGTTTTGATTCAATTACAATTCTTTAAGAAATGATTCGATGAATCATGAAATCCCAAACTTACCTGATTTGATTTGATTCAAATATTAATCTTTAGGGAAGAATTCAATCATGAATTCTCAAATTTAGTCGTGATTTAATTTGATTAAATAGCAGTTCTTTTAGAAATGATTCAAGGAATCATCAAATATCAAATTTATTGACCAGTTGATTTAATTCAGCTAAAATCATTTTCTAAATGATTTAGGTGCTGAAAAGGTTCTATTGAAGAACTTTAATTTATATGAGACAAATCGTTCTGTGTAGAACCATAGAGCTCTTAAGAATCAGAATCAAAAATCAAATTGAACCTCAACCCTCATGTATTGTTACACCTCTGTATTGGGCTTGGTCAGTAGGGGTCGACACTGAGATGCCCAGTCTCTTTCCAGAGCCGCTGATTCTGTGTTCAGTGGAACGTTACTGAAGACACATAAAGAACCGAAGCCTGACCTCAACGTTCCACTCAACACAATCAGGTGCGCTGGAATGTGACTGATCTCAGTGCTGCCCCCTGCTGACCAGCTACAACATTCAAATAATTTTCTCACTTTGCATGTCCTGCAGTCTGTCGTTTATCGTCGTCACCTGGTCCCTCAGCCGCTCGTTCTCCTTCAGCACAACTACAACAAGCACAACATTATTTGTTTTATTCCATGATTTCAATAATAATGTTTAGTGTTTCCGTCAGTAGAACCAGGTTTAAGTACCTTTGTTTTTGTCTTGTTCTGTGGCGAGATCCTGGTTCTTCTTGGAGAGCTCGTTTTTCAGGCCGGTGATGGTCGCCTCTTTATCCTTCACATCCTGCTCTGCTTGGGCCAGCTTGTCCTGTTTCCTGGCCAGTTCCTCATTTAGAGCTGAAGAACAGACCCAATGATCAACACTGACTGGCCACTTTATTAGAAACACCCACCCCATGGTTCCACTCACTGACCACCTTATTAGAAACACCCACCCTGTGTTCCACTCACTGGCCACTTTATTAGAAACACGCACCGTGTGTTTCCACTAATTGGCCACTTTATTAGAAACACCCACCTTTTGCTTCCACTCACTGGCCACTTTATTAGAAACACCCACCTTGTGCTTCCACTAACTGGCCACTTCGTTAGAAACACCCACACTGCACTTCCACTCACTGGCCACTTTATTGGAAACACCCATCCTGTGCTTCCACTCACTGGCCACTTCATTAGAAACACCCACACTGTGCTTCCACTCACTGGCCACTTTATTGGAAACACCCATCTTGTGCTTCCACTCACTGACCACTTTATTGGAAACACCCACACTGTGCTTCCACTAACTGGCCACTTTATTAGAAACACCTACCTTGCGCTTCAACTGACTGGACACTTTATTAGAAACACCCATCCTGTGCTTCCACTGACTGGCCACTTTATTAGAAACACCCACCTTGGGCTTCCACTCACTGGCCACTTCATTAGAAACACCCATCCTGTGTGCCACTCACTGGCCACTTCATTAGAAACACCCACCTTGTGCTTCCATTCACTGGCCAAGTCAAGGGATATAAATATCGTACCTGCATTGTTCTTCTGAAGTTCAGACACTTTCTTCTCCCTGTTCTTCACTTGTTCTTGAAGGTCTGTATGGAGGATCATAAACAAACAGATTTAAAAGCTGCAGTATCTCACCTCAGGTGAGTTACGGTAGAACATTAAAGTGAAAGCTTAGCCCAAGTTTCCTCCCTTATCCCAAACGTCATCAATCCGAAGTTCAGTCAGATGTTGGATAACAAGTAATGGAACAGCAAACATGACCTTCTCTATATATATATATAGAAGATCATGATATAAATAGAATATATAGAATATATAGAATATATATATATATATATATATATATATATATATATATATAATATCTGCCAAAACTACATCTCTGAAATGTATTCAATTAGATTTTTTGCTAAATTATCACTTAAATTATAACATAATATGAAACACATATGTGGGAGGTGCCTATGATGGTCATTCATAACCAAAGCAGGACACATGTTCCACTAAAATTTAGTTTACAGATAAGTCCAGTGACCTGAAGGCCAAACGTCTTACCTGCAATACTGTTCTTCAGATCTGAAACTTCCTTCTGCTTGGCCCCCAGCTGCTCTTTAAGATCTGTATGAAAAATAATAAACAGGTTTGTCTTTCTATCAGTGATCAGTAAACTCTGTTTGACCTGTATTAAATTGAAAATGCTACAAAAACAAAACACAATATTTGATGTTTTATCTTCTAAACTACATTGTCTTTTATAAATATATTGTTGTTGTCTGAACAAAACCTCGTATCTCCAAAATGGGACCAGACTTTTTTTCACGTCTTTTTACATACAATGTATAGGACAACACGCATGTTCAAATTATGTCAAAACTGAAAATTGACTGACAGCAGCGATATGCCCGTTCCTAGTTTAATGACTGCAACACATTCCAAAAAGTTGGGACAGGGAGCATGTTTACCTCTATGTTACATCACCTTTCCTTTAAACAGCACTTAATAATCATCTGAGGACTGAAGACAGAAACCAGTTTTAAAGTTAATTTTTTGTTATATTTAAAAAATTATAATTCTCTTATAAAAGTCTTCAGCTGTTTAATCATACAGAGCCTTCGTTGTCTTATTCTGAGCTTAATGATGTGCTCATGTTTTTAATAGGAGACAGGCAGTTCAGTCTAGAATCTGCACTCTCTGATTACACAGCCATGCAGAATGTTTTTTGGTGTTGTCATGCTGAAATGCTGAAACATAGACATCCCTGAAAAAGACGGCATCTAAAAGGCAGCATAGGTTGCTCCAGTATGTGTTCAGATGCCAGATTTTGAACTTTTATACTGGTAACAATCTGGATGGTGCTTTTCTTCTTTGGCCTGGAGAACACAGCGTCCATTAGTTCCATAAACAATCTAAAAGTTTGACTCCACTGAGCATCAGTCCATTTCAGATGAGCTTGAGCCCAGAGAAGTCGGCGGCGTTTCTGGACATTGTTGATATGTGGGATAGTCTTAGGATAGTCTTAACCTGCATGTGTGGATGCAGTGACAGACGGTGTTTATTGACAATGGTTTGTCAAATATTCCTGAGCCCATGTGGTGATATCATCACAGTGCATGCTGGGTTTTAATGCAGTGCCATCTGAGGGGCCCAAGGTCATGGGCATTTAGTTGTGGTTTTAGGCCTTTTCCTATAAGCACAGAGATTTCTCCAGATTCCCTGCATCTTTTAATGATATGCACTGTAGAAGATGGAGTTCCTTGCAATGTTGAGGATCGTTATTTTTGAACTGGTGGATTGTTCACTAGTGCATTTTGAGGCAAAGAACTGAGCCACTAGCCATCCTCATTCATAAAAGACTCAGCCTTTCCTGGACGCTCAGTTCACACCAAAGTGTTTTTTTGAACACTTCACTATGTTCCTAGTCTTAAATAGCTTTTTTGGAGCGTGTTGCAGGCATCAATTTCAGAATGAATGTATATTTACAACAAATAATTAAGCTGATAAGATAAAGCATTAAATATCTTGTGTTTTACCTACTTTCCCAACTTTTTTTTGGAATTGGGTTTGTACAAATTCTCAATCTAAAAGTTGCACATGAACAAATGCAAATCTAATAAGTTATGGGGTTTTTGGTTTGTTACTGACGCTTATATTTTAGTAACATAATTGAATTTTAAATTGATTTTTAATTTAAAGATGTATTTCTTCACTTTTATATCTATTGTTTTCATCATGTTTTAATCATATTTATCATATCATAATCATAATTAATTTCCATTCTCCTTTACTTTGTTACTTTTTCAATTTTACTTTGAATTATCTTTGTATTTTCTCATTTGTAAAGCACTTTGAATGTCTGCAGTGTTTGAAAGGTGTTATATCAATAAGCTTGCCTCACCTTACGGAGTTTCTGGCTTATTACTGACCCTGACCCTTCCATCATGACGGAGGAAAGAGTGGCGGCGAATGATGGGTAATTCTTTGTTTTTTCTTAGATTGGGCCATAGAAATCTGTTTGGTCATCAATCAAATCTGACATTTTTACAGTTTCTTAGAAAACTACCAGAATAGGGTTAGCTAGCTAGCTAATGTTAGCAGGTAGCACATCTTCGACATTCCTGACTAAAAGTACTTCATGATCACATTTGTAACCATTAGGTTTGTACATTTTAATGAAAATGCAATGAAGACACCAGAATAGATCAGGGCAGCTGACTTGCTTCACCAACTAGCAAATCATCCGGGTTTTAACTGCATTTGAACACAACGACATCTGTAACTGCTGGCTGCATTATGTTCGCTTTCAAATGACGTATAATGTTAATTAAGCATTAAACATCTGCCTACATTGTAAACTAACTGTTGAAAAAAAAACCAAATAAGGCTAGCTAACTAGCTAACCATGTTTCCAGTGACAACATAAAAACTGTACCGTCGATTTGTTTCTGCATGGTTTGTTTAAGGTTTTCTTGTCCTCTTGCAGCTTCTTTCAGCTGTTCCCCCAAATCAGCCGCTTGCTTAACTGCAACAGAGAAACGAACACATTAACACCAGCATTCTAACATCACACAGGGACTTTTATTTTGCCTGTACGATACTACCATAGTCCTGATATCAATGCCAATGGTGAAAACAGTCCTACTACAACAGAATAACACCTAAAAATCATAAGAATGATATTACTACTACTACAACGACCAATAATATTATTATTATTAATAATAATAATAATAATATCAATAATTATAGTTTTATTAATATTATTAATAATTGATCTATTATTATTATGATTATTATTATTATTATTATTATTATTATTAAGATGAAGGGAGGGCAGAGAAGAGGGCCGAAACAGGGGGTGAAAAAGGATGAATGGAGGAAAACATTCAACATAATACATAAAGAAGCAAAAATGATACAATTATTGTGTAGTTTACTGGTCAAAAACAAAGAAAGTAAAAAATATTATATTCTCTTACTCAGTTCTGCATTCTCCGCATCTTTCTCCTTCAGTTTGTCTGTGATGAGCCCCAGATCATTAGTCAACTTCGTAATCTTCTTTTGCAGCTCTAACAGAAAACAAAAACAACAACATGTGCTCAACAGTTTACTAGATTTCTGATGAATACAGGATCTTGGGTTTAGTCCCGGAACGCGCCCGTGAATCAAATCCTCGGTTTCTTTGTCTGTTTCTCTAAGGTTTGTGTCAGAGTCAAGTCACTGAGGTGAGGGTCCAGTTCGAGACTCGAGTCAAGGTGGTGAGAGTCTGAGTCGAGTCTCTGAGGTGAGAATCTGAGTTGAGTCTCGAGTCGCTGAGATTCGAGTCAGAGTTGAGTCTCTGAGGTTTGCATCTGAGTTGACTCTGGAGTCTCAGAGGTGAGAGTCTCAGTCGAGTCTCTGAGGTGAAAGTATGAGTTGAGTCTCGGGTCTCTGAGGTGAGAGTCTGAGTCAAGACTTAAGTCTCTGAGTTGACTGTCTTAGCTGAGTCTCTGAGGTGAGAGTCTGAGTTGAGTCTCGGGTCTCTGAGGTGAGAGTCTGGGGTCAAGTCATTGAGGTGAGAATCCGAGTCAAGTCTCAAATCTCTGAAGTCGAGCCTTGAGTCTCTAATGTGAGAGTCAGAGTCGAGACTTAAGTCTCTGAGGTGACTGTCTGAGCTGAGTCTCTGAGGTGAGAGTCCAAGCCGAGCCTCGAGTCTCTGAGGTTCGTGTCCGGAGTTATGAGCCTATGAAGAGGGGCTGAGATACACGTCATCTGCCTCTCACCGTGTGGAACTGGTGAATTGGTGTGTCCGTCTACATTCTGTGTGAAACTGACCAATGGACACTCAGGAAATCACTAAGGTCTGACCATCACGCCGGAAACCCTTCATTCTTCATTCAGTCCACATCGGAGACTCATGTGAAATGGTGTGCAGAGAGTTTACAGCTGCTGAAGCTGCTGCAGCGGTTTTGGAAAGTAGTGATGAAGATAACGGAGCATTTAGATATGAAACATATGAGGATCATGATATATGAAGAGCCTTTAGAGGAGAGTTTAAGAAGAGATGAACAAATCCAGAAAATGACCTCAGAGCCCAGAGGGTCAACTCCAGTAGACGAGGACACTAAAAAACTAAAGGAGCGCTCGTCTGCAGAGTTGCTGCTGAGCTACAGGAGAAGCACGAACTGTTTCCTTTCAGATTTACTGCAGTGAAACAACAAAGACCCCCACATTATATATTAACCCTCATATTTAATAAATGTGTAACGCTTATTATGAATAGTTATGTCTTGGATAAACATCTGATTTTTTAGATATTTTAAATTGACTACAAGTAATTTTCATACTTCTTTTCACAATAAAATTGGGAATTTCTGTTTTTTGTTAGTGTGTCATTTTCATACCTTCATTTATAAGAAAATTAGTATTTTTCTTTCGGTTTGTTTTTTATTATTGAATCAATTTTAATACCTTTATTTATAATACATTTGGATGTTCTGTTGATTCATTTTATTATGATGTCAATTTTATTTTTTTTTTCAGAGTATATTTTGGATTTTCTATTGGTTTATTTTCATTATTGTGTCAATTTTAATACTTTTATGTATATGAATTTTGCATTTTCTACTGGTTTGGTGTTTATTATAAAAGTAGTACATTTCATATCTTCAATTCTAATAAAATGTGTATTTTTCTATTGATTTATTTTTATAATAAATTTTGAATTTTCTATTGATGTTTTTTTATTATTGTATCAATTTTATTACCTTTCTTAATAAAGTAGGATTTTCTGTTGGTTCATTTTTTATTATTATTTCAATTTATTTGTTTGTTTTAACTTAGTTTTTTTCATAATAAATTTTTCATTTTCTATTGGATTGTTTTTTATTATTGTGTCACTTTTAATACTTTAATTTGTTATAATTAGTACATTCCATATTTTCAATTATAATAAAATTTGGATTTACTTTCATTTTTTATTATGTCGATTAAAAAAAATCATAATAAATTTTGGATTATTGGTTTGCTTTTTATTATTTATTCATAATAAAATCAGAATTTTTTATTGTTTCTTTTTTTTTCTTATATGTCACTGTCATACTTACGTTGGTAATAAAATTCTATTGCTCTGTTAAAAATCAATAGTGACCCAAGACAAATGAAGTGATACATTTTTCAGTCATGATTTGATCGATTAAAAAAATTCTTCAGATTTGCACTCAGAAATGTATGGATTAAAGGACTTGTTCTATTTCAGATATGGACATTACTGAGTAATGTGTGGTGTTCTCTTTCGGCCTGGTCACTCACCTCTGACCTCATCATCTCTGGATTTCTTCAGCTTGTCCAGTTCCTGCTCTTTAGCCTGCAAATCCCTCCGAAGCTGCTCCATCTGCTTCTCTGTGCAGTCAGAAAAACACTGAGGTCACTTTCTGTCCATTCTTAGAAAATATTTCAGTGTAAGTATAAAATTTCGGATCTTATTCAGATTTTGTGACGACACGGCACTGCGCAAAAGTCAGAAACCACCTTCATCTGTTTACTTTCCAGCCAAAACTGTCATTAAACAGAGACGTGGACTTGAGTCATATGACTTGGACCTGAGTCTGACTTGAGACCCGAGACTCGACAAAATTGAGAAAGACTTGCAACTCGACTTTGACTCAAACACCGATGACTCTGACTTTGACTCAAACACCAATGACTCGACTTTGATTTGAACACCAATGACTCGACTTTGACTCGAACACCAGTGACTTGACTTTGACTGAAACAGCAGTCACACAGACTTTGACCTGACCACCAGTTACTCAGACTTTGTACTCAAACACCAATAACTTGACTTCAACTCAAACACCAATGACTCGACTTTGACTCGAACACCAATGACTCAACTTTGACTCGAACACCAATGACTTGACTTTGACTGAAACAGCAGTCACGCAGACTTTGACCTCGACTCACCAATGAAACACAGACTTCAACTCAAACACCAATAACTTGACTTTGACTGAAACACCAATGACTTTGACTCGAACACCAATGACTCGACTTTGACTCGAACACCAATGACTCGACTTTGACTCGAACACCAATGAAACAGACTTTGACTCAAACATCAATGACTGACTTTGACTCGAACACCAATGACTCTGACTTTGACTCAAACACCAATGACGACTTTGACCTGAACACAAATGACATGACTTTAACTGACCACCAATTACTCGGACTTTGACTCAAACACCAATAACTTGACTTTGACTCAAACACCAATGACTGACTTTGACTCAAATACCAATGACTCTGACTTCTACTCGAACAACAATGACTCGACTTTGACTTGAACACCAATAAAACAGACTTTGACTCAAACACCAATGCCTCTGACTTTTAGTCGAACACCCTATGACTGACTTTTACTCGAACACCAATGACTCTGACTTTCACTCGAACACCAATCACTCAGACTTTGACTCGAGCACCAATGACACAAACTCTAACTCGAACAACAACGACTCAACTTTGACTCAAACACCAATGACACAGACTTTGACTTGAGCCTCATGACTTTGAAAGACTCAAGACTCAAAGAAGGAGTATGGAGAGTCAGACTGCAGACGGGACTCTCAGTCACTTTCCATGTGAATGGATTCGCTTCCTGCCGTAAATCTGATGTATAGCAGTGTCGTCAGATGTCTTATTTTATTTCGGAAGAAAAAAGAAGCATTTAGAGCTCAAGTTCACCTCCATGAGCTGGAAACAAGCGACGCGTCAACAGTATCAATTCAATGCGCCCTCACTCAGCACTTAAACTCCAGTCTTACTGGAGAAACTCACCAGGTGAACTGACCATTTTCCTCACACAGCCCTCTATCTGACTGATTTTAAAAGCTTCTATAGGTAAACCAAGAGCAACATTCACCATGAGGCTGAAGTTCCCCAGCTTCCTATTTGAATTTGCCGTCCCACTTTAAATGGTGCAGCAGTCTGGTGCTGAAATGTTTCCATTTAAGGTGGAACGGAAAATTTTAATAAGAAGCTGCTGGCGAAAAAGTCAACTTCAGCTTCATACATTCGCCATCATTTTACTGTCTTTTCTGTAAACTTTTTTCAGTTCAGTTTGGATTCTGTTGTCATCTAAATGCAGTTAAAGCTAGCAGTTGCTTTTAGTTGGCAGAGGTAGTTTTAGTTTTCGTGGTAATCTTAATCCGGTGCGCCAATGTGCAAAAATTATCTTCAAATGTGACGTTTTTTTATGAAGTTCAATCATACTTTTTAAAAAAGAAATGTTTTGCATCAAAATTGAGAAAATGGGCTTAAACAATGCCAAATTGCCAAAACAATCAAAAATAACACCAAAGATCTTGTGCTGCATGAATCAACCACATAGCAGGTTATCATTACAGTATTGGAGACTTACTTATGTCTTCGCAGTTGTAGTTCTTCAGATATTGGATTTCTTTGCTCTTCTCCTCGACGTCCTTCTCCAGGGCTTAAAAAACAAACAACACTTCAATTCTACTTTTCTTTCAGCACAGTTTAGCATTAATACAGCAAATGTAAGACCTGTTTTGAACTACTATCTTAAGAAAGAGATTTACACAACTGGAACTGACCTGCAATCTTCTCTGAGGCTTCTTTCTCTACCTGTGCTTTCACTTTTTCCAAACTGGCCAGCTGTTCCTTCAAAGTGATCACCAGGATGGCTGGATGAGGAAAGAAAGACAGATTAAGACAGACTTTAACTGCAAACAATAAAGCAATGCAAGAGTAAACGCAGACGTAAAATGACGTCAGGTGAAACAGATGTGGCACCTCATGTCCGAGACGTTGACAAAACTGAAGGGTTTGAGAAGGTTTGGGTCTAAAATGCGTTTTTAAATCCATTCTTGGAGGAGCGGTACATGCAGGGCGCTGTACATATCTTTCAACAAGCCAAAACTGGACACCACTCGGGTCCAACCTCAGACTCACCAGTAACGTCTCCTCCATCTGTGCTTTGTATTTGATATTGCAAAGGTTTGGTCTTCAAAGCAAGCTCACAGACGTTTTAGAGAGTTTGAAATCATTTCCTGCTGTGTCTCACTGTGGTTTTTGTCATTGAATATCCATTAAAGCTGAGTTATGGGGACATTTTTAGGTCTTGATGTGTGTTTTGCAGCTAAATGTCCATTTAAGCTGAGTTATGGGGAAATTTGAAGGTCTCAGCGTGTGTTTTGTAGTTGATTGTCCATTAAAGCTGAGTTATGGGACATTTTAAGGTCTCAGCGTGTGTTTTGTAGTTGATTGTCCATTAAAGCTAAGTTATGGGGACATTTTAAGGTCTCAGCGTGTGTTTTGTAGTTGATTGTCCATTAAAGCTGAGTTATGGGGACATTTTAAGGTCTCAGCGTGTGTTTATATTAAATTTCCATTAATCCTGAGTTATGGGGACATTTTAAGGTCTCATTGTGTGTTTGTATTAAATTTCCATTAATCCTGAGTTATGGGGACATTTTAAGGTCTCAGCGTGTGTTTTGTAGTTGATTGTCCATTAAAGCTGAGTTATGGGGACATTTTAAGGTCTCATTGTGTGTTTATATTAAATTTCCATTAATCCTGAGTTATGGGGACATTTTAAGGTCTCATTGTGTGTTTGTATTAAATTTCCATTAATCCTGAGTTATGGGGACATTTTAAGGTCTCATTGTGTGTTTGTATTAAATTTCCATTAATCCTGAGTTATGGGGACATTTTAAGGTCTCAGTGTGTGTTTTGTAGTTGAATGTCCATTAAAGCTGAGTTATGGGGACATTTTAAGGTCTCAGTGTGTGTTTTGTAGTTGAATGTCCATTAAAGCTGAGTTATGGGGACATTTTAAGGTCTCAGTGTGTGTTTTGTGGTTGAATGTCCATTAATCCTGAGTTATGGGGACATTTTAAGGTCTCAGTGTGTTTTGTAGTTGAATGTCCATTAAAGCTGAGTTATGGGGACATTTTAAGGTCTCAGTGTGTGTTTTGTAGTTGAATGTCCATTTAAGCTGAGTTATGGGGACATTTTAAGGTCTCAGTGTGTGTTTTGTGGTTGAATGTCCATTAATCCTGAGTTATGGGAACATTTTAAGGTCTCATTGTGTGTTTGTATTAAATTTCCATTAATCCTGAGTTATGGGGACATTTTAAGGTCTCAGCGTGTGTTTATATTAAATTTCCATTAATCCTGAGTTATGGGGACATTTTAAGGTCTCAGCGTGTGTTTATATTAAATTTCCATTAATCCTGAGTTATGGGGACATTTTAAGGTCTCAGCGTGTGTTTATATTAAATTTCCATTAATCCTGAGTTATGGGGACATTTTAAGGTCTCAGTGTGTGTTTTGTAGTTGAATTTCCTTTAAAGCTGAGTTATGGGGACTCCATGTTCTCCAAGTGCAAAGCTTGGTCTGAAACTCACTCAGCTGCGCTTTGTCATCTCCTGTGGTTGCCACTGTGGCCATCAAATCTTCGATTTCCTTCTCCAGCCCTGCGTTCAGACACAATCTTCAGTATAATCTTGGTTATACTTATTTATCTTACCAACATCAGCCATTTAGAAGTGACCCTTTCTGGGGGAACTGGAGGACTAACTCACGGCCAATCTCAGCCAGATACTCCGCGATGCTCTGCTCCTGCTGCTTGGACAGCCTCCGCAATGACTCCAGCAATTTCATAACTGAAACAGAAGCATATTGACTTACTATTTTGGTTCATTTCAGTTTATCTGGATGCCTGTTAGCTGTAACTCTGCTGCACAAACAGTCAGACTGACCCAGAACTCTCCACAGGCGCTATGATTACTTGCCTTTATGTTATTTCACTTGTTAATTGTAAAGAACACTTTTAAAAAAGATGGGTTCTTTAGTAAAGAAAATGGTTCTATATAGAATCTTTTTGAAAATGAATCTGTATAGCACCTAAAAGCGTTCTTCTATTGTTAGAAGCTGTGTCAAGCTTGTAACAATAGAACATTTTTGGGTGCTATATAGAACCATTTTCAAAATGTTCTACATATAACCATCTATAGCACATTTGTGCAAATTTTCTATCGATCTGAAGAACGATTTCATGATGCAAAGCACCCTTTAATCATGTAATGGTAAATATTCAGATCTTAGATATTTACAAGGATTGTGTTCTGATCTATTTAAACCCAACACATTAATAGAGATAATAATAAGCTAAATTTATGCAAAATCATCATTTATAGGGTTCTTTCTATTAGGAGGAATCTGTCCCAAACCCTAACCCCTAAATTTACACTTCTGAAAATAATACTTACATTTTTTTTTTATTATTTTTAATGCTGTTTATTTCTTTTAAAGTGAAGTTGAAAGACTGAGATTTATCATGAGTTTCATTTTTAAACAGAAATATGCAGTCTCATATTTTCATGTCACTACCGAAACACAGAGTTTTAGTATGTGGGTGGAGCCTTATGTTAGCCACACCCCTACTTTTTAGAGCAGGAAGTGAGGCTGCATCCCTGTCCCTCATGGCCACATGGTGAGCAGTTAGATCCCATTGTTTTGAACTGAATGTGTCCCAAAGTCTGAAAATCAGTGTGGAACATTAAGAATCGTCATATTTTCTGCAGTTTTCAGTGTTTTAATGTAAAATATTATGATTTTCTGTGTGAACAGCTGTTCAAAGCTGTGTTTGCTGGTCATGTACTGGCTGAGTTTCTGAGCTCAAAATGAGCTAAAATTGTCACCGGAACAGTCACTACTGAAACAGTCACTACTGAAACAGACACTACTGAAACATTTGGTAATGTTTGTTGTTATGATTGTTGTGGTAGAGACAAAATGGAACATTCAATCATTAGTATTAATAAATAACCATAATTAAGGTATAGTGTCACTAACAGCAGAACAATTTTAGTGTGTTGAATGTGTTTCAGCTCTGACTTTATACCAGTTCAGTAGAATCATTGATACATAGCAGTTACAGAGTAATAAGGTGGCATAGTTTATTATGTGGATCACACAAAATACATAAAATGGAAAAAAGGCCAATGAAGAGAAAAATATCAATGATATTATAATACCAGTTAAACAAAGTAAAACAAAGTTACCTGGAATCTAAAATGATGGTCTATTATTTTACAAATTACAAGCAAATTTAATCACACTTACGATCAAAAGAGTACGCTTTCTCTTCCTGCAGCTCCTTTTTCACCTTGTCCAGCTCACTGCTCTTCTCTTCCAGCTGCTTCCTCAAGTCTTCACAGACAGAGTGAGTCAGTTATTATTATCATTATTGTTATTATTAGGAGTAGTAATAGTAGCAATAAAAACAACAATAATAATAATGTTAATTGTGTACACAATGATGAACTGAACATCCAAAATTAATCAAATTTCAAAGGTGCAGATCAATGTCACCAATATCAGTGTAAACCGATAATGCTTATCATTTTTATTCAATTGCTGTTCACAGATTTCTTGAAATATCAATTTGAATATTTACAATAAAAACACATTTTGGCATACAGTCATTATTTTATAATATTCATATCCATATTGTACAAGTTATTATTGTACATAAAATTACTGTATATAATTTTAATGTATATATGTTTTGCTGAATTTCAAAGTTAATATGTCTGGTTAAATATGGACATTTTTCTGCAAATTATAATGGAATAAATTTCTATTTATTTGCTGAATAACTTTTGCACAGGCAGCATTTTATTTTTTTCCCAATGTGTTAATTTCAGTGATTAATCAGTAATTGAATGGACAGAGCTAAACTGCTGTAGGCTGAATATAGACTCAAATTAAATAAAAGAGTTATATATACACACACACACCTAATTTGTAAGTGCCTGTTATTCTTTAAATTGTGTCTAAATTTCATGAAGAATGGAATAAAAGAAACGAAAGAACCCAAAATGGCTTGGAAAAAAGTCTGGTTCAGTTGACTTACGTTAAAAGTAGAGTATGTTTTTTTCTTCTCCTGTAAAGTTACCATTTTGGAAATACGAAGTTGTTTTACATGATACGGGCCTTTTGAATTGTTTTAAACACAGTTCTCTTTTTTGAAATATGTTGCAAGTATTAAAATTGAAATCGTTGTTTATTTTGCAAAAACAATAAAATTCATTTCAGGTAAAACATTAAATAATGCGTTTTCCACGTAGTTCAAGTCAAAAATAATTTACATTTTTAGTCTTAATTTTACCTGAACATACCGTCCCAACTTTTTCAGATTAGGTTTTGTAAATAAATGAAAGATCTTTGGTCTAAAACACATTTACAAAGTCAGCACAGAACCTTACGCACCTTCAGTGTCTCCCACCGACTGCCTGAGCTTCTCCTTAAGAGTTTCCACTTCCACTGAGAGAGTCTGGATGGTCAAAACTAGAAAACAAAACAAACCAAAACGAGGCAAAATGAATCAGGAAGAAGACAAGGGTTAAACCAAAGAGCTGATCCGACTCTGATCTCACATTTGTTCCAGCTAAATGTGCCTTACAAAGAACATTGAGGACTGAGTGTAACAGATCAGCTTTGGAATTAAACCAACAGTTTAGCAAAAAAAATCTCATTTACAGTTTGCAGTTGATCATCCAAGACTTGTTTGGTGTCTGGAGTTTATGTCTTTAGTTTTAGCACTGGAGCTGTGAGGCCACTTAGCATGGTGCTAACTGCATACCTTAATTATCACACACTTGCCTCAGTGTCGAGATGATAACCATGTGGAGCTGTTCAGTATTTCTAATAGTCTTGATTATGTGGTTTCTTGCACTGTATGATACACTATTATCTATAAACATGAGCTAAAGTGTGTTAGCATAGCTAAAAAGATTAGCAGCCATCCTGAAGCGTGAATTGTGTCCATGTTTATAGATAACAGGGTATCATAGAGTCAGAAACCACATAATCAAGTTTATTCGATATACTGAACACCTCCAGGTGCGCAGTTATCACCAAGCTAATTCATGCTAGCATTAGCTTCCATTACTTGTTAGCTACATTAGCCTCGTAGTTCCACTGTAAAGCTAAAGAAGCAAACTTCACGCTCAGTTATCGCCATAAAAATCTTTAAGGCCTTGAACGGCCCTATCAAAGGAAAAGTTTCATGTTTTTACAGTGTGAAGAAAAGTTGATTATAAAAACATCAAAAAGCTTTACAGACCCTTCACTCACCTTGACGGGCTAAGGTGTTATTCATGTTTGAGATTTTTTCTTTGTACTCGGCCTGCAGCTCTAGAACACACAAACAGATTAAGAGGACATGAGCCCGAATTCTACACCTGCAATCCTACAATTTTATTTTTTCTTCACTTAGAACGTTTGTGTGGTTTGATGTACCAAAATTCTCTCTACGTGACCATTTTTCAGTCTCACTTTATGCCTCACAATTAAACAGGCTTTTCTGTTACTGTTCCTTTAAGATATATGCACACGAGCTCTGTTGTGCCTCAGCATGAGTAGGAGGGGCTGAACTGCTGTAGACTGAATGGTGGAGCTAAACTGCTGTAGACTGAATGGTGGAGCTAAACTGCTGTAGACTGAATGGTGGGGCTAAACTGCTGTAGCTGAATGGTGGGGCTAAACTGCTGTAGCTGAATGGTGGAGCTAAACTGCTGTAGACTGAATGGTGGGGCTAAACTGCTGTAGCTGAATGGTGGAGCTAAACTGCTGTAGCTGAATGGTGGAGCTAAACTGCTGTAGACTGAATGGTGGAGCTAAACTGCTGTAGACTGAATGGTGGAGCTAAACTGCTGTAGACTGAATGGGTGGGGCTAAACTGCTGTAGACTGAATGGTGGGGCTAAACTGCTGTAGCTGAATGGTGGAGCTAAACTGCTGTAGACTGAATGGTGGAGCTAAACTGCTGTAGACTGAATGGTGGAGCTAAACTGCTGTAGACTGAATGGTGGGGCTAAACTGCTGTAGCTGAATGGTGGAGCTAAACTGCTGTAGCTGAATGGGCGGGGCTAAACTGCTGTAAGCAGAAGATTAATCTCACCAGTGACAGTTTTATGGCACTTTTCTGCTTCCTTCAGGTCCTGCTGCAGCTCTAATAAAGTAAAATAAACCAGATAATTAAATAATTTCTTATTAAAACATGTCTAACATAAATATGTGCTTGCAAAACAGTAACAGTAAGAATCACTCACTTTGGTTTTCTGCTTCAAGTTCAGACTTTTCGTCTTCGCTCTTTTGCAGACGTTCGTTCAGATCTGTAAAAGGAAACATTTTCTTTTTAAAAAAAAATGTTTTTTTTTATGTCCACAAATCATCAAATGCATACAAACCAAGTGTTTCTCGCTAATGACCATTTGAATTGAGTAACTGGACTAGAAAAAAAGACTGTTTAGTCAATAATGAGCAAATATTTGTGAATACACTCTTCGTCAGGGGAGAAGTTGAAAGCATTTGAACTGATCTATCCAGGTTCCACTGACTCTAAATGTAGGTACTGTGATATAAACTGAGTCTGTTCTACAGTTTCTCATTAGGCTGAATGAATAACTGACACTAAATGTAGGTATTGTGATATAAACTGAGACTGTTCTACAGTTTCTCATTAGGCTGAATGAATAACTGACACTAAATGTAGGTATTGTGATATAAACTGAGACTGTTCTACAGTTTCTCATTAGGCTGAATGAATAACTGACTCTAAATGTAGGTATTGTGATATAAACTGAGTCTGTTCTACAGTTTCTCATTAGGCTGAATGAATAACCGACTCTAAATGTAGGTATTGTGATATAAACCGAGTCTGTTCTACAGTTTCTCATTAGGCTGAATGAATAACCGACTCTAAATGTAGGTATTGTGATATAAACTGAGTCTGTTCTACAGTTAGGCTGAATGAATAACTGGAAACTAAGTTGTTCAGTAAACGAAGGATTAATGGATGGATGAATGAAGCACACCTTTTATTTTTTTAGCTGCCTGCTGACGCGCCGCTTCAGCTTCCAGCCTTGCTTGTTTGACGTCCTCGAGCAGCTTGGTGATTTCTTTCACTGTAAGGGACAGAAAAATGTTAAAGGAGGTTTATTCTTACTGCTTCTATTGAAAGAGTATAACTACCTTAGGAAGGTTCATCAGTGCTGTAAGGAGTTCATTTCTGCAGGGATATCATCCAGTAATGAATTATTCCATATCTGCTACGAATTATTCAGCATCTACTACGAATTATTCAGCATCTACTACAAATTATTCAGTATCTACTATGAATTATTCAGCATCTACTATGAATTATTCAGTATCTACTATGAATTATTCAGCATCTACTATGAATTATTCAATATCTACTATGAATTATTCAGTATCTACTATGAATTATTTATTATCTACTATGAATTATTTATTATCTACTATGAATTATTCAGTATCTACTATGAATTATTCAATATCTACTATGAATTATTCAGTATCTACTATGAATTATTTATTATCTACTATGAATTATTCAGTATCTGCTATGAATTATTCAATATCTACTATGAATTATTCAGTATCTACTATGAATTATTCAATATCTACTATGAATTATTCAGTATCTGCTATGAATTATTCAATATCTACTATGAATTATTCAGTATCTGCAATGAATTATTCAGTATCTGCAATGAATTACTCAGTATTTACAGTGAATTACTCAATACAGATCACATCTAAAGCACACACTGCACTTAGCTTCATTGCTCTCACCCTTCTTTGCTAATTCAGCGTCCTTTTCGCTCAGGGCCTTGTTGACCTTGTCCAGCTCCTGTGTGCTCTTGTCCAGCTGATTCTCCAGGTCTGCCATAGAAGGTGACAGAAATGTCAGAATCTTCTCAGTGACCTTTTTCTGTCTTTGTAGAACTAGTATGAACCTTTCTGTGACAGTAATGAGGCGTGGTGTGAGGTACCTCGCACTCGGGCGGCTGAAGAAAGCTCCACGTTCGCCAGTTTTTCCTTCAGCTTCTTCAACTCCTCCTTCAGATTGGAGATCTCCTTGTCTGGAAACCAAACAGTTTAAGAAGAGTAAGAAATCATACTCATCCTCCATTTTAACACCTCGTCTATCTGCCCTCGTTATTTCCCGTACGGGAATCTCCAGTGCAGCTCCGTTACGACTCTGTTAGCTGAAGAGTTTAAGAGGGGCTGCTGGACGGCTGAGGGAGAGTGAACGTTAGTGTAGACTTCATCAGCAGAACTTACCCAGAAATCATTGTGTTTCTGCAAATTATTCAACATCCACTATGAATAATTAAATGATTTGTTTCCTTTTTAGGAAACACTATGAATTTTTCAGTATCTACTAAGAATTATTCAGTATCTGCAATAAATTATTCAATATCTGCTATGACTTATTCAGTATCTACTATGAATTATTCAGTATCTGCTATGACTTATTCAGTATCTACTATGAATTATTCAGTATCTACTATGACTTATTCAGTATCTACTATGAATTATTCAGTATCTGCTATGACTTATTCAGTATCTACTATGAATTATTCAGTATCTGCAATGAATTATTCAGTATCTACTATGACTTATTCAGTATCTACTATGAATTATTCAGTATCTGCTATGACTTATTCAGTATCTACTATGAATTATTCAGTATCTGCAATGAATTATTCAGTATCTACTATGACTTATTCAGTATCTACTATGAATTATTCAATATCTGCTATGACTTATTCAGTATCTACTATGAATTATTCAGTATCTGCAATGAATTATTCAGTATCTACTATGACTTATTCAGTATCTACTATGAATTATTCAGTATCTGCAATGAATTATTCAGTATCTGCTATAAGTTATTCAGTATCTGCTATGAATTATTCAGTATCTGCTATGAATTATTCAGTATCTGCAATGAATTATTCAGTATCTACTATGAATTATTCAGTATCTGCAATGAATTATTCAGTATCTGCTATAAGTTATTCAGTATCTGCTATGAATTATTCAGTATCTGCTATGAATTATTCAGTATCTGCTATAAGTTATTCAGTATCTGCTATAAGTTATTCAGTATCTGCTATGAATTATTCAGTATCTGCAATGAATTATTCAGTATCTACTATGACTTATTCAGTATCTACTATGAATTATTCAGTATCTGCAATGAATTATTCAGTATTTGCTATGAATTATTCAGTATCTGCAATGAATTATTCAGTATCTGCTATGAATTATTCAGTATCTGCTATGAATTATTCAGTAACCACTATGAATTATTCAGTAACCACTATGAATTATACATCGTCGTATTTATCTCCTAAGCTTGTGTGCCTGTTGTGTATAAAACACAGGGTCTGATCTGCACCTGAAACTGGCTCAAAAGGCTCAGTTCCTCAGGCTCACAGTGTATAATCAGACCAGCACTGCCGTTCTGGATGGACAGGATGAGGAGCAGTAATGACCAGAGAACCTTTATGCTGGTGATTTCTGGCAAAAGTTTTCAGCACCTGAGAAAATGAGATTTAAAAAGCTGTTTATCGGGTCAGTAAGTGTTTATCCCCCCAGAAAAACACTGACATTACAATAAACACCAGTAATATTAATACAATGTGTGTCAGTGTGATTGTTTATCCGTTTCCTGCTCTCTCCTCGAGGAAGGTCCGTGTCATCTGTAGTTATCATCCAGTACCTGCTTTATCTAATCAATACGTCATTATGTAAAATCAGGAGCTGCTGATGGAAATGAATAAATCTGTGTGATTTCTGGAGGAAAAATCTGGAAACTTTGATCTTCAAACAAATTCACAACACAGATATCAATTTTCCTTTTTTGGAGAAGAAGAACAGATGCAGAATGGAAACGGTCTGTGCGGTTTTGAGAGTATATGGTGAATCTGAATACTCACTCAGTCGACCCACTTGGTCCCCAGAACTGGCCAGTTCTGCTGTCTTTTTGTTCAGCAGCTCCTCCTTCTTCTTCAGCTGCTCTTGCAGAGCTATAACAAATCAGAACTGTTGGCACAAACCAAACCTATAATGATCAAACATCATACATCATACTACAGCGCAGACGCCCGTCAGCGCTCTCCATCTCACACCACAGCCACGCTGACGGTCCAAACCAGTGAACTGACTCCATTTAACCGTTCGTTTCCGGACACAGTGAATCTAACCCCGTTTCCAGGGTGGCTCAGACATCTACACGCTTTCTGGAGCCTCTTTAAGCGGCCGGTCGTTTGAGGAGATGAACACACCTGCGATCTGGTTCTGCGACTGCTGTGTGACGGAGCTGATCAGCCTCTTTATCCAGTTTACGTCCGCCAGCAGGGCCATGTTCTTCAGCACTGAGGACGGAGAGGAACGGGACAGAGTGGACAAGAGAGACGGCTTTGAGAAACGCAGACAGAACACGTTCCACATCAACACTGCAAAAACCTGCTGCTATTTACAGGATCTTTCATGTGTCACCGGGTTTTCTCTTCCATCTGTCCATCCATCCGTCTATTCATCCATCCATCCATCCATCCATCTACGCATCCATCCATCCATCCATCCATCCATCTACTCATCCATATATCCATCCATCTATCCATCCATGCATCCATCCATCTACTCATCCATCTATCCATCCATCTATCCATCCATTCATCCATCCATCCATCTTCTCATCCATATATCCATTCCATCCATCCATCTACGCATCCATTCATCCATCCATCCATCCATGCATCCATCCATCCATCCATCCATCTACTCATCCATCTATCCATCCATCTATCCATCCATTCATCCATCCATCCATCTTCTCATCCATATATCCATTCCATCCATCCATCTACGCATCCATTCATCCATCGATCCATCCATGCATCCATTCATCCATCCATCCATCTACTCATCCATCTATCATCCATCCATCCATCTACGCATCCATTCATCCATCCATCCATCCATCCACTCATCCATCTATCCATCCATCCATCCATCTACGCATCCATTCATCCATCCATCCATCCATGCATCTATCCATCCATGCATCCATCTACGCATCCATTCATCCATCCATGCATCCATCCATCCATCCATCCATCTACTCATCCATCTATCCATCCATCCATCCATCCATCTACGCATCCATTCATCCATCCATCCATCCATCCATGCATCCATTCATCCATCCATCCATCCATTCATCTATCCATCCATCCATGCATCCATCCATCCATCCATCCATCTACTCATCCATCTATCCATCCATCCATCTACGCATCCATTCATCCATCCATCCATCTATCCATCCATTCATCCATCCATCCATCCATCCATCTACTCATCCATCCATCCATCCATCCATCCATCTATGCATCCATTCATCCATCCATCCATCCATCTACTCATCCATATATCCATCCATCCATCCATCCATCCATCCATCCATCCTTCCATCTGTGTGTCTGTGAATCAGATGTGTGAACAGACTTATGTCTGTCTTTCTGTCCTGATTCTGAAAACTCACCCAGTTTAACAGGACTGGAGTCGCTCAGTTCGTTGATCTGTTTGAGCAGGTCCTGCTGCAGAGCTAAAAAAACATATGCAATATTTATTAAAGATTATATTTCTCTTCATATGTAATTGATTAAAAACCCACATAATGCAGATTTTCAGATTAGAGCTGAATAAATCAGCGTGAATTGTCAAAATCAGTTTATATTAATGTCAGAGTCAATCAGTATGAATCTGTTGATATCAGTACATATTAATATCGTGCCAGTCTTGTCAATACCAGTGTGAATCTGTGATTGTCATCATCATTGCGAATGTTTTGTGGGGCTGTATATTAAAACGGGAAAGTTAGACCGGAATTCTCCTTTAAGACGTGTTAGAGAGACTCACCGCGGACTTGGTCCAAATTTTCCAGGTTCGCGACCCCCTGCAGCTTCTGGATCTCTTCCATCTTATCTAGTATGGCCAGAACTGACCAGAACAGACAGACAAACGTACCAGCAAATTCAGCCCAAATACTTGAAAAGGGACTTTAGTAGTGGATTCTGAACTAACAATAAAAATAGTTCTGAAGTACTGGATGAATACTTAAAACTGTACTTAAATACGGTAGTTAATTTAGTACAAATGCTTAAGTATATAAGTGAATTCAGGAAAAATCATACAAATACAAACTTCAGAAAAATACTTAAAATGGTACTTAAATTTAATAGTAAATTCAGTACAAATACTTAAAAATCATGCTTATGTAGAGCAGTGAATTCAGAACAAATACTTCAAACAATGCTTAAATGTAATAGTGAATTTAGAACAAAGATTTAAAAAGTTTACTTAAGCATAGTAGGGAACGGAGTACAAATACTTAAAATGGAACTTAAGTACAGTAGAAAATTCAGTACAAATACTTAAAACAATACTTAAGTATAACAGTAAATTCACTACAAACACTGAAAATAGTGCTTAAGTATAGTAATGGATTCAGAGGAAAGACTTAAAATGCTACTTAAGTGCAGAGTGGAGTGTTCTGTTCTACGTACACTTGCCAGCGTCTGGATCATTCTGCTGCAGTTCTCGCTTCTTTGTGTTGAGCTGATTGATCTTGTCTTGCAGCAGTTTCTGGAGCTCTGCATGAAACCCACATTAACCAGCACACAAACAGAGACTTAGCATGTTGTGAATTTCCAGCTAACGGCGATGCTAATGACGCACTGCATTCAGACAGGAAGGTAAAAGGTCAGAGTAAACGAAATAACAGCTAAATGAAATGTTGTAACGTCTTTTCTGCTCTTTTCTGGATTGAAGGCGGTGCGTAAATCAGAAATTCTATCTCTGTCATTTATACTGACATTTCCTATTACGTGTGAATTGGTCATAAACATTACAGACATCCTGAGGTGAACTGGCATCACCCACCTCCCCATGGAGAACGAATCCCCTCTGAATAGGTCTTGAGCATAAATAAGCTACACATCCTCTACAGAGAATATACTTCTGTACGTTTTCATACACAGTTACTGTTTACTAGCTTAATTTATCAAATTAGAAAAAAAAATAAAACGTAAAATGTGGCCTGTGCGAAAGATAAGGTAGATCTTTATTTTATGTTTGATTTCCCCCCCTAATATATTAACCCTCTACTACACGGTGTTGCCTTATGGCAGCAATTATGTTATCTAAATTTGACTAAAAAGCAGCAAAATAAAATCTGTGTTTTCCTATTTAATTGGGGAAAGGGGGTCTTTTACTTTAAAAACACAAATACTTTATGACATCACATGATGTTGTTATTACCATACAATCCAATTACCAATTAAAATTGTATTAATTTCTAATATTTGTAAATATTGGGACGTACATTTTATGAAATATAAGTTGGATTTGTTTGGTCCTCTTTTCAATAAAATGCCAAATGCCCCACTTAAAATATATATATATATATATATATGTGTGTATTTTTTTCTTGTTCAAATATTTTCATCCTTTAAGCAATTTTAAATAAAAAAAAACACAATAAAACAATTTTAGCATCTTGAAGTAATAATTCATGGAATAGAGGGTTAAATAAACAGACACTGTGCACATGTAAACTGACCAGAGCTGTGAAAACTTTTTCTGTTATGGTTGTATTTGAATGCCCTGGTTCCCTTCACCACCACAGTAAAGCACTGCATTATGCAGGAAATTCCAGCAGAATTCCCCTTTAAGAAAGCAGCTCTTTTGGGTTTGTTACTGTGAGTGTGGAACAGCACACCTTTAATCTTGGACTCAGACGTCTCGCCGGCGATCCGGCTCCTTAAGCTGTCTATCTCGTTGCTCAGCGACTTGATCTCCATAACTGCGGTGAGAATTCGAGCAGAATTTCAGATTCACCAAATCACAGGATTCTCTCCCAATCGATAAACATTCAAGAAGTCAAGCCACGCTTCGCTTACTTTTTTTAAGGTTCTCTACTGGCAGGATTTCAATTTGAGACGACAGTTCTGGAAAACATATCAAACAGAATATCAGTGATGGAGTAAATCGAAAATATCGGAGTAAATTGAAAATATTCCCAATATATGGTTAAAGAGTACATCATTCTCCTATCAGTTACAGGTATATGTAGGAAACTACCAAACAGTCTGTATAGAAAACACCAGAAAACTCCAAGCAGAGGCCTGTAAGTGAACTTTTGAACTTTAGTCAGAAGTAGGCCAGATGTTTATCACTGCTGTTGGAATAAAACCCATTTTTGTTGTTACTCAGTTTTTGACATAATTTGAAAATGCCTGTTTTCCTTTACATTGTGTGTAAATTTCATGAATTTTCGATGATCTGATCAAAAGAAACGGCCCAAAATGACTTTTTTCCTTCTCCTGTAAAGTTACTATTTTGGGGATACAAGGTTTTGTTCCGACAGCAGTGGTAAGCGTTATAGAAGTGTGTAAGGACTTTGTGGTGTAAGCTGGCGCTACGTTCAACAGGAGATACATTTCTTAAAAAATAAATAAATAAAAACATATTTCGTTTGGACCTAATTGTACCCAAAAATGGGGAACATTTTTTGGATATAATGGTGGGCAACCAGGTAATGGAATGTTTAAAGAGGGAGGGGTGATTACCTCATCACCCCTAAAACCTGTATAAAAATGGGAACTCTGTACATCGTTTGGCACTGGATTTCCAGAGATTGAAGCCTTTTCTATTTTCAACCAAAGCCAGCTTCTAAAGTGTTTTTTAAGGATATGAAATAGAATAATTATTAGGTGCAGGTTAATTATAAGAGCTTTAGACAACACTCAGTGTCCACCGTGAGTGGTAGGATTCGATTGGGGCATGACATCAGAGTCTTGTGTCCAGATTTTTCCTTATAATGTTTCCCACACTGACATTCTATCAGTGACCATCTAAACAGGTTTACCACTCATTTAGTTAGAGTCCAGTCGAATGCACTTTCGGTCATCTTCTCGTGCTCCTATAGGAACCTCTTCTATGAATACTGACAGATATTTATCCAGAATCACCTTGAAGACTCTTCTTATACCATTTAAATAATTTTATCATGAATGCAAATAATATAAGAATAAATACAATAAATAAGATAAAAATTCTCTTATTTTTTCTTAACTTTTTTCTAAGAATAATTCTGTGAACATGTGTTATTCTTGAAAAAGAACCTTTTAGCCAACTGTGTTTTGCACACAGAGGAATTAGACCTCCGTATTTAACCCATCCATGCAGTGAAACACCACATACACACTAGTGAACACACACACTAGGGGGCAGTGAGCGCACTTTCCCAGGGAGGTGGGCAGCCCTATCCACAGCGCCCAGGGAGCAGTTGGGGGTTAGGTGTTTTGCTCAAGGGCACTTCAGCCACGTACTGCCGGCTCAGGGGATCAAACCGGCGACCTTCCGATCACAGGGCTGGTTCCCTAACCTCCAGCCCACGACTGCCCCCCTTATATCACAATCTTATGACAGACTCCCACTCGTCTCAGGCTGTAGTGACGAGTTGAGCATATAAATTTATCAAACTCAGTGCTGCCTCTGCTGCTCCTCATCCTCGTCTCTTGTTTTCCATTGTCGTCACAAAATTATCTTATTTTCTAAAGAGGATTTTTCCTGTTGGCTGTTTCTTCCTCCATCACCTGTAGCTCTTGACTGCTAAAATTTTTTAAACAATTGGTTTGATATTTTTCAACCATTATGCTCCTCTGAGTGGATTAAATGATGGAAATTACAGTTAATACAAATTCAAAATGTATCTTGCAGCATTTTATGATACTTGCGAGCTTCTTGCGGAGTTTTACACAGCAGTGTTCTTTAAAACTAGGTGAGAAAGTGGTCAGTAGAGAGCAGCAGCAGCACCACCCTCTGCTGGCCAAAACAAGCACAGTGTGAGAAGTCTGCTTTGCTGCCAGCTTTCTTAGGACCTTCCTCTGTGTTTTTAATTCACTGTTAAAAGCGGGGACATTTCTGGGGACAGCCCACCAAAAATTGAGATTTGTCCCATGAAAACTGGTCAGTACTCAAAACTAGTCAGGAAAGCTTTGGCCAAACTTTCAATGGCAAGAAGCTCGGTCAGACTTTCAAAACACGTCTACTGCACGGCTTTGCTTCAATAATACAGCACTTCCACCTTCAGTTTCACACATTGTAGAATTTAAGCTAACATTACTGAGCGTTTTGAAGCCGGCCAGATCCACTAGTGCTGTCATATAACGTAAACTAAAAGCATATAGAGCTCATCAACATGGCTGCTATTCATTTTGAGACAGGGGAGGGTGCGTGTAAGTGGTAACACTTGCCCTCATTCTGCTTTTGGCTATATAGACCATCCTAGGCCTCATCACTGATGGAGATGAAACAGCCTACAGAGACGAGGTCAGCGCTCTGTCAGAGTGGAGCCACGACAGCAACCTCTGTCTCAACATCAGCAAAACGAAGGAGATGATAGTGGACTACAGGAGGCGGCAGAGGGGTGGTCACTCTCCCCTGTTCATCAATGGAGACGAAGTGGAGAGTCAGCAGTGTGAAGTTCCTTGGCGTACACCTCACTGATGACCTCACCTGGTCCCTCCACACCAACACTACTGTGAGATCTGCCCGTCAGCGTCTTTCTTCCTGCGTAGGCTCAGGAAGTTTGGTCTGCCACCTCAGATCCTCACCAACTTCTACAGATGCACCATCCAGAGAGCATCCTCACAGGCTGCATCACTGTCTGGTACAGCAGCTGCACCGCCTGCGACCGCAAGGCCCTTAAAGGAGTGGTGAGGACGGCAGAAGCCATCATAGGCAACAAACCACCAGCCTTACAGGACGACTACCAGTCCCGCTGCCTCAGGAAGATCAAACAGATCCGGTCAGACAGCGTCATCCAGCACACGGCCTGTTCACCATCCTGCCATCAGGCAGGAGATTCCGCAGCATCCAGGCTGGAACAACCCGGCTAATGAACAGTTTCTACCCACAGGCTGTCAGGCTTCTGAACGAGCTGTGAAGCTGTGGGTCCTTCAACAACTACCATCTCACTCAGTCACTCTGTCAGCATTATTATTATATCATATCTCTGATATGGACAATAACACTTTAACACTAAGTCACTTTAAAAACAATAACACTGAGTCACTTAAGTCACTTTAAAATGTATATTGTCTCCATATTTTGTGTATATTTTGTGTTTATTTCTCTATATTTTGTGTTTATTTAATATATTTCACTTTGTTTTTTACATTTTCCTTTTACTTTGTTTACTTTCTGTAGAGTGACTATCTGAGCCTCACCACAAGCATTTCAATGCATGAATGTCCTGACATGTTGTGCAAATGACAAATAAACTTGAAACTATATTGTTCATAAATGGTAGGAGCTGGAAACAGTTTTCATGTGTAGCCAGGATGTGTTATGTGTGTGAAATAATCCCTAATCCTGTTCAAATAATTTTAAATGAATCAGAATAAAACTGAAACGTATAATCTTGTGCGTCAGCTTCCCCACACAGTAAAGGATCTTTCAAAAATGCTGGAGGAAGAATTAAAGATGGTGGTGAACTGGATTGAAGGCAATCAACTGATACTAAATTTACAGAAAAGTATAATAATCGGGTCCAAATCATCACTGAAAGGAGAACCAAAGTTAACATTAAATACAGGTGTAACATAAAACATACTGAGAACATAATTTAAAAAATGGGAAATGTCTTATCAGTTATAAGTAGACGTGCAGCATTTTTAACACCGAGGTCACTAAAACTAGTGTCAGAATCACTGGCACTGTGTAATTTAGAGTATTGTGCTCCAATCTGGTCAAATCCAGCAAGGAAACATCTGACAAAACTGAAAATAATGCAGCAAGAATTACATTACAATGTCCACATAGAACCAACATTAATAAAATGCATTATAAACCTGAATGGTTAAAGGTTGAAGACGGGTGGAAGACGATTCTTACTCGACTTATTAAAAATACTTATGAACAAAAATATCCAACAGATCTATTTAATCAACTGGAGCAAGTAAAAGGTAGAGAAACTAATAAAACAAGATGTACGACAAAAAATTATTTCAAATTACCCAGAAAACTAACTACATGTGTGGAACAGTGATTTATAGAGCCATAAATGGGAAGGAATTCCCTACCAGTCTCACTGCTTAGAATTGAGGGTAAAATAATGTTTAACAAACTGATAAAAAATACTATTTAACAAATTTAGAGATCAGCTCAGTAGGTAGGTCCTTGACAGATGGAACAACACTACGGTGGGCAGGAATGTAGATATTTACCAGAATATAGTCACTAAAGTTTTTGTAAATATACACATGATATTTTCTTCAGTGTGATTTTTCAGTTTTCAATCGTCTTTCTTATGTTATGTTATGGTTATATTGTCTACTTTGTATTTTTTTCTTCTCTCTCAGTCTTTTTTTTTGTTTTTCTTGATTTTTTACTCTTGTGTTTTGTATGACTGGTATTGTTAATTGTTACCGCACTATTTTCGCTATGTATGATGTGTCTATTGGACCCTAGGAAGAATAGCAGCTATCACAATAGCAGCTAATGGGGATCCTAAAAATAAACAAATAAACAAATAAACAAAAAATAAACATGGATGTTTGAATCTGGCATGATTAAGAGCATCAAAGGAGGAAAAACATCTCACGGTCATAGGAAGCCTGGAGGTCATCACACACCGCGCTAAGGTCCTCCAGCTTCGTCTCCAAATCTAGAAGAAAGAAACGTCTCACTATCATCAGCTCTGACTACGTATGTCGTTTTAGTTAGACTACAGGACACTGTCCCACACCATATCTCTCATCTTTTGCTTGATTATATAATAATGTAGATTTTCATGGAGCATAAATCCAACTCAACTCAACAGATTTGAAGATCCTGATCATCTCAGATTAATACATTCAAAAAATCATGTGATCATTTCTAGTAGATAGTGTACAAAATGCCAAGGTTGTATCTTCATTAGTTTCTTAGATATGGAGGCTTAAAAGGTGGACGTGTGCCTTAAAATAAGTGCCTTGTATAATAAGCCATAACTTTTGAACTATTAATGCCTTCACTAATTTCACATTGGCTGGACTAGTACTGACTCTCCTAATTACACTGTAAATGGATATTCATTGCAATTTTTAAAGAAGGGGTCTTCGCGTAAATGGTAGCCCTAACGTTAAGCAGTTGTGAGTTTGATCCTCGCTGATGCCACAGCCATACGAGAGATCATAACCGTCCTGTCACTCTGCATGAAGGTGGTTCTCCAGGACCCCGGTTGGTGAGCACCACTTTAAAGGAACTGCCTGACGGGATTCCAAACCAACACAAAGAGGACTGTCTTACACCGGTTCCTGCCCAGCAGCTTGGTAATCCTCTCTTCTTTCATTCTCACCAGCTTCTGAAGATCTAGGAAGACAGAGTTGAAGGTGGAATGAATAACGTATTGATTAGTTGATGAAACTAACTCGGCACCCGAGTCTCACCCAACTGACAGCAGGAGGAGGACAGAGTGAGTGGAAGACCGACGACAGCCACTAAAGCAGGGGTCGGCAACATGTGGCTCATTTACTGCCCTGTTGTGGCTCCACAGCTGAATCAGATTAGTAGGTAAAAATAAAATAATCCTCCTTTACAGTAAAATAAAGCTCTGCTGATCGTTCAACACAGTTTAACAATAAATGGTCTTAAACTCTGGAGTTACTGTAGAACTGCTAATTCACCCTTTAACCCTGAAGATCAGCGCAGACTGCTGGTCACCATAGCAACACAGACAACAGTCTCGCCTAGCTAGTAGCTAACAAAACGGCAAAGAGAGAGATTTAAGACAAGCATTGATAATTTGGAGACGAATGGACTTATTTATGTTTATAATCACTCCAGCTGGTTTCCTGATACATTTAATCTGCAATGAGAAACTGTCAAACCCTAAAAGGTCATGAAGCTGAAGTCAGTTTCTCTTTCACCAGCTTCTTGTTCGAATTTTTCCATTCCGCCTTAAATGGTGCAGCAGTTACATTCTGGTGCCTCAGGCACCATTTAAGGTGGAACGGAAAAATTAGAACAAGAAGCTGGCGAATGAGAAGCGACTTCAGCCTCGTAAAAATCAAACGTTGAGAAACATTTTACAAGAAACTGATCTACTTTTGAGGAAAAGTTTCCTGCCAGAGATGCGAGAAAAGCAGTTATAGCTGAGTTAAAGATTAAAGCAGAGCAAAGTAACCCTGTGTTTTTGTTTATACTTTTATCCTATACTAGGAGATACTGAGACATGTTTACAGCCAAAATGGTGAAATGGACATAAAATATTGTGGCTCCCAAGTTGGTTTGATTTTTGTTCAAAGGACAAAATGGCTCCTCTTAACATTTGGGTTGCGACCCCTGCACTAGTGGCATGAAGACGCCGTCCGAGTCCTGAACTCTGTCTCCGAGGCCAATGTGCCATGCCTCACGGTGGTCAAGCTGCGAGGCGAGGGAGGTGATCTGGGAGGAGGGAGGAGAGCAGCAGCAACAGAATGAACAGAGGAGCTGAAAAGGCCTGAAAAGTCGTGCAGGAAGCCACAGCAAGGTGGCCAGCTTTGCTTTTGTTTTTGTTTTTGTTCGGTTTATGCTGTACTTTGTGCGCAAATTACATAGTAAAATTCTTGATGCAAACTGTCTCTCCTGCCTCATACACCCTTCCTCCTCCCGGGGAAGCACAGGCAGAGCTACGGAGCCTATAATGAAATGCCTTAAGGCCTCAATAAGCTAAAACTAAAATATGTAGGGAAAACAATGGAAGTCCATACAAATGGAGCCTCTGAATTGTTCAAATTAAGTATTCCTGTAAGTATAATAAGGAGCAGCCCACCTTCTATTTGAAATTCTGCTGCCGCCTTCTCTGCTTGTGCGCGAATCTGAGTCTCCTGAAGCTCCAACTGAAGACTCAGGATTCTGGCAACTGAAGGAAAACCAAACAAGTCAAAGTCAAAGTCAAGTCACAAATAACAAACATTGGAAAACAAACAACATTAAAAGTAGTGATAGAACCACTTTTGGTTCCCAAAAAACTTTCAGTGGATGCTTCCTTATTAAAATGAGATGTGTGAGTGTAAAGAGTCAGTCACCTTTGCATGATATAAAGGTTCTAGGAGGAACCCTAAAAAGGATATAGAAGCTATCCATTATATGAGGGTTCTTTAAAACTCTTTTTCAGACACGGTAACCTGGTTTTTAGGGAGTGGCTATGCCATGACATTTAGTTTATTGCTAGGACTACAGAAAAATCCACAAAAAAGTTCCTACCAGAAAATAAAAGTCACAAATCACCAGTGAGTGTCATACAGGAATATTTAGAAATGTATAATTAATGTTTGACAGCAATAATAAATTATCAGCTTTGTAAATTGAGCTGATCTATTGAATGATAGAATTTAGAGAAATAGATAAATAAAAATAAATTTACTCAATTTTTAATTGACAGCTGATGTTTTTTCCATAACCATCTGAACTAATTTCAGTGCTTGTAAAGAAAAGGGCCACCAGTGTTTGATTTCCTCATGTAAGAAAGTTAAAATGTTTCATCTGAGAAACTCACGCAGATCCTGGTTGCTATTCTTCAGTCCGCCGATTTTGTCCTCTATCTGCTTTCTCTTTTCCGAGAGCTGTTTCTCCAGATCTGAGGGACGTACGAACGTACAGATGTCAGCTCTACATGTTAAAGCTGTAGTCCTGGTAAACTACAGTCATAAAAAAGATGGTTCTTCAAGGGTTCTTTAGCACAGAAAATGGTTCTATATAGATCCATGAACACTCAAAGAACCCTTTACTCTATTAAAGGGCTCTCTGCATCATAAAAGGTTCTTCAGATTGATGGAGAATGTGCTGTATAGGGTTCTATATAGAACATTTTTGAAAAGGGTTCCATATAGCACCAAAAAGGGTTCTTCTATTGTTATGATGCCAAGCTTGACACAACGGAAGAAACCTTGCTATACAGAACCATATACAACACATTCTCCATCAATTTGAAGAACACTTCCACGATGCAGAGAATCCTTTAACCATGCAAAGGGTTCTCTGAGTGCTCATAGTTCTATATAGAGCCATTTTATTTACTAAAGACCCCTTAATAAACCATCTTTAAGTGTGTACCCTTCAGTGAAGCACCTGAATGTACCATAAACTTTACACTACAGTACATTATCTAGCATTTAGTGAGTACATTTATCACAATATCAGGATTTACATGTCAACAGAAAGAGAGGGGTATTAATTAATTAATTAATTTGCTATCAGGTGCAGTTCTCCAGTATTAGAACCAGCTTTTCTGGGCTCTAGCTCACTGCATTAACATCAGTTCAAACAGATTAATTCCAGTGTCGCACCTCCCTTCTGAGACAGGCTGCGGTTTAGAACCTCCAACTGGCCCTTTACTGCCAAAATCTCTCTCTCCGTAGCCGCGATCTCATTATCTGTGGAAAAAGAAGCGGTTATAATAGCATTCTTGACTGAAATCATCTTAAATTCAAGTCAGTATGTGGAATATTTCTCATTATTATTTCTCATTATGATTGCTGTAGGACTATTATGTGATTTATACACTTATTTTTACAGTTTTTGTCCTTGATTAAGTATTTTACAGCAGTAAAACTGAATAGTTTTGGTTGTTTCAAACATTATTTCTTGAAAACACTATGACTTGAAACGTAGAGCAATGTCTGGAAATGGGTTGAACAATCTCATGATAATACTCTTAAAACACGATTTAAAGTCATTTCATTGGTAAAATACGATGAAAATGTGTCAAAATGTTACTGCTGTTGAAGTTACTCATAGAAAGAAAAAGAAGCAGCCATCACCATATCAACACAATGTATTACTGACACTAAATGGGAATTTTAACCCTTAAACGCACGGCTGCTGCAATCCACGGCATTCTGCTTTCACAGGTAAGTGTCAAAGTGTTGCACAAAGTATTTTATTTTATTAGCTTTCAATTGTCAATCAGATATTTTGGCAGGTTTCACCATCAAGTCAGTTTATCAGTTTGTGTTAGATAAGCTCTCCGGACAAAAAAATGTGTCACCTTGTTTGATTAAGGTGGCAGTAACTTCAGGCTCCTGCGCACAAGGGTGATCGGGCTATAAATACCTGCAGGGTGTGTGACGAGATTCATAGATTGAGAAAAGGTGGTACAGTGCAGTGAATGTCTCATTCGATGTGTGGAAAATGCGTCACAAAACAGATGTTAATGACTGGGAAAAAAGAGTGATTACATTTGGGCATGTCAAAGGCCACAGTGTGAAGAACGTAGCTGAATTTGCAGGTGTATCGAAGCGTACGGTCATACGGGTTGACCAGCAATGGCAAAAATCCCAGTCTATTTGTAGCTTAAAGATGAAACTGAGGGACAATGACTGCCAGGGTGTTTTTAACAGGTTGTAGATAAACATCGCTACAAAAATCACTTTGTTTCCAGGCAAGAATTGCTTCTAGAAGTCAACACAGATTCTTCACAACCAATTGCCTTAAGACCTCTCCGCGGGGAACTGCATACCATAAACATATGGAGCAGAGTGACATGCAAGAGGCCTTTGGTCACTTCTGCTCACAGAGTTGCTGGTTACAGTGGACGAAGAGACACAAAAACTGGACTGTTCTTGACTGGAAACGTGTTATCTGCTCAGATGAATCTGGTTTCTGCCTGTGTGTGAGTGACGCTCGGTGTTGTGTTCATCGTAGACCTCAGGTAGTCTTCAATGAGGACTGTGTGGAGGTGTGGTTCAAGCTGGAGGAGCACTGTGATGATCTGGGGTGTTTTAATTATGCAGAAATGGGTTGTTTGGTTGAGGTGACTGTAAATTTGACCCACAGTGCCAACACTGAGCTGCTGGACAACCAGGTTTTGCCTTTTCCTCATCATCTTATTGAAGCAAACATGACTGATTGGCATGATGAACATTCAGGAGTGTTCACACATCTAAACTGGCCCACAAAATCACCAGATTTGAATCCTCTTGAAAATCTGTGGAACAACCTGGAGCAACGAGTAAGACGCCAGGAAGGCTCCACGAAATCTGGCTGAACTGTGTGATTCTTTCATGCAAGAGTGGCTGAACATTGATGTCACCTACATCAGGAAAATTGTCCAGTCCAGGCCAGGCCGCAGCTTTTGTTTGTGCTTGTGGAGATTTTGACACACTATTAGGTACGTTTCAGTCACAAGTGACCAATTTTTTGTCTGGTGAGCTTATAAATCACCGAGGAATGTACAGGCGGCTGTATTTAAGGGTTAAAGCCCTTAAGGTTTAATGGTTACTATCTTTCATATCTCGGGATATCCTTAGATTTACGCATAATTAATGTGGGACATGTAAACAAAGTCATTCAGAGTGGTCTGACGTGGTTCTACAAAAACTTACCGTGTCAGATCTGTTCACAGTGGTGGTGATAGGAACCAGACGTCCCCCTCTAAAAGCTCCCTCACCGAAAGTTCCTACATGAAATGGTTATGAATTCACTGCCTGATGACTGAGACACTGTTTTATGATAGTTTAGAGAACTTAAACTCCATTCATGGTGGAGGGATACATGCAGGGCACTGTGAGGCAAAATAGTCCCCAAAGAAAACTTATTATTTCAGATTTTCCACTATTTTCCATCATCAACATTCCATATAAACTCAGAAGACTCGTGTAGGTTCACTGGTGGTTCTGGACAGTAAATAAAATGTCTATATTTGTGTTGTAGTCATGGCGACCCCTGGTTTCCTATCACCACCACTGTAAAGACATCTGGACCATTTCACACCAAACCACTCTGAATCTCTCTGTTTACACCTCAAACATTCAATTAAGCAGGAATGTAGACTAATCGTAACAGGACAATAATGTCTGGTAATTGCGCTGCTCTCAGATTTGACCCATTTAAAGAAACATACAGACGACCAAACTGATGCCATGTCCACTCACCAACTGCTTTGCCTTTCTCCTTCTCTTCTTTCAGATCGGACAGCAGGAACGTCAGATCTCTCAGACGTGCCTGAAGGGCTGTAAATCATACCAAACACATCAGGCTATAAACACAATAACAATGCAAAACTGAACAATAACATGTTTTAAAGCTACAAAAGTGGTGAAAACACTAATAAGTTACCCTTAAACTCTTCTTGTGCCTTCAGCAGGTCAGCCAGTTTGCTCTGAAGGACTTTTAAGTCCTCTTGTTGTCTGATGATCTCCACGACTGAAATGAAACATTAACACATATAAGACGAGGAGCCGAACATGTTCTGACTATATAAACGTTATCGTCACAGAATAATATCGTCGTTGTCAGGACCAAACCTTTCATCTCAATTATTACTGTTCGATTATTTTTATTTTTCTCCATCAACTTCCTTATATATTGAACGCATTTACATGCACTCAATAATCTGATAACTGCAGAAAATCAGATTGTGTCAGTAACACGTTCAGCGTGCTTACACGTAATAATCTGATAACTGCAGAAAATCAGATTGTGTCAGTAACACGTTCAGCGTGCTTACACGTAATAATCTGATAACTGCAGAAAATCAGATTGTGTCAGTAACTTGTTCAGAGTGTTTACATTTAATAATCTCATAACTGCAAAAAATCAGACCATGTCAGTAACTGGTTCGGTGTGTTTACACTTAATAATCTGATAACTGCAGAAAATCAGATTGTGTCAGTAACTGGTTCGGTGTGTTTACACTTAATAATCTGATAACTGCAGAAAACCAGATCGTGTCAGTAACTGGTTCGGTGTGTTTACACTTAGTTGCTATGTAACAGACATGACAGTTGATTGTTGACTTTGATCGAGTAGGTTAAGATTTCCTAACTGGAGATAAGATGTAAAATAAGATACAATTTCTAAATTAAGATCAGATTTGGTTCTGTAATACAACTTTGTGAAAAATCGTATCTTGACCTGTCAGATCTGAACGTAAGTATGTACCTCAGTCAGCTCTTGATGTATTTGTACTTTTTGAACTTAATTTAATTACGCCACACATTTCCATTCAATCCAATCAGTCAGTACACACACACTTTGTTATCTCAACGTAAAGTTCAGCTGCTGATGGAACAAATCTGAAACATTTCAGTGCAGTTTATTTGGGTTTTATTGGTGTAAAATTCTCTTTAGATCCACCTAAACAGTTTTCATTCACTGAAATATACTTTTTCGGTCCATCTTACATTAACCAGTTATTTAAAAATAACACACGTCATTTATTTAATCTCCACAGGTCAAACAACCCTGTTGGTTTGTTTTGAGTGTATTCTAAACAGGCTTAGTGTTCACACTGTTCTTAACCGGATCAAGATTTACAGGAAAGATGTTTACAGTGTGGCCTGAAGCTCTGGTCTGCATTTCTCTAAACCAAACCTACCTTGTTTGGAGGAACCATCACCAGCGTTCAGTTGTTTGAGCTTCTCCTCCAGCTGTTTCTGTAAAGCTAATTCAGTATGATAGAAAACAGTTAGACCAAGGAAAAATCTTGTTATATCTTGCGTATGTAATACTTCAGGATCTATATGTCATTGCTGTGAAATTTATAGTTTATTCTACCAAAAATAACCCGATTTGAAAACAAATTTCCATTCTCACCATCTCAGATTTGCTCAATACTTTCAGGAAACAATGTCACTGTGGCCGACAGACAATGTCTCGAATTTTAGGCTTGTGTCTTCATTAGTTTCTGAGATACAGAGGCTTTGACAATTGAGTTATATTTTTTGCTTTAAAATCTGCTCTAGTGAAAAAAATTAAGTGATAACTTTTGAAATTTTGATGCTAGTAGCAGGAATTCTTTTAGGAATTACTCTTTGGTTTAAAGCATGTTTAACCACCAAAATAGAACATACTTTATGCCATTTTTGGCTTGTTGAGAAAAATATGTCTTGTGAAATTAGATGTATTTGACCCTGTTTTCAATTTTAACAGTTCATAAATGAGACGGCTGTGCTACTTTGAAACCAATACCTAATTGGAAAAAAAGTACTGTGCAATGAGTACTAAGTACCAAAATTTGAAGGATCTGATACACTTCAGTGCGGAGATATTGAGGACCAAATTTGTGGAAATATACCCAAAAAAAGCCATAACATGGCAAAGATTCATTGCTGCATCTTTAGTTTAGTGGTTAAACAGGGAGCAGCTTGATTATGGCAAAAATCATAATTACAATTGTATAGGTATATTTTGGTATTGGTATATGATATATATTGAGATCATGACTATTTATTACTCACTAACTTTGGAAACATCATGCATTTCTTTATCTTTAAAAAAAAACTTGTCATTTTAACAGTGGATTTCTTTGAACTTTAAATATAATTCCACAGAAAAACAAATGAAAAATAAATGATAAATTATTTATAAAAAATTATAAATAACAAATAAAAATATTTAAATATTCATACATCTACAATATTAATAAATAATAATAAATGTAATAAAATAAATCTAAAAATTTATTAGGAATAATAAATAAAAATAAATGAATAAGATCAAACTCTGTTGTAGTGCATTTTCACAAACTACTAAACATAAATAAAAGTAATCAATAAAAAAATGAAACGAAAATAAATGAGATGAGTTTGGGCTTTTAGGGAGGGGTGAAAGTGCACCACTGTAAAGGAAAGAGGTTGGATTTAAAGCTGGATTTATATCACAAGACAAGTGAAAGCATCAATGGGACACAATGCGGCGCAATAATCAATTTATCTCAATTATTTTGACTGGTGGTCAAAATCGTAACTAAAAATAAAATTCAATTGATCGCCCAGCCCTATTTAAACGAATCTAAAACACCAGACCAAAGGTTCGACTTCAAGTTTATATCCTTTTGTGTAATATTCAGTTTAAAGCAATTATTAAAACAAAACCTGCTTCTATCTCAGTTAAAGAAGATGCAGGTTGAAAATAAGCAAATCTGAGCTGGTCAGTCAGTTGGCCTTCAGTAATAGGGAATTATTTGACCTGTGCTGCATATTAAGATTGATCAAAACCAAATAAAATCCCACAACATCGCCTACGCATTTATATAACCTAATGACACAGGTTTGACAAACTTGCTTCAACTATATGGACATTTTGCAGTATTAATATGTACTAGACAGCTCTTTAGACTATGTGTACCAGAAATATTCTTATTGAGAAACTATTATTTATTTAAACTTCACGTTAAATGCAGTAAAATGAATAAAATGCTGATATTTTAGTCTTTGACTTTGTCTTTTTTTAAGCAAAGTATCTGACAATACTAATATTATTGTGATATCATTGTGCATCCCAACAATTTACTATACACTTTTTGGAAAATAAATCATATATACATAAGGAAAAAAACAGTTCATTATAAAAAAGAATATCTTTTGAACATAAAACAAATTATGTGTCATTTTACAAACCCTTGATTTGTGCTGACTGTGCAGGACCTCCACTTCCTTTCTGCAGTTTATCAATCTCCGCTTGCAGCTTACTTATCTCTGCAACTGCTCAAAAAAAGAGAGAGGAAGAGTAGAAGCAGCCCTACCGTAACACACAGAGAGAGAGAGAGAGAGAGAGAGAGAGAGAGAGAGAGAGAGAGAGAGAGAGGGACAGACAGTGATCCGTACTTAAGCTGCCGCTGCCACTGCCGTCTTTGCAATTTGATGGACTCAGACTTCCCATCAATTTATTCAGCTCTTCTTGTGTTTTCTTCAGCTTTTCTTGAAGGGCTGAAAGAGGAAATGGGGACAAACCTTAACTCTCCAACAAACACCTTAACTCTCCAAACACCTTCACTTTCCAACAAACAGCAACACTCCAACAAACACCAACACTCTCCAACAAACACCTTCACTGTCCAACAAACACCTTCACTTTCCAACAAACACCAACACTCACCAACAAACAGCAACACTCTCCAACAAACACCAAAACTCTCTAACACCAACACTCACCGGCAAACACCAACACTCTCCAAACACCTTCACTCTCCAACAAACAGCAACACTCCAACAAACACCAACACTCTCCAACAAACACCTTAACTCTCCAAACACCTTCACTCTCCAACAAACACCAACACTAACAAACACCTTCACTCTACAACAAACACCAACACTCTCCAACAAACACCAACACTCACCAGCAAACACCATCACTCTACAACAAACACCAACACTCTCCAACAAACACCTTCACTCACCAACAAACACCAAAACTCTCCAACAAGCACCAACACTCTCCAACAAACACCTTCACTCTCCAACAAACTCCTTCACTCTCCAACAAACACCTTCCAACACCATCACTCTCCAACAAACACCTTCATTCTTCAACAAACACCAACACTCACCAACAATCACCAACACTCACTAACAAACACCATCACTCTCCAACATGAAAACTCTCCAGCAAAGACCTTCATTCTTCAACAAACACCATCACTCTCCAACAAACACCAACACTCTCCAACAAACACCAACACTCACCAGCAAACACCAACACTTACCAACAAACACCTTCACTCTCCAACAAACACTCACCAACAAACACCAAAACTCTCCAACAAACACCAACACTTACCAACAAACACCTTCACTCTTCAACAAACACAAACACTCACCAACAAACACCAAAACTCTCCAACAAACACCTTCACTCACCAGCAAACACCAACACTCACCAACAAACACCATCACTCTCCAGAAAACACCAACACTCACCAACATACACCATTACTCTCCCATAACCACCTTCACTCTCTAACAAACACTAAAACTCTCCAACAAACAGCAACACTCACCAGCAAACACCAACAAACATTAACACTCCCTAACAAACACCTTCACTCTCCAACAAACACCTTCCAACACCAACACTCTCCATCAAAAAACACCTTCCAACACCAACACTCTCCAACAAACACGAAAACTCTCCAACAAACACCAACACTCACCAGCAAACACCAACACTCACCAGCAAACACCAACACTCACCAACAAACACCTTCACTCTCCAACACTCACCAGCAAACACCAACACTCACCAACACCATCACTCTCCAATAACCACCTTCACTCTCCAAAAAACACCAAAACTCTCCAACAAACACCAACACTCACCAGCAAACACCAACACTCACCAACAAACACCAACACTTACCAACAAACACCTTCACTCTCCAACAAACACCAACACTCACCAGCAAACACCAACACTCACCAACAAACACCAACACTCTCTAACAAACACCAAAACTCTCCAACACCAACACTTACCAACAAACACCTTCACTCTCCAACAAACACCAACACTCACCAACAATCACCTTCATTCTCCAACAAACACCTTCACTCTCCAACAAACACCTTCCAACACCTTCACTCTCCAACAAACACCTTCACTCTCTGACAAACACCTTCCAACACAAACACTATCCAACAAATTCCAATGTTCTCCAATAAACACCAACACTCACCAACAAACACCAACATGCTACACTAGACACCAACATTTTTCAACAAACATGGACATTCTACAAAAAATGCCATCATTCTCCACTAGACAACAGTATTCTACAACAAACACCAACGTTCCCCACCAAACAAAATCATTCTCCACTAGACAACAGTATTCTACAACAAACACCAACATTCCCCACCAAACAAAATCCTTCTCCACCAAACACCATGATTTTTGTTTGTGTTTGTTAGGGGTTTGTTGGGGTTCGTTGGGGTTAGGTGTTTGTTGGGGTCTTGTGGTGTTTGTCGGATACTGCTTTGTTGGTTTGTTCTGGGTTGAATATTCAGGGCTGAGGTGTCCCAGTGTAGGACCAGCCCAAAAACCTGAATATCCAGGGTACCCTGTGAGAAGAGGCCAGCCTAATACTGACTCTTCATTCATGTACTGTTAGTGCATACCTGCAAGCTTGGCTGGTTCTGTCTCCATGGTGACATTCAACTCCAGCTTCTTTATGTCAACGTACTTCTGGAGAATGACTAAGACTAAGAGAACAAACTCAGGGTTAAAACACTCTTGAAATGTGTAGAACTGTGCATTCTGTTTATCAGGATTAGCTGCTTTTGAGGAAATATAGAGTCATAAAAATCTCTGAAGTGAATCTAGATTTAGTCAAGCCACTTTGAACTCAAAGTGTAGCTTCAAATACTTAATGCAGACATTAATATTTCATCACTTTTTTATTTAAAAAAATTAGGAATACTACATAAAAACTAAATTTGGCAGAAACAACTTTCAATACTAGGTGAAAGATAAAGGTTGAAGATAAAAGATTTCATGGGACAAAAAAATATGGCAACACTTTACTTGAAGAGTGTCTACGTAACACATTTATAACATCAAGAACAATTTCTTTTAAGTGTGTACTGTGTTTTGTGTGGTTTGGTCCTAGATTGAAGTGCTCTAGGATGAAGAGTGGCGCTCAGAGGCAGTGAGCAGTGCCAAAAGTCAGCGGTGGTTCATTAAAAACAAAGTGTTTGAGTTTTGGGAAGCTGCCAGTCGTCTGATCTGCAGTGCCGTTACTCATCGGTTCTGCTGTGTTGTTCTGCTTACTATAGCCTGTGGAATGTGTCCACATCAGTCCGGAGGGAACCCCACTGTGACGTATTGTGTGTCACTGATTTACTCAGTGGGGACCGTGAGCACCTGCAGCTCCAGGGTCCATCAGAAGGTTAACTGACTCAGTTACTACAGCATGGAAACACAGACACATGATGACGTTCTACGTACCGTCTTTAGCAGGACCTGCTGCTGTATCTCCGAGTTGTTTCAGCAGACTTTCCAGCTGAGCATGAAGAGCTTTACACACAAACAGAACCACTCAGGAGAACATACACAGAACAGAGCAGTGTGTATCATCAGCCATAAGACAAACCCACTGCACTGCTGTTCTAACAGCTTATTTATTCATCTTACATTATCTGGAAATGACAGCTGCTCTCCTGACATAACATGATTATTATTATTAATAATAATAATAATAATAATAATATAAGACACACTAATTACTGATACATTTTATATCACATTTCATTGTTGAGGCGTTGTAATTTAATGGGAATTTATATATGAGACCAGTTGACTGATGAAATATTATCGTTGTGTTTATATCTGGTTAATATTTCAGCTCAGCTCAGTCTTTCTGTAAGCAGTCAAACTCAGTATTTAAGATGGAATTTATCACTGAGAAATTGTGGTGCAGTATTTCAATAATTACATTTTGGAATTGACCGATGAAACCTTATTACATAATATTAAAATAACAGTATTACTTTTTAAATGCACATATACACATGTATATAGTATGTATGTATAGTATATATAGTATAAATGTCTATTCAGACCTATTCTGGGTCCACTGACTTACATTAAAAGTAAAGTAGGTTTTTTCCTTCTCCTGTAAAGTTACCATTTTTTATATACATACACACAGAGTGAAGTCTTACCTGCAATCTGCATTTCGGCCGCCTGAGCTGCACCCTTGCATGACAGTCTGCACTGTCTCAGCTGCCTCTTCAGGTCAAAGATTTCTTTGTCTGGAGATGAGATGGAGCAGATCAGACTCAGCTTTCTTAGTTCAGTCCAACTTCAGTATCATTACAAACGATTTAAGAATGCAGTGTTAGGACATTATGAAGCGGCTCACCGGCATTAGTGGCGTACAGACTCTTCTCCGTCAGTCTCTCGTTGCAGTCTCTCAGCTGCAGTTCTATACCTGCAGCAGAGAGCAGCACTGTTAGGACACTCAAACACAACGTCTGAGCCACTGCACGTCAAACAGGGCCTGGCAGGTTTACACGGAAAAAATCAACGAAAAATGTCGAAATTTAAGGTTGATGAATTGTTAACGATTGTTTCAGCAGACTCTAAATCACATCTTACATCCTAAAAAAGATCAGGAGAAAATATAGAGTTTTTAGAAAATGTATTGTCAAAAAGGCCTCTGACGAACTTAGTTGTGAAGTAATTTTAGCTTCAAATACTGCACACAGAAACTAATAATTCACAGATTTGACAGAAATGTAGGAATTCAAAATGAAAACTAAGTTCGTTATCGTAATTTTGAGAGTTGACAGAACAATTAGTTTTGAAGATGATCCAATAAACTAGACTTCTTGTTGAAATTCATATGTAAAACCAGCTGATTTCCAATGAAAGGTTATTGTTCAGACACTTTTAAACTCAATATTCTAAGATGTGATTTGGAACCTGATTCATAAAATTTATAAAAAAATAAAAATTCATAACTAAAAAAAATTTGGTGCAGAGATTTGAAATTTCGTGCGCAGGCAATAATTCAATTTCGGCATCATTTTTTTCAGACCTGCCAGGTTCTGGATGAGTGCACGAAATCATTTATACAACCGGTTCTAGGCTAACCTTACCAGTTAGTGGAGCTGCAGGTAAGACCTTTACGTTTAATTATCTTTTTGAAATTCTTCATAAACCTGTACTGTAAACATAACTGGAGCACTGCCAGCAGAAGTACCACTGTTTGTTTTTGTTCCTGTAGGAACCAATGGTTTCATCAACCTCACTGGAAACGGCAGCATTTCATGGACCATCCAACTTTATTTGTGCTAACTTTTGCACTCAAAGCCACAGCAAAACCATGCAACTAAATTCTGGGTCATATTGAATTTAAATGTGACCTACTCACCTTTACAGGTGTGTATGTATGTAGACTGTGATATGATTAAGAAAAAAGAAACAAAAAAGTTGCGTTAAGTTTGACTGTTTATAGAACATTTATAGAACATTTATAGAACATTATTTCACTGCAGTAATCTGTAGCAGTTTTACCTCTGCAGCATCTTCTTTAGTCTGTGGAGATCGAGGGACTGAAAAAAAAATAGAAATTAAATAAAATAAACCAAATTCATTTCTGAAAGCCAGTATGATACTACACAAAAAAGAACTAATCTCTATGAGAAACAGGCAGTTTCTAATATGCTAATATGAGCTAATATTCTGCCAACTTTTCACCTGCACCTTCTTCTCAACTAACCATGCACTGCCTGCTGAAAGTTTGGGATGTGTAGGTTTTCATTTTGTTTTTATTAAATGAGTACATTTTTAAATATATATTAAAAAAAAAGAATTTTACCAATTTTACCAACCAAAAACTGAAAGGACAAATAATAAAAGTCCTTCCTGAGGAACAACAACAAAGCCTAAACCATCACTTGCCAAAAGATGTTCCAATATACAGTTTCATGCAGAAGTATGGGCGTCAAATTTTATGTTGTTGTTTTTCTAAGTGTAAATAAGTAAACACTTCCTTTACAGAAAACATGCGTCTGTGGATTTTATTACACAGTTACTGTTTATTTGTGGAATCTAACATAAATAAAACATAAAATGTGTTCTGTGTACATGGCTGCAAGCTTTTAGTTTGAAAAATAAAACTGTCAAATCATTATTTAGGCAAAACCTGTTCTACATACTTAAGGAAAAGATACTTTGATAAACATGAATATTACACAGTTAGTAGTTCCTTCAAACCGTTACTTTCAAAGCAGATCTCTGTGCATAAAGTGTTATACTAGTCTTACCACTGATGCCCAAGGAGGTAAAGATGGAGGAGGACCACAGAGAGCAGAGCAGAAGCAGCTGAACGTAGCCCATCATTGCATCCTTGAATAACTCTCGATTTTCTGCACCACCGAGATCAGCTCCTCGGCTTTTGTACTGCACCAAGTGCCTGCACTGCCCCCAACCCTGCCGTCTTACACAATCATGTCATTCTGTTTCTGAGCAATGCTGTAGCCTCTCACCTCTTTCACAATTCTCACTTTACTGTTGGATGACTTAGCTCTGCAAGGTCATCTTCTGTCAGCAACACAGTTAACGCTCCATAAAGCTAAAACGGATCTCAGTCTCTTAGGTTCCTCAGTCTTGGGGACCTCAGTCACATGGCCCTCTGTCTTGGGATGCCTCAATCCTGGGGTCCTCAGTATTAGGTTTCCTCAATTTTGGGGACATCAGTTTTGGGTCTCCTCAGTCTTGAGTTTCCTTAAATTTGAGGACCTCAGTTTTGGGTTTCCTCAGGTTTAGGGCCTCAGTCTTGGGTTTCCTTCATTTTGGTGACCTCAGTCTTGGGTCCTTCAGTTTTGGGTATCCTCAATTTTGGGAAACTCAGTCTTGGTGACCTCTGTCTTGGGTTTCCTCAGTCTTGGGTCCTTCAGTTTTGGGTATCCTCAGTCTTGGGTTCCTTAGCCTTGCATTTCCTCAATTTAGGGAACCTCAGTCTTGGGTTTCCTCAATTTTGGGGACCTCAGTCTTGGGTTCCTCAATTTTGGGCACATCGGTCTTGGGTTTCCTCAATTTTGGGGACCTCAGTCTTGGGTTTCCTCAATTTTGGGGACCTCAGTCTTGGGTTCCTCAATTTTGGGAACCTCAGTCTTGGGTTTTCTCAATTTTGGGGACCTCAGTCTTGGGTTCCTCAATTTTGGGCACATCGGTCTTGGGTTTCCTCAATTTTGGGAACCTCAGTCTTGGGTCGCTCAATTTTGGGGACCTCAGTCTTGGGTTCCTCAATTTTGGGAACCTCAGTCTTGGGTTTCATCAGTTTTGGGAAATTGGGACTTTAGGAAACTTTCAGTTAAAAAATAAAAACCGAAACATGAGGTTCTCTAATATATAATTTATCATTTTATTGCTTTGGAATTTACAGTGGTAATTCTGATAAAACTTCTGACAAAAGCATGAAATTAAATAGTGTATAGAATACAGCTGCAGTGGGGCGTGTTTCTGTTTCACTGTTGATCAAACTGTTTAAACCCTTCTGGTTACCTGCTTTAACTAAATACCTATTCTGTGTCTTATTGCGTTACCCTTACAACGTTGTTTTTTGTTTTCAGTTCTAATTAACCCTTATTTCTCTGTTTGGACGCCGACAAAATGGCGGCTGCCACTGAACACGAGCTCCGGACGCTGAGCAGGGAGCTGCTGCAGTTGGATCAGCAGATCAGGGCTCTCCTAAAGCGCCAGACCGAGCTCCACGAGTGGAAAACCCGTTTGGAAGCAACCCGGGACGCGTCCTACACGGTTGTTTCAAGACCAAGCCCGGCAGCAACTTCTACTCCACCGGATGGATCACTACTACCACATTTAACACCAGGATTGCCCGCCTTCACGCCTGTGCCAGAGCAGGGCTGGGAACACCAGCGTGACCGGGGAAAGAGAAGGTTTTCACCAATTCCTCCTCCACCGAGCTTCACCTCCAGTAACCGGTTCGAAGCCCTCAGCTCGTCGCCTGTTTCAGTGCCTCGGAGAGAGAGTCAGGAGAGTGTTATTATAATTGGAGATTCAATAGTGAGACATCTCAAAGTAAATACCATTGACCACAAGATTTTACTCCAGCATCTTGAATACTGGGTCGGCCTCTCATATTTAAATAATAGGCAGAGTTTCATTCGGAAATCATTCATCAAAACGATTTGCCATTTCTTGTGGAGTCCCCCAAGGTTCAGTCTTAGGGCCTTTGCTTTTCTCTTTGTACATGCTACCTCTAAGTGATGTTATTAGGAAGAATAGTATAAATTTTCATAGCTATGCTGACGACACCCAGTTATACATTACTATTCCTTCCGGAGATCAAGACTCTGTAGACAGACTAACCAGCTGTGTGTCAGATATTTCTCAGTGGATGTCGCAAAATTTTCTACAATTAAATCATGAAAAAACTGACTTACTGATTGTTGGTACAGAAACTCAGAGAAAATGATTTTTGAGAAACTTGGTTCTTTAGCTTCATCTACCAAACCTGAAGTACGAAACCTTGCTGTGATCTTAGACTCTGAGCTCTGTTTTACCCCACATGTAAACACAGACACTAAAGTAGCTTTTATAGAAATATCGCTAAAGTTCGGCCTTTTCTCTCTCAGAGCGACGCAGAGAAACTCGTTCATGCGTTTGTTACAGCAGAGTTGATCACTGTAATGATCTTCTGACTGGACTTCCTAAGAAAACTACACATCCCTTACAACCCGTACAAAACGCAGCAGCATCCTAACAAAAACAACACAGAGAGATCAGATCAGTCCCGTTTTGAAAGAGCTGCACTGGCTGTCTGGATCATTCAGGATAGATTTTAAAGTTCTGCTACCAGTCTTTAAAGCTCAAAACAACCTTAAAGCACCTGCTTACATCACAGAGTGTCTGTCTGTTTATGTTCCGGCACGTAATCTAAGATCTGCAGACAGTGGCCTTCTACAGACACCCTCTGTAAAATACAGAAAACATGGAGAGACTCTTTCAGTTATTCTGCTTCTAAACTGTGGAGCTCAGTTCCACCTTTTAATAGACAGTCAAGCTCAGAGCTCACTTTTAAGAAGCACCTAAAAACGTATCTCTTTAAATTAGCATTCAACTAAAACTGAATGTCTCGTGGTTTTTATCTTGTAATTTAATCTTCTTCTGATTCTAATTAAGTACTAATGATCTTTTCTATAACTATGTTTTATCACCTGTCTGTAAAGCACTTTGAACTGCCACTGGCATGAAAAGTGCTATGTAAATAAAATTATTATTATAATTATTATTATTATTATTATTATTATTAAATGCTTCTGTGCTGCCCTGCGCAGGAAGGCGAAGACACAGTTTTAATCACTATTTCTCATTTTCATTACATTCAGATTATTTGTTAAATTGATTTAATTTTTTTCTTTTTTAGCCTTAGCTTTCTTCATTTTCGACTAAAAACCAAAAGTCACTTCTGACTATTTTTATATGAAAATTTTTGGTGGCACCCCTACTCTAAACATTTAGTCAGACATAGCCTTGCAGTCTCCAAACACTGGCAAAAGAATGGGTAGTACTGAAAAGTTCAGTGAACTATGTACCGAATCGCAAAGCACATAAAAGTGTCTCTCTCTCCTCTGTTGCATCACTTACTACAGAGTTCAAAACTGCCTCTGGAAACAACATCTGCACAAGAACTGTATGTCCGGAGCTTCATGAAATGGGTTTTTATGGCTGAACAGCTGCACACAAGCCTAAGATCACTATGCCCACTGCCAAGCGTCGGCTGGAGTGGTGTAGAGCGCCACCACTGGACTCTGGAGCAGTGGAAACGTGTTCTTTGGAGTGACCAATCAGCTTCTCTATCTGTCAGTCTGATGATGAATCTGAATTTGGTGGATGTCAGGAGAACATTACCTACTGGAATGCAGAGTGCCAACAGTAAAGTTTGGTAGAGGAGGGATGATGGCCTCGAGCTGTTTTTCAGGGCAACTCCACATTAAGGTTTTAAAAGGCCTTGGTTTTGGAGTATGACCAACAAGCTCATATAAGTGTGATGTTTAGGTCTCCACTTTTAGCTCTATAGTGTGTTGTATATGATAATTTTCATGATTTGTTTCAGCGAGGGGAGGCAAGGTGTTTGTCCCAAAATATAGAGCTCGTGGTTTGGCTCAGGTTCCACAAATTAAAGTGCTCTTGGGCAATCCTTGGGGGCTGTACCACTGCCAGTGGAGATTTCACCTCCAAAACTCTGACATATCATGGATACATCCCTCACTACCCACTGATAAAGCAAGAAAACCACATTCTGGAAAGGGATGTTATACTGAATAATCAATGTCGGCAGTTAGGACGTTACCGCCCCTTAACTGGAGTGCAGTGTTCAATATTCTGCACGGTCTTACCACACTACTTGAGACTAAAATTAAAAATGTAAGTTAAGCCCTTAAAATCTCAGGCTTATTACATACTAAGGCTTATTATGCAGTAACTACAGGGACGTTAATGCAAATCGGGTGAGCTACCCTTAGATTACAGAAGTGTGTAATAAAACTTTGGGCTGGTTAATTGTTACTCAGACCAGGTTGCCCTTTTCCTCTCTCGAGTCCTTCCCACCCAGAATGCCTGTGCTCGAGCCTGCCCTTAATTCAGGTGAAGGATTGGTTTGATAGTCTCTTGATCCTTCAGATGTATTAAAAACGTGGACAAAATACTGCAGTACTTTTATAACTTATATTTACTTGATAGAGTGAATTTTAATTGATTGAAAATTCGGAAGTGTATGTCAGTTATGAGTGCTATTTTACATACCTACTTGAATTACACTCCTAAAAATAAAGGTTCCTAAATGGTGTCATTTAGAAAAATAGTTCTTTGAAGGTACTTAAAGGTTCAGTGTTTCTTCAAAGGCACTGCTCCAAAAAAACATTGCACAGGTGTAATTGTGCTGACTTGTGCCCGGAATTTCACATTTGACAGTTTCATTCTTTTGTGCACAAGCAGTAAGAAAAAGGAGAAATACATGGCACACTTTGCATTGATCTGACTACAGATAGGGTGCAATGTCACAACAGCCTAATGACACAGCCACATCTAGAACAAAAATAAAGGAACCACTTGCATTAACATGCATTTGTTATACTACGTTATCGTTAAGACAATTCAGCCTCGGCTGTTTCAAAAGTTGCAACCGGATAAAACAAGAAGACTCTTTAGGACTTAAGTGGATGCGACAGACAAACCGGTGAACACTGAGGTTGAACAGAACATAGAAGAAAATACCAAATGACAATTATCAATTAGCACCACAGTTATGGTTGTCTAAGGACAGTTCCATTATGGGCCTATTCAGGTGTTTTGCTTTCAATGTTTGTATACTTTTATATACTTATACGCATAAAAACATAATTATATACATACACACAAACCTCTTTTTCTAGTCTTTGCTTTTCTT